GATTCACCAGACGAAAGCTCTCTCTAATTCTTAGCAAATACGGTACAGCTAAAAAATCTAGAAAGGTGTTCCATTTCCAACATGCCCTGTTTATTGAGGTGCTCCCTCTCTTTATTCAAAAGTTCAAGCAATCTCAGCCTTGGGGGTGTTTTAACCCACTTGAGCGTGTGACAATTGGCTTAAAGCTGTGAGAATCCAGAAGGAGCCACACCAGGTTTTTGGAAGATCACCCCTTCTACTGAGGTGGGCATGGTTCCCAGATTTATTACGTTCTTATTCCAGCTTGTCTCTAAGAAGCTCAGAGCAATGAGCCATGTTATCTTCACAATCATCCAGTAAAGTAGGGGAGGCTAAAATTCTTCTTTCTTGCTCTGGCAAGCCTACTCAGATGTGTACATCTGACATTTTAATAGCTAATTTTATTTTATAGTGTATGCGTTTTTAAAACAGCTGATTTCATTAATATTTTGTCATTTTTTTTTAGATCAACTTGTGTTTAAAATCTTCTTTTATATGTATTTTTAATGTATATTCTATGTAAACTGCTGAGGGGTTTTGATTATTAAGGGGTGTTTAAATCCTGTTAAATAAAATAAAGATACTGGGGTCACATTTGCACATTATGTTGAGCTATAGTTAAGACACAACAAGCTTTGTAAGCTAAACAAACCGTGGCTTATGTTAAGCTGCAGAGCTAGGCTTGGATGATCAAACAAACCATGTGTGTAAAATGTTAGTAAATCATGGCTTAGTGTTATGTGCAAACCAGTCCAATGACTGTCCAAAGGTCACTCAAAATAAAAAAAATTCCTTCCAGTAGCACCTTAGAGACCAACTAAGTTTGTTATTGGCATGAGATTTCGTGTGCATGCACACTTCTTCAGATACACTGAAACAGAAGTCACCAGACCCTTATATATAGTGAGAGGGTGGGGAGAGGTATTACTCAGAAGGGTAGTGGGAATGGGTGATTGGCTGATAGGTGTGGTAAACCAGTTGACGACTGTTAACAACTGCAATTGGTCTTACAGGAAAAAGCAAGGGATGAGATGGCCAAAAATAGCTTTATCATGTATAATGAGATAAGAATCTAGTGTCTGTATTCAGACCAGGTCTCTCCATTGTTTTAAGTTTGGTAATAAGTTGCAATTCAGCAACAGTCTATTTCTGAAATTCTTTTGTAATATGACAGCTACTTTGAAATCTTGTATAGAATGTCCTGGGAGATTGAAGTGTTCTCCTACTGGTTTCTCTGTCTTGTGATTCCTGATGTCAGATTTATGTGCATTTATCCTTTGGCATAGGGTTTGGCCTCTTTGTCCAATATAGAAAGCTGAAGGGCACTGTTGGCATTTGATAGCATGCACAATGTTAGAAGATGAGCAATTAAATAATCCTGAGATGGTATGTTTGATGTTGTTGGGGCCAGTAATGGTGTTGTCTGAGTGTATGTGGCAGCAAAGTTGGCATCTGGATTTATTGCAGGCTCTGGTACCGGTGTCCATGTTAAGTCTGGTTGTTGTATTATTGTGGGTAAGGAGTTGTTTAAGATTGGGTGACTGTCTGTAGGCAATGAAAGGTCTTCCTCCCAGAGCTTGAGAAAGAAAACTGTCATTGTCTAGGAGAGGTTGTAGATCTCTGATGATGTGTTGAACTGTTTTAACTTGGGAGCTGTATGTGATTACTAGTGATGTAAAAAAAGTAAAGGTAAAGGGACCCCTGACCATTAGGTCTAGTCGTGGCCGACTCTGGGGTTGCGGCGCTCATCTCGCTTTATTGGCCGAGGGAGCCGGCGTACAGCCTCCGGGTCATGTGGCCAGCATGACTAAGCCGCTTCTGGCAAACCAGAGCAGCACACGGAATCGCCATTTACCTTCCCGCCGGAGCAGTACCTATTTATCTACTTGCACTTTGACGTGCTTTTGAACTGCTAGGTTGGCAGGAGCAGGGACCGAGCAACGGGAGCTCACCCCATTGTGGGGATTCGAACCGCCAACCTTCTGATCGGCAAGTCCTAGGCTCTGTGGTTTAACCCACAGCGCCACCAGCGTCCCTTACTAGTGATGAACCCCTCCACAACTTCTCACTATATATAAGGATCTGCTGACTTCTGTTTCAGTGTATCTGAAGAAGTGTGCATGCACACGAAAGCTCATACCAATAACAAACTTAGTTGGTCTCTAAGGTGCTACTGGAAGGAATTTTTTTTATTTTGTTTCAACTACGGCAGACCAACACGGCTACCTATCTGTAACAAAGGTCACTCAGTGAGATTTATGACCAAATGAGGATTTGAACCTGGCTCTCTCTGCTCTTAGTCCAACACTAACCGTTATGCAATAACTGCCTCTATTTGTGTTCAATAAAATGTGGTAATAGAAGTGCAGTTAAGGCTTTTGCATGATAATGCTTTTTCTTTTTTTTTACGAGTGCCTACCCTAAAACGCACACTGGCTGTGCTAATTAGCACATTGTAATTTGAATAGCTTAAATGTACAATTATTTCTATTATTCACATTTGCTCTTTCAGGACCACTTCATGAAGCAAACTGTGTCATCTTTAACGGCCATGAAACTGGATTTTTCTCAGCTGGTGTCTTCATTCCTTTAATTGAACTATTTAGCATTCATACATAGAAATGATTCGTTTGACACAAGCCACATAATTTATATTTCAATAGTCAGCTTTGCTATCAAATAACTGGTGTTGTTTGGAAACAGGGCTTCCATTTCTTGTCACTTTTGTACCTTCCCACCACTGGAACACAACTTAAAAATCAGAGTCACACATCTATTGGGATACTCCACTTCACAAGTAACACCCACCCACCCATGCAAGCAAACATTTTTCACAGCTTTTGGAGAACTATTATTGATTTTATTATAGGCTGAGTTTGGAGATGGCTGGTGCAGTAGATTATTCTGCCTGGATTATTTTTTCCTTCAGCAGATGTGTTTTGAATTGAAATAAACATTATCTTTGAAAATTAACCATATATCTTGTGTATGAATGCAATGGGACTCTTATAAGTGCATATACAAAATTGCCCCAGAAACATGTCACTGGTTAGATTAGCTATATAATTTGACGTGGAATTTTATTTTGAATTAAAGTTGAAAATGCAGGCAACAAATACTCAAAATACATGTGTTTACTACTCAACTATGCCATGGTTCAGAAGTAATGCTAAATCAGGGATAGCCAACATGGTGTTCTGAAGATGTATTGGGCTGCAACTCACATCATCCCCGACCAGTGAATACCACATTGGTCATCCCTGTGCTAAACCATACTTTAGTGTTACCTGCAAGAGCATGGCCACAAGGAGGAGACAGAACACTTTTGCTTCTGTTTTCAGTTGACTGGTTTCTTATTGTTTAAATTAGGAACTATGGTCGGTGCCACCTATAGTTTATTGAAAGAAGGCGTAATTATCATTCATGGTTCAATGTTGGCTAATTTCAATCAATAGCTATTAATTATCTCAGTTGGTCCAGATTTGGATGGAACAAGAAACTGTGGTTAGTTGAAAATAGAATCAAAGCTTCCCATCTCCTCCCTCTTGCAGCTGCAGTAGAGAAGGGGAGAGGAGTGTGCGTCAGTCCAAGGCTAGTGTGTGCAATGCTGAACTCTGGTTGGGTTTTATGTTGAATCTAAGACACAGATGCACCCATCACAGACTCTACTAATAGTCCTCACAGCATAGGAGCCAATTTACAGGGGCTGTAGGGGACCCTAGAAATAAAATATTTGAGCGGGGTGGGCCCCCACAAAGTTGATGGGCATTCCCATTCAAATGGTGTGTGTGCACTGTGTCATGTGATCAGTGCTTTTCTTCTGGGGGTACACAGGGGTATGCATACCCCTAAACATTTTGTGAAACTAGGTTTGGCCTCATTGAGGGGCAGTATTTCAATATGAGTAGGAAAATGAGAGCACCCCTAAACATTTTTTTCGGGAGAAAAGCACTGCATGTGATCAATTATGCAGGGCTTACCTGGACCCGCACAATATTTTATTCAAGTTGGCACCCCTGCCTCACGGTTGTCCAGTTAACATCCCCAGCCATCTCAAGCAAGAAGAACTGGGGTAGGTATTTCTAGAACGGCCCAGCCTTTGAGCCTGAATTATTTGCTCACTTGTCTTTGAATGTTTTTCTATACCACTGAGTCCCAGCTATAAGCTGCCTGGAAGTTTGGAATGCAGCTTAATCCAACCTAAAACGCCCTTGAAACCCGTCCTGGGTTGTCTGTTGAAGCCTGACATTCAAAGTGCACGCACACGGATACATTTATTGAACACCGTTATATACAACTCCAAGGAAGGATTTCTCCTACTGGGATGGGGGGAGAGAGGGAGAGAGAGAGAGAGAGAGAGAGAGAGAGAGAGAGAGAGAGAGAATGGAGGCTGGGCTGTACTTACAGTGCACCATAACTTACTGCACCTCAATATAACACAGACCCAGCCGTGAGTCTGCTCCAGGCTGCGTTGACAGCACAAGCTTTTCGGCACGAGACCCTTAACCTCAGGGTCGTGGGTTCGAATCCCACTTGGGGCGAAAGATTCCTGCATTACAGGGGTCGGACTTCAGATGCGTCCTCTCCAACCATCAGTTGTCGTTCACATCTTTCGGGTCTCTACGAACAAAACCGGGCAGCGAGCTGCAAGTAAGGATCATTCCTTCCGAGTGCAAGGCAGCAATCCTGCGCACGCTCCCTAAGCCCCGTTGCACTGATTTAGAACTTATTTCCGAGTAAAACTGCGCCCCGGGACTGAATTGCAACCCCTTAGATGGAAGAGATGCTGCTCGCGTTCTAGAGATCCTTTTTCCTCTCCGCTTTGCCGAGCAGCTCCGAGCCGGGAGCTGTTTTAAAGTTCGGGCAGGCGCCGTCTCCGCCTCCTCTGGCCCCCTATTGGCCGGGCTCGGCTCATCATTTCACCGCCAGGAGGAGGGCGGCGCTAAGTGACGCCCCGGAGACTGGCGGCTGCCGCCTCTGCTGTTACCTAAACTGGAAGGCAGCGTGAGAGGAGCGCGGAGAGGCTGGAGCGAGGAGCTCGCGGGAGCGCGTGGGCAAGAGGACTTTCCCCAGGGGAGACAGCCGCCGCCGTCGCCTTTGATCCCTCCAGCATCCCGCCGGCTTTTGATTTTTTGCTGCTGGTCCTTAATTTGATCCCTTGCTCTTTTTCTCCTCTCCTTTTTCAAAACCCATCCTGCCAAACAAAGGAAACAGAAGGAACATACACACAAACGCGCGCACGCCTATTTGCCGGAGGAAGGAGACATGCGTTCGATTCGGAAGAGGTGGACTATCTGCACGATAAGTATCCTCCTGATTTTTTACAAGACAAAAGAGATTGCGAGAACGGAGGAGCACCAGGAGACACAAGCCAACGGGTAAATGCAAAGAGTCTGGATGTCTGTCTGTTTGTGCACACCTTTTATTTTATTTTTCTTGACCAAGGGGGAAAGAGCGGGTAAGATGCAAGCGCCGCGTTCGGCTTGCCCCCCTGGACCTCGCCGCTTCCCATTCATCAGACCTGCCTTCTTTTGATGATGTTCGCGTGGTTTGATCTGTAGCCTGAGAACAACCCCCCCCCCGCCTAATTAAGCGTTCCAATGGGATCCAGGAGGAGATGCCTTGCAAAAGGCAGAAATAAATCGCGGGGGCAAAAAAACCCGTGGTCTCAAATGATTAATGCCGGTTGGGTTAATTTGCAATTGATGAGCTGAACAAAGCGAAGGGATGGGGTGCGGTTTTTTGCTTTTTAGAAAATAAATAAATTTCTAGCTTTTGGTACGAAAGTAGCGGGAGGTTTGCAGTGCAGAAAGCGGTGTCACGGCGGCTCTGTTATGTTTCTGTGTTGATAAAGGGGGAGTGGCATTTCTCCGAAGTTTGGCTGGCACCGATCTTTTTCCCGGAACTCCTAGCCGGATCCTTGCCTGCTGTGCACTGGGAGTTACTCCCAAGTAAGTGTGCACAGGATGGTGGGCTTTGCCATCTCTCTCTGCTGTCCCAGAGCAGCGTTCCTCATAAGTCCCCCTTGTACCCCGCCCACAGTAGGGGAGTGAGCCTTCCAAGAGCTGTTGCGCAGCACGATCCTAAGCGTGCTAACTTCGAAGTAGTTACCCTTCGCTAGTTACCCTCAGAATGAAATGAATGGGTCGACTAGGAGGATAATAAGGCCGGAAAGGCGATTTATCTCCAGGTCCCACTGACGGGACTTGCTTCTTAGCGAGCGTGTTTGAGATTTCGGCCTCTCTTGATCCCCTTGAAGTTTTATTCTTAGCTAGTTCAATGGCACGTAGGATAAGTTCCCTGGGACTCTAAATACTAGTCTCTCTCCCTGTTTGTCAGTGATTCGCTACAGGAACTCGCGCCTCATCTCTGACAAAGATCCCCATCTGTTTCTTTCTTGTCGCTCTTTTTTTATTGCCAAAAAACAAAACAAAAAACCCAAAGTCTCGTGCGGGTTCCCACTTAGGGCTTTGTTGTCCTTTCTCGTCTGTCAAGCGTGGTGAGTTGTTTTGTTGGTTTTTTTGTTTCGTTTTTAAAAGCTTTAAAACCTCCTGTGGAAAGTTGCTTTGGAATCATAGAATCGTATCATTGCAGAGTTGTCTGAGTCTTGGAACAAAAACCCCACTTTTAAAATTTATTATTTGATTTTCGCAGGCTTGCCGAACTAGCTACACCAAGGAGAGAGAGGGAGTGGTGGGGATGGTGGAATCTGGAGGTTGTTCTATTTATGTCGGCGGCGGCAGCAACAAACCGGAGAGCTTTGATAGCTCCGCGGAGGGTATTTGTTGCTGCATTATTTCATTGACGCCTGCAAGCATTTCCAAGCGTGAAAATAATAGCTAATGCTCAAGCAGGCTGGTTTGGCGTGGGGCGAGCTGGGATGTGTGTTTGTGTGCTTGCCTTGCACAGATGCTGTGGAGAGGGTATATGAGGCGCCTAGGAAATCCAGCATGGATCATTGTGCAGGAGAAGAAAAGCAAGCCTTTAGGAGTAACTGCAACCCTCTGCCCATCCAATGTGCGATTTTTTATCCTTCCTGCGCGTTGTCCATGCAGCCGGTCACTCTGCCTGTCTCTCCCTCCCTCTCCCTCGCCTTTCCATGCGTGGCTAGGCGAAGTGGTAGCGCCTCGTTCCGAGAAGTGAGGGATTGGAGGCTGCCTGAGGCAAGCGTGTGCAAGAGGGCATCGCCTTCTCTGTATGGGCAGCCTCATCCCCGCAGCATCTTTCCTCGAGTCTAATGGGACATGCTTCCAAGAAGGCTGCAACACCCCTCACTTACCCGGGAGTAAGTAAGCCCCGTGAGATTCAGTTGGATTTGCACCTGTATAGACGCCTTGAAGTTTATGCGCAGTGCGTTTAGGATCGCGCGCGGCGCTGCCCCTCCCACGCGGCATCATTGCGCACCTGAGCCCAGTTCCAAAATTTGCCGGCGAACTACGGATCGTGTAGTCTGTGCTGGCGCTCTCTCTCTCTCTCTCTCTCTCTCTCTCTCTCTGTCTCTCTCGGCTTCACGGCTTTCTAGGCAGCCGTGCCAAAAAGGGGAGGCGCGTACGTTTGACTGCCCACCGCTGGGGTTCCTCCGCTGCCTCCATCTCTCCTGCCTGCCGCTTGCATCCCGGGGCTACGCCAGGCCAGATGCGCACAACTGGTTCCCAGCGGAGAGCACGCAAGCAGCAGAAGCCAGCCCTCGGCAGTGCTTTTCCGCGAGCAAAAAGAAGAAAAATAGGCGGGGGAGGGGGCCTTTGCACTTCCTCTGCCTAAAAATCCGCGCGGCGGTTTTGCGAGGTTTGCACAAACAGGAAAAGGTTCTCCGCTTGGCTTTAGATCGGTGCTGGCTTCCCGTGTACGAAAGACAAAAGACGAGACTCTTTGTTCCACTGCCAGCTAGATAGGAAACCTCCTGCTCCTCGTCTCCCGCGAAGAGTTTGCGCAACCCATAGAGCACGAGGCCTCTTCCTCTATTAGTCCACTCATTACAACTCTGGAGGGGGTAACACACTGTGCAGAGAACCCTTCTTTCATTTTTCACCCATCCTTCCTGTTTTGAGTTCGTTTGCAAAATCAAAAACTCCCAGATAAGACTTCTGGAGGCTATTTACTCATTCCTACCCAGAAATGAGGAACTTGTGGTTCAATTACTTGAATTAGTTCCCATTATTTGTGGCCATTGATAATGCTGGCTGGGACTGATGAGAGTTGGGGTTCATGAGTATCACAAGTTCTCATCCCTGTTGGCTTTCCTGTCCAAACTTTGCTTGCTTCCAGGTGATCTGTTTATTTGGCATTCAACCTGGTGTTTCTGTCCAGCATTTGCAGGCGGTTTAGATGACCTATGTGATCTATTGATTCATTCCAATTTTGTTTGCAGGGAGGTTATATGACTGTGCAAAAAACCAAAAACATTATCCCACACTGCAATACATTCCCCCCCCCCCCGTTGTTTCTGACTTTGCGGAGTGCCAAATTGGCTTTAGTTGTAACACCTGAATTTTCCACTATATGATTGAATCCCACCTGATAATAGCGACAGTTTAAAAGAGCCCTTGATGCATTAAAAGCATAGGATGAATGCATATCGGGGGGGGGGGGGTTGGGGGGGAGGTCCTCCAAAGCTTTTAAAACGACCTTCTGTGCACAAGATCTCTTTAACACCCTTTTACTATTAGACTCGTAAAGGCCATGTGCTTTCCCCATCCTTTGACTGCAAGGTTTCAGGAGAAGGGAAAATACGGGCAGAGATGTAGAATCAAGAGTTGGTTGCTCTTTACTGGGTACTTCTGATGCTACTTAACTTTACAAGATGTAATTGGCAGGGCAAGGACTTGCATAAGGTGATGGGACCTTTCAGTGGAGCTGCAGCTAATCTTGTTTCCATCTGTGACAAAAAAACCACAACCACATTGTGAAACACATGTGCCCTAAATCACAGCAAAACCGGAGTCTGTATTCCCTGTCTCCTTGTTGCTTGTAAATGGAGCAATCAATACTCTTGTTTTTTTTGGAAAGCCTTTTGCTCCCCTGCTAGCTTTCTCCTGGATCATGTATGCTGATGTCACTTTTCTGTGGGCAGAGGAAAACAACAATCCACCTGCCTCTTGTTTACTAACCAGAATAGTGGATCTTGTTACTAGCTCTCCAGTCCGAAGCCCTTGGCTTGAAAGTTACATGAACACCAGGAAACTTCCTTCCAAGTCCTTTAAATATTTGTTTAAATGATTGGCTTATTAGAGAGCTGCAGCTAAATAATATTGCAAATAGGAGCATCGGCATATATTCATCCTTCGTTTACATTTTCTCATTTTATATCTGCTGCAGTAATTCTTTAAATGCTTATTTAGTATCTGCTTGAAAGATTTTATGGAATTCATGGAAAATAAGCCTATTTTTATAACATGAAATAAAAACGCATTGAAGTAAAATAAATGTATTTTGTCTGTAGACAGCTTTAGCATCTTCTGAATGAAATAACCACTATTTCCTCTTGCATAGTTTTGGTCATAGCTTGCCTCCAAACTTCTGTTTGCCTTTGATATATTTTGTAGTGCAACTTGGTGTAAGAAACTAAGACTTCCCTTTTTACTAAGATACCTAATCTCAGTAAAGGCTGTCTGCTAGATATAAAACCTACGTTGGTTTTTTTGCATGTGGGGCAGATGTTGAACCTGGTACTGTTTTTGGCATGATGACACCTGCCTATCTCAGGAGACAATGGAGGATGTGACTTTGGAGGTCAAGTCAAACTGTTGGACCTGCTATATGAGAAGTAATGTTACATGGTATCCCTCACTCTAGACTTCTGGTTAAGTAATGTGCAAGAGCCTTTTGAAACAAACATCCATAGCAATTAGTTTTAACGGTGTGCTTCTATGATTTGTCTTTTAAAAGTTAATATCCTTTATGTTGTAGAATGTACATATGATGTTGTAGAAGCAATGGTCAGGGCATTGGTCCTAATCCTGCAGCCATAGCTTGTCAGCTTGCATTCCAGGGTTGTGTTCTGTTCATTTAGTTGTTGACCTCAGTGACACCTATTTCTGAGTAAACTCGCTTAGAATCAGGCTGTAAAAGTCAAGTTCAGGGATGAGTGGACCATAGGGTAGCTCGATGCAGACGAAGCAAGGACTCCTGCCCCTTTAATAGTTCTATAGGAGAGGGAATTTCAAGCAAGTGTAGATTGCGTGAGAATCTACATGGGTTAAAATCCCTTCTTCTATGCAGCTGTTATATATAGCCCTACGGACCATCGAAGTAGCACTTGAGTTACTTTTTGGACAACTTCCTTACAAATCTGGAAAGACATTCTTCTTCTGTGTATGCTCTGCCTACTTGCCACAAACCGCAAAGCATGCTTTCTTGTGTTAAGAGTGTTGTGTTATGCTGACTGCTGATAATATGGATGATGCGTCTAGATGAATTGTCTTACTAGATTTGCCTTGGGTTTAAAGCTAAGCCTGGCTTGCCCTTTTGTAGGATAAGAGAAGCTTGCTTTTAAACTAGGGTAAGGCTTTGCTGTGGTGAATAAAAGAAGAAGAAGAAGAAGAAGAAGAAGAAGAAGAAGAAGAAGAAGAAGAAGAAGAAAAGAAGAGTTTGGATTTGATATCTCGCTTTATCACTACCCGAAGGAGTCTCAAAGTGGCTAACATTCTCCTTTCCCTTCCTCCCCCACAACAAACACTCTGTGAGGTGAGTGGGGCTGAGAGACATCAGAGAAGTGTGACTAGCCCAAAGTCACCCAGCAGCTGCATGTGGAGGAGCGGAGACGCGAACCCGGTTCTCCAGATTACGAGTCTACTGCTCTTAACCACTACACCACACTGGCTCTCTAAGCAATACATAAAGAGAGATTCTGCTTAAAAACATTGGTGGGGTCATAAAAATTATGCCCAGTAGCTCAAGTAAGAGAGGCATGATCCAGCTAGCATTAAGCACACTGAAGTCCCAGTGGGATTTAAAAGCAATCAGATATTGCTGAGATCCCAAGGACAGTGTCACAGTTTTGCTGGTTGAAAGAATGTCTTTTAAATGACAAAGTGAAAGTAAACATGAACCAAATGCATCAAGAACATCTCCTTGAGTGGGGATTTGGAGAAATGTCTTAATGATAAACAGTTGGGACCTGGAGTGCCCACAACAGATTTAAGGTTGCTTTAATGTACTTTAAATCTGTTGGTGGGCACTCCAAGTAAATTGTGAGCTCCTGGGTCTGCTGTATTTCAAGCATTAGCACTTTTAGGGACAAAAACGTTGCGAAAAGCCAACCTCTGCTCCCCATGCTATTCACTTCCTGAAAGTTCTAATGGGCTACACTTAGTCCAGCACAAGCAAGAATCCTTTCCATTGCAATTTAATGCATTTTCTTTCTTTCTTTCTTTCTTTCTTTCTTTCTTTCTTTCTTTCTTTCTTTCTTTCCTTCTTTCTTTCTTTCTTTCTTTCTTTCTCTCTCTCTCTCTCTCTCTCTCTCTCTCAGTGTATATTGCAATGCGGCAGAGGATAAAGAGGGAAAATCAGTGATGGTTGTTTTGCGAGGGCTTTTTGGAATATATTGCGTATTGAATTAGAAGACGGAAAAACATCTTGTAATGAATCTCGATGTTGCTCTTTCCCTCTGGATTCATATACATAGTGTTCAGTGAAGATCATATAATTATTCTTCACGGCATGACACTTTAAAGACCATGGTTTTTAATTTGAAAACCTTCCCTATCCCACAAAAATAATTGTGTCTGAAGTGAGGAGTAAAGCGCGTTTGGTTTTTCAGTAGGTGGCACTCTTAGCTGTAAATCAATACTGCATATCGGATGAGGTGCAAATCCAGTATATATTAATGTATGATCATTGATCCTATAATTTCTTCACATAGTCAGGTTCCTGGATGCTTTTGAGCAAACTAAAGCCTCTATGCATACCAATGTATTGGGAAAGATTTCTACCTGTAGCGCACAGAATTCCACTGACTTTTAAAGTGACTTGCGATCTGCTGATGAGAGGCTGCTTGTGGATGTTCAGACCCAGGTTTGGTGTTCTCCTTCACTTGCCAGCACAGGAGCTGCTGGGCTAGTGGAAAGGCAATAAAAGTGGTTGAGCAGTATGAACTCCAGTGCCACAGCTGAACTAGCAGAAGCTGGTTGTGCAACAGGAAGTATTAGGGCTAAAGTAATCTGTTGAGTAACCAGCCACATGAACTGTGATGGCTTCCTGCACTTTCTTTTGCAGAAGTCATTCCACAAGCACAGCTGGTATACTGCTAAAGGACATTAACTTGAATCCCAGTGTGGTATAGTGGTTCAGAGCAGTGGACTCGTAATCTGGTGAACCGGGTTCACGTCCCCGCTCCTCCACATGCAGCTGCTGGGTGACCTTGGGCTAGACACACTTCTCTGAAGTCTCTCAGCCTCACTCACCTCACAGAGTGTTTGTTGTGGGGGAGGAAGGGAAAGGAGATTGTTAGCCGCTTTGAGACTCCTTAGGGTAGTGATAAAACAGGATATCAAATCCAAACTCCTCCTCCTCTTCTTCTTCCCTCCCTAAGTATATTTATTTATTTATTTATTTAGTGAATGTTTGGAGAAGGCACCACAGTTCATGTTCCAGGCTGAAGAACCAGTGTCTCTAGTTCAGGGGTCTGCAACCTTTCAGACAAAAAGAGCCACTTGGACCCATTTCCGAAGGAAAAAAAAAACTGGGAGCCGCAAAACTCGTCATTATAAAAATAACTTTTTTGTCACTTTTTTATTATTTCTTTGTTTGACCCCTCAGGATTACTCCTCCTCATAGAAATAAATGTTAAATTAACAAGTTACCTTTTTGTGTGTGTGTGTTCTTCACTCCCCTTCAAAACAGTGACCAGCGTACATGCCCCCTTTCAATGCAGTGACCAACGTACATGCCCCTTACAATGTAGCGGGCGGGCGGGCGGGCGGGCGGGAAGGTGACGTCGGGACGGTGCGTGTCTAACACACGCACCGCCACCATGTGACGTCACAGCCAGTACAGCGCCCGCCACAGTGGGGAGTGTCGGGGAGCACAATGCGCCTCCTCCCCTCACTAGTATCCGCCCCGGAGCCGCGGCAAAGGTGTAAAAGAGCCACATGCGGCTCCGGAGCCGCGGGTTGCAGACCCCTGCTCTAGTTAGAAGGATCAGGTTGCAGGTAACAGGGAAGACTCTCTTGGGAGCTGCTGGCAGTCACAGTGAACAATACTAGACTAGATGGACCATGTAGTTAGACCTGCCATGTGCTTCCCTAGAAGTGGCTGGACTTTCTCAACTGGCAAAGAAATATTCCATGTAGGTATTTGATAAGAAAGAGGAGGTCTTTTTGGTAGGAAGAGCTTTCCATAGGTAGGAAGGCCAGTCTTACCTGTTCTTGCTCATTCTACTAGTTTTAAACATTCTGAATTTAAGAACTGCTCAGGTTAGAATGCAGAGAGAGAGAGAGACAGCTGTGTTGCCTAATGCATGAGACTCTTGCCTCCTGTGGTTAATAAAGGAAAATAAGAAAATAAGAAGTTTGTACGTTGTTAGGAAGCAAGCCAAACAGGACTCCTACTCATACAGCCCAGCCCAATGATTTCATACAGAATAATTTCAGAAAGCGAGGCCATGCTAGTCTCTTGTGGCAAAAGACAGCCTGTTAGCATGCTATAGGCTTCTGCTGCAATACTATGCAGGCTTGGGAGTAAGTTCTACTATTGCCAGTTTGGCTGGTGAGGGCATGAATATAGAGTGGAGACTTAGCTAGCTTATTGTGATGTGAATTTCCAAGGGAAGAAGTCAGCCAGATTTCAAAAACAGTTTGGCATCAAGGTGGGAACTGGAAAGTTGCGGTTTGTGTTGTCAAAATGTAAGTTCAAGTTTGGGGCCATTGATTTAGAAATAGATAACAAGATTGCAGAATAGCTGTATGAGTTCTTTGCATCTGTTTTCACTGTGGAAGTTGTGTCAGTTTCTCAACCAGCTTCACATATGCAGTGTCTTGGTTCACACATAATACTAGCTACAAGTTGTTTCTTGGGTGATAAAACAAATCATGGCTTGTTTTCCCCTCAGAATTTTATTGTTTCCCAGCTGCTGTTGTCTCATGTCATTATAATTTGGCAAGCACCTGTGGTGTGATGGTGAAACAAACTATGGTTTGGGAAAAGTGCTGGGTTTACACGTAACACCAAGCCATAAATGCAACAAATCAAAGTTTGTCAGCCAGCAACATACTGGCTTCAGAACACATTTTGTTGGCAGGAAACAGACAATGGAGTTATGCTGCTGGGCAAGATTCACAATAAAATGCAAGCATAACTGAATTTCTCTCCCATCCCTTAATAATGGTATTGTTGCTAGACTAGTGGTTGGTGGCTCTTTGTTTTTGTGGCAGATGAATGGGCTGGAGTATCCTTTTCCTTTGCTTCTACATTCCCAAGAAAATTTACTGTCGGAGCCAAGGATTCTTCCTGGCAGTGAGAAGGAAAGCAAGTCTCTTGTAGCTGCTCCTTCTTTGGCTGATGAATGAAACCATGTTGGTTTCTCCTGTTCCATTCCATGATATTCTTCCTAGGAGTTCAATCGTCCAGTGGTCTTTGGTCCCCTTGGCCAATGTCCGAAGTCAGAGTGTGCTTCCTTTCTGCTCTGCAATCCCAGAGCAACGTTGGCAGCATTCACACTTCACATCATTCTGCTTTTCCTGATATTTCCTCACTTTGTGTGTTATGTAATCTTTCACACAATGTAGAAGCTACCTACAGAAATCTATCAGAATCTAGTGGATGTTCAAAGTTTAAAAAATACACAGCCTTGTTCTTCTACCACAGCAGGGAAACAGCCAACTTTCCTATAGCACTTGAAGAAAAGAGAAAAGAAAAACCAGTTTATTGTAGCAATAGCTTTTTGTGGGCAAAAAACTAATATTTTTTTAGGATGCAGTGATGCTGGAGGGCTTGAGGGGCAACACCCTAGCAGGAAGTTTATGTCTCTTGGGAAGGTGGGGGCAAATGTTTCTGAGGGTTGTTTCAGCCAAATAGAAAACAGTTTGTTTCTTTGAAGGAAGAGATAGGATTTTTGGTAAATTCTATCTCTGTAGGACAAGGAGCGTAGGAAGCTGCCTTATTCTGAGTCAGACCATTGATCCATCGAGTTCAGTACTGGCCACACTGACTGGTGGTGGCCTTTCAAAGTTTCATACAGGGTACATTCCCAGCCTTACCTGATTGGGGATTGAGTCTGGCAGAAGCTCTACCACTAACCTACAGCCCTTCATCTGAGTAAATTTCACAATGAGTAGGGCTGGGCGATATCAGCTTTTCCTCATCGCAGTGTAACACCAGCCAAACATCGTGATATAGTGATACATTACAATGTTGAAAAGTGGACAGAGGAACAAGCTGCATCGTCCTGGGCCCCACGAGGCGCTGGGGTGAAACTGCCTCAGCTCCCCTCATGGGGCCAATGCATCTTCTTCTCTCTGGGTGCTGGCAGCAGAGGGGGTCAGGCGCAGGCAAGCCCCACCTGTGATATACTGTGAAGTGAAGGTGCCATCGCACTCTGGCCCTCAAACTAGTCCTGGGCAATGTATCAATACGTTGCCCAGGCCCAACAATGAGTACAGAAGGATTTATTCATTGACTATATCCACCACAAACATATTTATTCATTGTGTTTATATACTGTCTTTCTGCCAAGGCACCCAAGGGTGGCTTACACATTTTTAAAGTCCAAAGATAACATGCAAACTTGGGAGGGGGCAGGGAAAGAAATAGACAGTTTGGCCAGAGCACGGCTTGATGTTGTCTGTGCCTGCCTCCTTGACATACTTCTTCCTCATCACAGGGCAGGTGGTTACTGTTGGCCTTCAACATATAAATAGGTCTGGTATCAACAGTTAGCGTTCCAGACCTGGTACTCTGATACCTCGGGTTACAGACACTTCAGGTTACAGACGCTTCAGGTTACAGACTCTGCTAACCCAGAAATAGTACCTCGGGTTAAGAACTTTGCTTTAGGATGAGAACAGAAATTGTGCTCTGGCAGCTCGGCGGCAGCAGGAGGCCCAATTAGCTAAAGTGGTACCTCAGGTTAAGAACGCACCTCCAGAACGAATTAAGTTCTTAACCCGAGGTACCACTGTAGTGGTGATGTTGACACCTGCCTTGTTCTTCCCATGTTCTCTCCTCAATACCTTGAAATAACACCAGGTAAGGTGCCCCAGGGCATTGTGAGAAATTGAAAGGGTGGCTCTCAGTCACCCTTGGAGTAGGAAGTGATCCAGTGGGTGCTTGGTGCAGAGCCACGATCCTACATGGATATAAATAAAACACCACTGCTGTTTGTGATGTAGATAGGGCAGGAAAAAAAGGTTCTTGATGGCTAGTACCAAGCTAATTTTTAACGCTCTCTTTTTGTATTGTGTTTTCAGAGACGGTGAGCTAAGTTTAAGTAGATCAATGGTCAATAGCTCTGATAAAATAAACCAAAAGAGTGGCTCTTCAATGTTCCAGCATTCCGTAGAAAGATGGAAAATCAATTCTTCCTTGGTACTGGAAATAAGGTGAGTACCTTAAATAACGCACAGAACTCATTTATACATTGTGGTAGCTTGTAACTGGGTATATGCAAGTGAGGACTGGCAAATCTGTCTTTCTTTACAGCTGTTGGTCTTTACCAATGTGGAAGACAAAAGTTTGGAGATTCCAGTGTAAAAGGTGTCTCTTTAATTTTGAACATCCCTTCAGTCAAAACTGAATCCATTATTAAACTAAATTCTCCATGCAGAATAGGGTCTGTATAGTGGCATCCAGTAAGTTTGACAGGATTGGTCGCAGCATTTCAATGTGCTGTATAATAAAGCACAAAAAAGATATTAATGGCATACGGCTAATTAATATGTGCAAAGTTGCATTAAAAGAAATCTGCAGGAGGCCTCTAGTTTGATAGCTCTTGGAAGGCTTCGCCTGTGAATGATCCCACTGTTTCATCACTGTAAAAGCAAACGGCCAACAGTGATTCTGACAACTTGTATTTCAGTATACTTGACTGACTGATCTTTTCTTTTCTGATCTTACTAATATCATTGTACACACTTGGTTAAGAAAAAAGTATCAGCAAATCACTTCTGTTAAAATAAAGTGTAGTTGCTTGCTTTTGAAGAGTTTGTGTCTGAGTCATATCTTTCGTTTTCCGCTGCATCAGTCTAAAACCACAATGGCAGAACGGGGCTGGGGAGGGGGGGTTTCCATTTTCTTCTGTGAGAAGGAAAAGGGACATCTTTTAAAGTGAGAAGTGTTGGGTCTCACATCTGGCTGCAAGTCTCTCCCTGGATACATCCACACATCGGTTTATTCCTTTCTCCTAATTTAATTTCCATGCTATATGTGAGCTTTCGCATGGAAACCATTTCTGGAAATCTAATGAAATATAGTGGGAGTTTAGTTCTCATTTCCATGTTAATTTATTCCAGAAAACAATTCCCTTGCAGCCCCATTATTTGCAGGAATAAAGTGACAAAATTTGGGGTGGTATATTAGCATATGGTTCTTTCCTGCTTAAAGCAGTATCATAGCACTTTAAATGTATGGTGTGAAGGTGACCTTGGTTACTCCTACAGTAAACACAATCAGTTCTTAGTGGTGCAGATTTTACCCTGGACAGGACGCAGGCCACCAGGCATTGTGCAGCCTGATGTTTTACTATGATCTTGCCCATTACTGGTTATTTTTAAGGGCAGTTAAGGACTGTTTTTTGCTGTGCTGGGAGCCTTCAAACCCTTTGCTCTGGGAAGGCTAGTGTGTGGTTCAGGGTCGGATTTCAAGTGTGTTTTGGTCATATCTTCATCTGGGATTGATAGTTCATGCAATACTAAAGACTAAGACTGTTGTTTTATTATGCTTTTGTATTTGATGGAAGCCACCTAGAGTGACTGGGGAACGCAGTCAGTTGAGGGGGTACAAATATAAGAAGAAGAAGAAGAAGAAGAAGAAGAAGAAGAAGAAAGTTCAGTTTTCTGGATGTGGATCTTTGTGTAGGCAAGACTGGGCCATCCCCACCCAAGAGGGAAGTACTGGCTGACTTGGAGAAACCTCAAAGTTTGCAAAAGACCAAAAATACTTTACTCTCCCCTTACATTTCCTTATAGCACCCACCAAACAGATGAATAAGCAGAACTGAGCATGCTTATTGGTCATGGAATGTGGGGGCAGCAGGGTGAGGAAAAACAGAGTGGGATGGAGTGTCCTACAAGAGGCCATAGCTGTGTGTATGGAACCCCAAACTGGATCACTGCACACAGTAACCTTTTGTTTGTGGGTCCCACTTATCCTTTTAGTTTCAAAGCCAGTTTGAGTCAGTCACAGGATGGCTGTATCCCAGGAGGAGTTGCCCATTTAAAGGCAGTAGGGGGCTGGCAATTCAAAGGACACAAGCCATGATTGCTGTCAGCAGACATCTTTTTAATCCCTGCCATTATGGATTCATTTACCTCCTTTCAGCCTCTTCCTTTCTCCTTCACACAAGAAGCAGTTTGCAAAAGTCAAAGTTCTGGAAAAGAAACCAGACTGGGCTGAAAATGAAAATCCGTTATAGCAATCTGTTCATTTGGCATAATTTAACTTAATTGTAGAATTGAGGTTCGATCATTGCTGGGTATTGATAGGTGTGAAATATCTTGACTAAAGCTGCGTGTCAGGCGTTCTCCTTTGTAGACATTGTGAACAGATGGCGTATCAGTAACCAGGCAGTCCAGATCAGTAGTGGCAGAAGAAACATTGCCTCACGTTGTTGCACGGCACCTATCACAGCATCTTGGACCTGACAAGTGACAGCTCACCTGGATGTTACAGCATAGTCACTACTCCTGCCACACTTAACAGTGATGGTGTGAGCACATCACGGTAAACCAAACTTAATGGTTTACTATGCATGGCCTGATTGTGCCCGCTCCATTCCTCGCCGCTAGCGCTGGTTTAGCGTTTTGTCTGAACAAGGGGTTGTGATCAACATGGTAAAGGACCCCTGACCATTTTTTTAAAAAAACGCAATTTTTATTAACAGGCCAATCATATCACATTATTTCAAATCACATTAATTCCAAATTATACAGCCGAATTTTTCAATTTTGTTGGGGGTACCCATACATCAAGCTCCGGACGAGAATCCAAACATCACTTCTATTACTGCTTTAATTAAACAGTTCTATCCAGTTCTATCCAGATAGTCTCTTTTTTACTTTCTTCATCTTCTTGTTGTTGTCATATATTCCTTTCTTTGCGATCTCTGATAATCTTCACAGGCAGGTTAAGAACAAACATCGTCTGCGTGGGTTTTACGCACTCCACAAGTCATATTTCATAGGGACAGCCGCCATTCCACTCCTCCTTCGAAAATTTATCTTCGGTCTGCCCTTTAGTTTTCCCAGGCTTGTAAAATATCTCCTAGAGGGCTCTGCCAGGTTAAAGATCAAATTCCAAACATTGTTCACTTTCAAATAGTCCTGGTTCTCCTCCCCCCGTCTTTCTTAAACAAGCCTGTCTTGCGAGACGCCATTTTAAAACTGCGTCATAAAATTTTTCCATTCTCTGATCTTTACCAATCCTCTCTTCATTCATCATTAATTCATCCCACACAGTTTTTAGATTCCTGCTTGTGTAGTAAAATACAGAGGTTCTTTTTTCTTTGGGGTGGAGGGTTATTATTTATGCTCATATAAGATAAAGAAAGAAAAGTTTTTTCCTCCACCCCACCTTCTTAGCTCCAAACATACCCATTTCTTAATGGCGCTTCGTCTCTTGATTTATTTGTCTTTGCCCGCCGCTCCAATCCCAGAGATCCATTAATCAGCAGTCTTATCTCCCGACCTTTGCTTGACATATGTGCTTTAACATCTTCCAATTATATATTTCCAATTATATTTTCGTGTTAAAGCAAGCCAGCACGCGCAAATTGGAGACGACGTCCGGGAAGAGCCGACCGCACCGAGGGCTTAGCCAAGTGACCGGCGCACCCCCTTCTCTCGAATCTGGGGGTGCATTGTGGCCACCGCTGGCAAGGCAGTCCCCCCCATATCCTTGGGGGGGGGAAGACTGCATACTTCCCATAGCAGCCTCTTAATTACCTCATGTGGGTCGGAGAGATGTTATTGTCGGCCATCTTCCAATGCGCCACCTGGTGGCCCCCCAGGCCCCCTGACCATTAGGTCCAGTCATGACCGACTCTGGGGTTGCGGCGCTCATCTCGCTTTATTGGCCAGGGAAGCTGACGTACAGCTTCCGGGTCATGTGTCCAGCATGACTAAGCCGCTTCTGGCAAACCAGAGCAGCGCACGGAAATGCCGTTTACCTTCCTGCCGGAGCAGTACATATTTATCTACTTGCAGGTTGGCAGGAGCAGGGACCGAGCAATGGGAGCTCACCCCATTGCGGGGATTCAAACCGCCAACCTTCAGATTGGCAAGTCCTAGGCTCTGTTGTTTAACTCACAGTGCCACCCACGTCCCTGGGTGATCAACCCAGGTTGTGATCAACATGGTAGATGAGCCAAAATCAACTCCCAGCTTTTCATTATGGTTTGTTGGGAGGAAAACATGCCCCTGAGTCTGAAAGTAATGATAAGCCATGCATTGTGCTTTGTTTCCTCAGTGTGATGTTGGGGAGGAGCAAGAGTCCAAATTCACTACCATTAAGTATGCTTTACTGTGATGTGTGAACTGCACGGCTCTGCAGCACTGTCTGATGGCTTGGTGTATGTGCAGACGGTCTCTCGGTTGAGACTGTGACCTGATGCACTTTCCCCTAATGGGTGCTATTACAATGGGTGCTGATTTCCATTGATTGGGGTTATAGGATTAAGCCACTACGAGTCTCTGTCATGTGTTGGGCTAGAGTGAAGTTTTGCCTTCCATTTATAGAAGGCTTTTCATCCAGTGGAGGGATGTTACTGGCTGGGAATGGGTGACTTTTGTTGATCTTTATCCCCCGTCCCCATTAAAGGTTTCATGGAGATGAGGGAATCAGAAGCATTAGCTATCACTGGGACTAAAGTCTTCATACAACCCATATGTATATTGTAAGCAGTTCTGTGCAGTGACATCATTCAGACAAAAAATAAAATAAATAAAAATTAAAGCATTAAGACCAGATAACTGCCCAGGCTGCAAAGGTTGGGTTCAAGTAAAAAAACAAAACAAGAAAACAATTCACACATTTATTATTTGGGACCTATTCTGTTCAGAGGAAGTGATTTCAATTGTTAGAAAAATGATCAATGTAGTGAAGGCTTTGTTTACAAAGGTGCCTCATAGGATAAATAAAATAATGTGGAGTTAGTTATAATAGTGGCCATTTGTCTTTTGGTAATCAATAACTCCTAGGAGAATCTAAACATAAATCTTCCATTTTCAATCCTCACAATAAATTAACTGCAACTCCAAAATACGGGAGCTTTCCTAAATGCATCCTCCGTAAAGCAGTTGTTGGGCCGTTTGTCTTCTTGGCATTGTTATAGGGGTACGTACTAAACTTCTGATCTGCATAGCATACGCCTTTAAAAAAGGAAATAATATGTTAAAACAAAAAGCCGTTCAAGTTAAATGGTGCAGTTTTCATTTAATGAAAAGCATTACCTTAAATTGTTAAAAGTCACAATTTTCTTTCATTTGGATGCTGAAGATAGGACAGTTGGAATGCCTTAATTATTTTCTTAATGTAGCCTTTTCATATAAACAGTCAAACTGAAATTGTAAGATCAAGAGCAACAACAAAAAGTCGCTTTCTGCACAACTTCCTTTTTCATTATAGTATGCAGGAGCTGTATCTCTCTGTGTTTCAGAACATAATGTTATCCCCCATTCATGTTTGCATAGCAATGTGCAATTAGAAACAAAGGTAATTTAGGCTGCAATCTTGTGCACACTTTTTCTTGAACTTAATGGGGCTTGCTTCTGAGTAGTTACACATCGTATTGCATTGCTAAGATCTCTGCAGTTTTGAGAAACTAACGTTTAATGGAGTACTTAGCTGTTTTACCCAAGACTGGCTGCACACAAGCCGGTTAATCTGCAGCATTTCAGTAGAGAATGAAGGTCTTGTGTATGCATGTTTGTTGCATCTGAAGTTGAACAACAGCATGGGTGTTCTTGTTGAAATACTTTTAGAGGCTTTAGAACCAGCTTGGAGCTTTCCCCCCAGGCAGAAACTTAGTGAGTTTCTTTTGACTTCTGGCTACAGAAGCTACTTTTAAGAAAACCAGATAGAGGCAAGACAGACAACTTCTAAAATATCTGCATACCGTTCATTTGGAAACTTTGTCAGCCCAGTTGAGATTTCTTTAGGCGGTAGGCAAAAACATTCCTCTTGAACCAGGCCTTTGGCTGATTAATATTCTACAGCCTTTTAAACGTGTCTGTAGGAAGGGTTGGTTATTGTTTTGCTGTTTTGCTTTACTTATTTTCATGTTTTTATCCTGTATTTTACTCTGTGAATAGTCCTCAGTAGACCCGCTGCATGTTGTTCCCTTTTACAGTGCAGGCATCTGCAGAGAGAGGGCCTTTGCATGTCTCTGCATAGCTGAATCCATAAAGGCTTCCATGTGATCTGGGACACATGTGAGTGTGTGCAGATGCACGTGCAATTCCTCCTTCCCCCACAGTTGTTTGCATTGCATTTGCAAATGCCAGGGGAAGGCACTACAGCCGTACCTTGGAAGTCGAAAGGAATCCATTCCGGAAGTCCGCTCAACTTCCAAAACATTCGGAAACCAAAGAGCAACTTCTGTTTGGCTGCAGGAAGCTCCTGCAGCCAATCAGAAGCCGCGGAAACCCCATCAGACGTTCGGCTTCCAAAAATAGTTTGCAAACCATAACAGTCACTTCAGGGTTTGGGAACCAAAACGTTCAAGAACTAAGCTGTTTGAAAACCAAGGTACAAAGGTACTTAGCAGTGTGGGGATACTCAGCACCTTCTGGTCATACCAGTATAACTTCTATATGGGTGTCAAGGCCCAAATGCTAACCAGACAAGGGAATTAAACTTTACATCCCATGAGAGGTCTGGGTTGCAAGTCAATCAGGGTGTAAGGCTGGCTGCACTGTGGGTCTGGCTGATTAGCTGCAGCGACTTGGTACTTCTCTTACACATTTCAAATGCATGACCTTGGAACTCTTTAAAGCATCCCCATAAGACAGGACAGCATGCTTATCACCATCACCATCTTGCAGACGGTAGGCTGAAGGAACTGTGCCTTGCCCAAAACCACAAGCAAGCTTGAATCTGAGGTGCACTGTGGGGATTTCCTAGCTCGTATCCACCATGCTGCAGCAGCTCTCAAGATTAAAAGATCAAAAAGTCATTGCCTTCTGTGAGCCTTTTGAGAAGCTGTGCTGTGTGCTTCAGCTTGCAGAGCAAAAAGGCCTGTGCTCTGTTCATAACTTGATCTAGAGATAAGGTTTTCTCTGAAACTTATCTTTGATGCTGCACAGGTGTTCTGCTATATCAATAGGCCTCATTTCCTCCTTCGAAAAGCCACAGATGTAAGGCTTCTGTATAACTATGAATCAGGGGGGTGTTCAACAGTGTTTCAGTGTCAGAAGAAGCACGGGAGCTCCCTTAGAGTTGGGGAGAAGCCACGGATCGGTGTTAAAACTTGTTGGTTGTGATCCTGGGTTCAGTCCTAGGCATCTCCAGATAGGGTTGTGAGATTGGTGGTCTTTACTCAGTTTAAAGCAGCTTCCTATGATCTTCTTCTCTAAGAAAATATGGGTTATTTTGTTAGATGAGATCAATGGTCCATCTTACTGATAGGACTGATATCTGATTTTCAAAACCGTGATACATCACCAGCTAAGCATCGGGATATACCAATACATATATCACAATGTCTAAAATAAGGATGGAGCTATGTAGAGGCATTAGGGACATGGGTAGCGCTGTGGGTTAAACCACAGAGCCTAGGACTTGCCGATCAGAAGGTTGGCGGTTCGAATCCCCGCGACGGAGTGAGCTCCCATTGCTTGGTCCCTGCTTCTGCCAACCTAGCAGTTCGAAAGCACGAAGTGCAAGTAGATAAATAGGTACCGCTCCGGCGGGAAGGTAAACAGCGTTTCCATGTGCTGCTCTGGTTCGCCAGAAGCGGCTTAGTCATGCTGGCCACATGACCCGGAAGCTGTACGCTGGCTCCCATGGCCAATAAAGCGAGATGAGCGCTGCAACGCCAGAGTTGTCCGCGACTGGACCTAATGGTCAGGGGTCCCTTTACCTTTACCTTTATGTAGAGGCATTGGTGATTTTTGCCAGTGCCTGCTCTTGTGATTTGCTGCCCCTTGCATGAAGCAGGGGAAAATTCACCCAGCAGAGTTAACAGGAGCTGCAGAAATTGAAAGAAACATTGACTGGCTTCGTGGTTTTTTGCATCGCATGCACACACACACACACCATGATTCACGATATATTGCCAGATCAAAAATTATGAAACCAATGTCACGATATGGACTTCAAACCACTTTGGGACAGTGTATCAATATATCGCCCAGCCCTGCCAACTGACAAGGCAGACTGTTGGCCCATCATTCCCACAAGGATTGCTTAGTGCAATACTGTGCTTGGCCTGACTCAGTTTAGAGCAACTCAGTTTAGTATGCCTGACCCTTTATAGCATGGACTCCTACTCTCATGCGCTCTGACTGGGGCTGATAGCAGTTGGAGTTGAACAGTATCTGGAGATCCATAGGTTCCCAAGCCTTGCTTTATAAGGAAGTTTATAAGTCAGGAGTTGGCAATCCTACACAGTTCTCTTGCTATCTCATGTATTGTCCTATTTCAGGTCTTTAGTGCTTTTAGATCAGTTCATTTCCTTCTTAATGTGTTTTCTCCAATATTTGATGGTCTTGGCATATTAGGCATGAGCAGCTTTTAAACCCATCTGTGTACAAGATTAAAAATATGATTAAAAAAATAGTCTTTAGGTTTCAGAAAAGCAAAAATCAGGGAAAGGGAACCTTTGCCTTGACTTATCATTTATCTGATGCTCTAGGCACTTTGCATCTTAATATATCCCATTCTGCTTCATTACTACGTTGTCACACAAGCTCAGTTGTCAGATATTCTCTTCTCCAGCACGGCTTCAAATCTACACCAATATCCTAAAGAATGTGTTTTCCCTTTTCTATTTTACTGAAATGTAAGTTCCAAAAATCATGGCTCAGTTCCCTTAGGCTTAAAAAGTAAGTGTAGCATCCTCATTGTTGTAAAACCAAGTATCAGAAATCTCTTTGTGACTTGAAGCTTTGACTATGGCTTGTATGATATTACGATGCCATTTCCCTCTTTCCCAGAATGAACAAACACACTTAGGAAGTTTGTAGAGCCACTGGAATAGTTAGGAGAGTTGTTAGGAGACACCAATTGCCCTGACAGATCTATAGATCCCAGAGTGGTTTAACAGTCAACCCCTCTTCCCAGGGAACTGTGGAAAGTGTAACTTTCTGAGGGGAATGGGGGTCTCCTAACAACTCTCAGCACTCTTAACAAGCAGCAGCTCCTACAATTCTTGGGGGGATCTGTTTAAAGTGGCATCACAGTGTGAATGTGGCCTGACTCTTCATGACAGCAAAGGAACTGTTACTATGGGAGGTGAACACTGCTGTCATGTTTCTAAAGACATCATTCACCAACCTATCTGCCTCTCTCAGCTTCTCCTATTCAGCTACCCTGACTTCAAGGGAACAAACTTGTTTTCTGAGAACCAGGCGCTCTTTATTAGGGTTGCCATAGGTCTGGGTTCCCCCAGACATGTCCTGGTTTGGGGGGGCAGCATGCCCACCTGGGCAGATTTTTATTTTTTAAATGAAATGTCAGGGCTCTTTGGGAGTGGGGGCAGACTCATGCCACTGAAGGGTGGGAGAGGGCAGGCACTTTTCAGAGTCAGCCACTCTCCACTGCCTTTCTGCACTGCGGCTGTGCCCCAGAAGCAGAAGCGCTGCAGCGGGATCTGGAGCTCCACCACCACCACCACCACTCCTTTCCATTTTTTTTTAAAAATGATATCTATTACTTTTTCAAAATTTCCAATACAGCACTACAAACACAGAGAAAAAGAAAAAAGAAAGAAAAAACAATACAAATAACAAATCAAGCAAAAACAAACAAAAACAATTTAAAAACACCTCAAACATTTTCAATATCTTATATTTCATTCACTTATTTCCAGCGACTTCCTCCCACCTCCCTTTTTGTATTCTACTTCTATTATTTGTTTCAGCAATTCCTTTCCATCTTACTCTGTTTTCTGTTCTATAATTAGCTTAACACATTCTTGCCATACTTTTCCTTTAATTTTCTATTAATCTATTTATACTTAATTCCTTATGACATTTCTACTAAAGCCATGTAATTTCATTCCAACATTTTTCTAACAATCCTTAATTTTACAATATTTCTATAAATAGTCTTTAAACTTTTCCCAATCTTCTTCCACCGACTCTTCACCCTGGTCTCGGATCTTGCCAGTCATTTCCGCTAATTCCCTATAGTCCATCAACTTCGTCTGCCATTATCCAACACTTCGGTGTTTTCAAGAAGCAACCATTCTCTCAACCAGCAAAAGGCAGATGGTTCACAACGAAGTTAAAGGTCTGGCAGAGCAGGTCCACCTCCTTCTTTAGCATCCATCAATATCTTAAGCTTAACTCGAGGCTTCCTGCCCTGCCAAACAACTCTAGGAGCATCCCTCTGCCACCTCCTGAGACCCTCCATCCCTGAGACCCTCCACCACTCCTTTCCAGTGCCCGCTCCTGGCTGTGCTGTTTGCCAGACGCTATGTGCGCGAGGCTACAGCTTGCTGGTGCCGGGGGGTGACTCTGGGCCGCTGAGTGGCTCCGCTGTGGAGCTGCCTCTTCCTTTCAGGCCTCCTAGTGATCACTGGCAAGGACATGTCCAGGATCTGGCCCGGGGAGGAAGGCTCATTGCTTTGCGGCTTCTCTGGTCCTGCCTGAGCCTTCCCCAGCAGCAGTGGCCCCCCCAGTCGCTGCTCAAGTGTGGAAGGAGACGCAGCTGCAGGAGCTCTACGGTCTCTCGGGTCCTACTCAATGCGGTTTTCCCTTTTCTTGTGAGGAATCCTATTTGGAATAAGGGAATTTTCCTTTAAAAATGGGAAACGTTGGCAGCTATTGTTTTTCAAAAGGATGATTTAGAGTGCGGAATTTTCTGTTAGGTCTGTAGGCCAATCTGGAGTTATGGGGACAACTTTAAAGGTAGAGGATAAGCCACTGGTGAGCTGTGAAGCTGTCTTCTAAGTAGGATGTTAATTACTAAGGTGCCAAGGGAGAAGAAAGGAATAACTGTGCTAAGACATAGATGTTCCTTAAGTATCTCTACGTGATGGGACATTTATCAGGTGGGCAGGATGTGTACTGTGTTTGAAGAGATAATGTGTGTGAGAGACAGTCTCCTGGGGCACACTGTCTGTTTCCTAAAAAGTGACTCACAAGCCTGTTCTCACAGAAATCTCAGGCTGGTCTTTAATTTATAGATGTCTGGAATATCAAAAGGTATTCAAAAAGGCATTTCTCTTTCAGAGACCTTAGTTGCTCTGAGCAGTGGCATACTGTGGGTTGCCACTTTCCGGGGCCGCACACAAATGGGGGAGGGAGGGAAACGGATGGAGCACACCTGCGCATTGATCTGCCTAATGGTGTCTGCGTCACCCAGGAGATCTCAGCTGCAGAGATACGAAGAGCTATTCCATTGTCTGGAGAGGTCACTTCCTGGTTCACATGGAGAAACCGTTTCTCAACGGAGCCCAGCAATGGAAGCACACAGCTGTATTACTGGGTGTGCCTGACAATTTTGCACCGGGGGTAACCTTCCCTGTGCCCCTCCCAATGCTGCACCACTGCTGTGGATAGCTTGTGTGTATTGTAGCAGAAGAAATTGTGCAATTAGCTCAGGGCAGAAGAGAAGAATCTTTCTCATCTTCCCAGAGCGGCTGAATATTTAATACAATGGCTGTGCCATCTCGTGTCTTCAACCCCAAATCCACAGCAATGTCACGGGTCACCTCAGTGGTACTCAAGGACCTCTGGTGGTCCAGGGCCCACAGTTTGGGAACTCCTGGTTTAGGCCTCAATGCTAATGTGCAGGATTAGCTTAAATGCGACCAGCATGTATCCATGCCTTGTGTTCATAAACAGTGCACTAATCTGCACCTCTGGAACTAATGTGCATATTGAAATTTTGTTATCCCTGGGATTTTCTGTTTCTCTGAATGTTGCAATATAGTCCTCTGGTGTTTAAATGTATCATAATATGCATTCACAGAAACATTTTGAGAGAGAAATGCATGAACATTTTCATATGTACTCTGAGAGGACTTTTTAAAAATTGCAGATTGATTAGGAAATGGGTAGAAATGTGGAAGTGGCCAGACCAGAATTAAATTCACCTATCTCTTTCTTCACACAATTACTTAATAAGATGAGAATTTCATACGAGCCTATAATTTAGAATATTATAACCCTGCTAAAATCAATGACCATGTTGCTGCTGACTTCTATGAGTTTTTTTATTGTGCCTTATTGATTAGAAACCATAAACATGCTGGTTTTGAGCCTGGGCTCCACGAGTTACATTTATTTTCTCAACAATATTATTGAACCTGATTCTTGCTCTAGAACTGTTGATTGCTGCTTTGATTTTAAAAATAATAATCAATATTTTTGTATTTAAAAAATCAGTAAAGATGGATCATTGGAAACTGAGCTTTGACATTTTAAAATCAAGTGGTGGCTTTTAAATCATATGTTTACAAATGCAGTCTCATCACGGTTTAATGAAACCCACAAAGTAACAGTTTTCATGCTTTGTTTTGTTTTTGAGATGTTTCAGCTGTTACTGGAAAAAGGAAAGTGATGTTGCACATTGAAGGCTAACTTTGAGGAGGCCAGAATTAGTGTGATCAGATGGATGAAGTGTATTTGTGAAAGGGTGGTTGAGCTTGGAATGCCAAATCATGGCTTGGTTTTATTTCTTATGAATGAACAATCAAGGATTCTCATTGCTGCCCTTACCTCCTGATTTCCCTATGGTAATTCCTTCCTGGTTTTAGCAAAACATTTCATTTCTTTCAAATTGGAAATCTTCAATTGTGGCACTCGCCTTGGATATCAGTACCAAGCCATGGTTCGATGTTGCATGTAAACCTTTCTAAAAGTCCATGCAAGATTACGCTGCAATTTTGCTCCAAGCAACAGGCTACTCTTTTGGAATACAGTAGTACCTTGGTTTTCGAATATAATCCATTCCGGAAGACTGTTCGACTTCCAAAACGTTCGAAAACCAAGGCACAATGGGTAGTCTGCAATTTCAGTGGAGAAAATTGGGGGGGAGGGAGGAACTCAGCGGAAGCTGTCCAACTTCCAAAAAGCGTTCAAAAATGGAACCGATTAGTTCCGGGTTTTCGGCATTCAAAACTGAAACATTTGGCTTCCGAGATGCTCGGAAACTGAGGTACCACTGTATATCTTGCAGAGGTATCATAAATTTGCATTCTTGTTTTCAATACAGGAAGAACATTCTTCGTTTCTTGGATGCAGAAAGAGATGTCTCAGTAGTCAAAAGCAGCTTCAAGCCAGGAGATGTAATCCATTACGTGCTAGACAGACGCCGCACACTAAATATTTCTCAGGATTTACACAGTCTTCTTCCAGAAGTTTCACCAATGAAGAACCGCCGATTTAAGTCATGTGCTGTTGTAGGAAATTCTGGTATTCTCCTTGATAGTGGCTGTGGAAAAGAGATTGACAACCACGAGTTTGTTATAAGGTGAGCATTCATCTCTCACTTGACAGGTTGTCTTTTACTTCAGCAGTAATGAACACAAATGTTTTAACTTGGAACAATGATTTGGAATTGCTAAATGATAACTTTCACTGTGTGGTGCCCAGAGTTAAATATATTTCACAATAAAAAGAATAGGTCCGTCTTTTATATTGCAAATGAGAATTTGCACTGTTGGAGACCGCAGTGAGATTTGTAATATTGTTTTGTAGTTTCTGGTTTTGCTCTTTATGCAGGCAAAAATCACTATTCCAATAGCAAGCTGGCTCTGCAAAATGAAAATGTTTTCATTTTCTCCTTCCTGCCAATAGTCATAGCAGAAAATCACCACCTTTACTTATTATATATGCACTGTATGGGGTACAATTTATGTGAAATGCATTGAGGATTAGCCAGATAGCTCCCATTAAGGGAATTGGAAGTCACACATCTAAACCCTTGTGTGCCACACCGAAAATATATTCTGACTGCATCTGCAAATGTATTCATATATTTTAGTTTAAATAATTAGTTTGTCCAAAACAAAGTGTTCTACTTTGTCAAAGGTCAGCGAGAAATTGAAAGGAGTTGTGGGCACTGTTTAATAAACTGTCACGTACGAATGTAAAACAAGTTTTAGTTGAAAATACGAGGCATTGGGTGCCATCCAGAACCATTAAAAATCAATCTGAGTCTTGCTGTTGGCTTGAGTGGAATATGGTTTATGCCCACTATGCTTTTAGCAAGTCACAGTTTTCCATGCCTAATAGAACGGACATGATCCTGCCACTTCCGTTTGTCTGAATAGCATTTTCTCAGCTCTTGTATCAAAATCAGTGGGCCTAAGTCTGCAGTCCTAAGCAAGTTCAGTATTATGAAGGCTCGAGTTCAGTGGGACTTACTTCTGAGTATGTATACCTAAGTCATAGCTGTCAACGTTTTCCCTTTTTTTTAAAGGGAAATTCCCTTATTCCGAATAGGATTCCTCACAAGAAAAGGGAAAAGTTGATGGCTATGACCTAAGTACTTACTGTGTAAGTAAGTAAACACTATTGAAATCAGTGTGAATTGTTGCTGTGCCTCATTTTTGTGAGGTTTGGTTTTTGATGTGAATGTTGTTGTGTCAGACTATAGAATGAAGATGTCTGTGAAAAATTCAAAACTTGCTCTTTGCACATTTATGGCACCTACTTACTGCTATTGTTGCCCTAATATACTGCTGCTTCATCACCCTGTACATTCTGCCCCAGTTACTCATCTACATGTGACTTGGCTGGGGCAAGGGGAGAACAGCCAGATTGCCTTGGTCATGGTGACCCATGCCCTCATATTGGATGTCCTGTCCCCTCTGCCCCCCAGAACAGTACCCGTGCTTTCACAAAAGTCTGTATGTTTCATGGGAAGTAAACATTTTCTTGAAATATGCCCCATGCTATTTTAGCTTGGCGTTACTGAAATCATGCCTAGGATTTCGCTGTGGAAAGTGCTGATGGATTGAACCTCTGCCCCCTCTCATCACTGATAAGTACATCCAGGACTAAGTGCAGTGAGAGATGGAATGATATCTCAAAATATTACTGCACCTTTCTTTTCTTAATTGCGGAATGCTGTCCTTGATCAAGGGACTTTAAAAAGATCAAGAATGCACACCCAGAACCCTACAAGACACTCCCTAGTCTACATGCTAAACGTGATGTCTTCTCAATCATTTGTTAAGATGGGATGATACCTATTAAGAGTTTTAGACCTTAAAGCATGTAAGATAAAAAGAAGTTAAAAGGTACTTGCTTTTTCTATGTATACAGTGAAAGAAACAGTAAGTGAAACAAACATTAAATAACTCCAAGACATGCGCTGTTCATCCATCGACTCCATCTAGGGTCTTTCACAAGCATATACAGTAGATTTTTTGAGCTTATATTAGAATAGCACAGGGGTCAGCAAATTTCTTCAGCAGGGGCTGGTCCACTGGGAGAAAGGTTGTTTTCTGCTGCTCCAGAGAAGCGGACACGGAGCAATGGATCCAAACTACAAGAAAGAAGATTCCACCTAAACATTAGGAAGAACTTCCTGACAGTAAGAGCTGTTCGACAGTGGAATTTGCTGCCAAGGAGTGTGGTGGAGTCTCCTTCTTTGGAGGTCTTTAAGCAGAGGCTTGACAACCATATGTCAGGAGTGCTCTGATGGTGTTTCCTGCTTGGCAGGGGGTTGGACTCGATGGCCCTTGTGGTCTCTTCCAACTCTATGATTCTATGATTCTATGATTCACTGTCCCTCAGATCTTATGGGGGCCAGACTTTTTTGGGGGGGGGAATGAATGAATTTGTATGCCCCACAAATAACCCAGAGATGCATTTTAAATAAAAGGACACATTCTACTCATGTAAAAACTCGCTGATTCCCGGATCATCCGCAGGCCAGATTTAGAAGGCGATTGGGGCAGATCCAGCCCCTGGGCCTTAGTTTGCCTATCCATGGAATAGCATATTTGAGGCCTGGGTCTTTTATTAGTGCCACCACCTGTTCTCCTAACTTAGGTTCTCATATTGCTCTATTTGGACACGGAATGCCCTGTGATTTACTCTTCTTTCATCTGTGACCAATGCAGACCCATTCCTTCTAGCCAGAATCTGGGAATGCTCTTCTTATTTGCATGTGTTCAGAAAGGGGACAGACTCACAGGAGTGATTGCTTGTCTGAAAAGTATAATACAGGCAGCTGTCTTGGGATTCAATTTTGAAAATAATAGCACATTCAATACACTGGATACAAGTCTCTCAATGTGTTAGTCAAGTTAACTGCTATAGTTGGCATGTTGGAATCCAGGGATGTATAAACTTTTAATATCTGCAGAGTAATTCCAATTTATCCAGCAGTGAATCTGCTAAAGCAAGATGAATGCATAGTATAGGATATTCAAGGATGCCGTGTGCGAAGTATTTGAAATCAGCAATGTATGCATTCATTATATTCTATTAAATGAATCTGGATTTCTATTTTTAAAGGGGCTAGACTTGATAGATCTTGCTCTTCTGTAAGATAGCACAAAAATACTGCTGTACTGTTCCTAGGGCAATTCTCTGGAAGCAGTCTGTATTACAAAAGATAAGAAAATTTATTGCTAAGTCTCTGTGCATCTGTAAATGGCATGGTTCTACTTCATGCTTTCGCTGCATGCTCTCTTGCAAGAGATTCAGTCAAGAACTAACTATATAGTTAAGCTGAAATACCTACCATTAAATTGATCAGATAGGTCACAACTGACTTTATTGATGAATTATATGAATAAAATGATAGGAATGTTGCACTCCCCCACCAGAAACGGCAATCAAACATTTGTTCAGTTGATTAGAGTATCCTTGCTAGTGTGAGCACAAATCAGCTACTGACTTTCTGTTGCTCTTCTGGCTCCAATGTAAGAATTGAATCAGGCATATGTGAAAAGCCGTAAGGGAGGACAAATAAACCTGTATGTATGTAGACAGGAATGTAACATAAGACTGTGAAATAACACAGAGATGAAGTCAAAAGATGGAACTTCTGTAGATTCCGTTTAGATATATTTTCTTTCTCCCTCTCTTTCTCCACTCCATCAAATTTCCTGCCCACTATTATGCAGGCAGAGTTTAATAAACCTGATTCCTTAAGTGGCCTGTGTACCTCAGAAGAAGCCATATTTTTCATTCTCTAGAGTGATGTGTGGTCAATGTTTTTAATTTTTTTTATAGAGTGGCATTGTTGTGCTAGCTAATGATGCCATTGCTTTCTACATGGTGGGAGAAACTTGCTAGTATTATTCGAGAGAGTCTTCGTGTCTGCCACATGGCCAAGTATAGTGTCTAGATGGGCTTAAGCTTTCTTGACTCAGGAGGAAGGCCCATAAAATAGCCATACTTAGCCAAGACTCAGGAAGTAACAGATCCCTTCTGAATAAAGGAAATTGGTCTTCAGCATATTTGGTTGCAACCAACACTGGTGCTCTGCCTGCGCAACAGATTTTCACTCGTACAGTGGGACTTCCCTTTCCTCTTGATTGCAGACACCACCACACCTCAAACCCTCAATATCTGTTAGGGAGAAGATTAAGGGGGATGCAAGGAGAGGAGGAGAAGGAGGAAAGTTCTGTTGTGTGCTCACGCAGTGTTGAATATAACCCATTATGTCCGTGTCTAAATATCACTCAAGAACAAGCATGCATGCAAAAAGATGGTAACTTGTTGGTTATGTAATTCCAAGCAAGTAGTTTATCCCTGCTTCACAAAATACTATTGAACTAGTAAAAGGTAAAGGTACTCCTGACCGTTAGGTCCTGTCGTGGACGACTCTAGGGCTGCGGTGCTCATCTCGCTCTATAGGCCAAGGGAGCTGGCGTTTGTCCTCAGACAGCTTCCGGGTCATGTGGCCAGCATGACTAAGCCGCTTCTGGTGAAGCAGAGCAGCACACGGAAACACCGTTTACCTTCCCGCTGGAGCGGTACCTATTTATCTACTTGTACTTTGATGTGCTTTTGAACTGCTAGGTGGGTAGGAGCTGGGACCAAGAAACGGGAGCTCACCCTGTCGCGGGGATTCGAACCGCCAACCTTCCGATTGGCAAGCCCTAGACTCAGTGGTTTAGACCACAGCACCACCCGTGTCCCACCACTATTGAACTAGGTCATATTTAATAAGTATGCTTACATTTTTATTATCACTAAACATACCTAGAATTCAATATAACACCAAGGAGACAAAGCGACAATCCCCTGTACTGATTGTAAGCGGCTGGTCAGAAATGTCATAGCAGCTGCTGCCCCTGGTTCTGAAGTTTCATGGCTCTTCAATGGAGGAGAATGTACTATTGGAAGAGAATGGGGTGGCACGGCAGGCAGAATTTGGCCCGCAGGCCTTAAGTTCCCCTATGCTGTACTAAATCATGCACTATTCTGCTTCCCAGTACCTCTGCAATTTCCACAATACCTGTTGCAGATTATACCCCAACATCTTACATTTATATTTTGTGGATGTACGGTATATTTTCCATGCAGCATATCTTTAGCTCTCCAGCTGGTAGTCTCATGGACATATAAGTATTATCTGTATAATCTTGACATAGCAAAGCAGATAGAAAGATAATGTGTATGTAGATTTGAAGAACTGGATTGTAGATTTAAAAAACAACAACCCAGGAATAAAGTGTCTAGGCCACATCTGCTTGTTAAAGCAAACACTCCAGTCTTTCCTACAGAAAGCATTAGAGTAATTTCAGAAGGTAGATGTATAGATCAAGGATGACAATCATTATTTTATGCCGTGTTATTTTTGCTACCTGTTATTCACATGGAAAAACTAGCCTTTGAAGCTGTCACACGAAAGGCCATGCAGGTCCCCAAAGACCCTTTTATATCCAAAACTGAAAAAGTCACTGTAAAAAAAAAAAAAGAATGAGTGAACGTGTTGTTGGCCCTCCAAAAGAGATGAGATTTTGCAGATCAACAATGAGAGACTAAAATGAGTGACAACTATTTTAAAAATGTTCATTTTTGTTAAAAAAAGAAAACAGTGGTTCAGCCTGTTCTTCATATAGTCTGAAAATTTATTGCTTTACCAGGCAGGTTTTTAATCTTGCCTAAAGACCAGATGGCAGGACTGGAGAGGCTTTCACTCTCAAGAGACTTGGGTGAAACACGGGTGAAACTGGCTACCTTATATTCTCTTTCCCCCTGAAATTTAAATATATCCCTTTTGCTTATTTTTTTCATGCCCTTACAAACTACTGGCTTCAACAGATGAAACAATCTGAGAACTATGTTTAGCATCCTTCATGCAACTAAGAACTGAGAATGTGAGTTCTTTCCCCCACTTTGTTCTTTCTTCCTCAAACTAATCAATTGCAGCATGCTGAAACAACTGCCACTGTTTTTAGCAAAGCAATACACAGTCCATAAATAGGTACTGTAAAAAGATAAAATTCACTTTCCTAAATTTGTTTCTGCACAGAATGAGTGGCCTCATGCCTGTAGATTTACATACTGCATGCTTGCGAAAGTGGGGACTGTCAAGTGACATTAATGAAACCTCAAAATATAAATGCAAAATAAAATTTTGATGGATTTTAGTAGCTTTCTATATTGCAGAAGAATGTACTGCAGTTGGCTCATGGTATCAGGGCCTCAGAGTCACACAGACTGGCTATTGTCAATAGGAAAGAAATATATTTCCTCTTTTTCAAAATCCAGAATAACAACAAGATATATACCAGGCTTCCTCAGTGTTGGCCGTCCAGATGTTTTTGGCCTACAACTCCCATGAACCCTACTAGCAGGACCAGTGGTCAGGGATGATGGGAATTGTAGTCTCAAAACATCTGCAGGGCCAAGGTTGAGGAAGCCTGATCTATATATTAGGCAAACAGCTTGCACTTACAGTCCTAGTAAGGTTAGCTCAGAGATGTAGAACCTGTGGCCCTCCAGATGTTGTTGGAGCCCATCAGCCTCATACAGCATAGTTTAATAGTCAGCAGTCATGGGAGTTGTAGTCCAACAATGAATGGAGAGTCCTGGGTTCCTTATCTGCAGGGTAGCTGAATAGGGTGTTCCGATTCATATCTTTTTTGCAGCCATTTCTTGCTCTCTCATGATAACTGTTGTTTTTTTATGGCCTGCTTAAAAACTTAAGAGATAACACATTTTATGATTTGCTGCATGCATGAACTGTTAAATAAAACGTTCGTTTGTATCCTAAGTGTCAGTGCCTGCACACTTGAAACTTTGAAGTTTAAGTTCTGTATTGGTCTGGCCCATAAGTATTCGTTGGTAAGGCTAAGACCAGTAAAATAGCAAATGGGTTTAGAGTCTGTTTTTAGTTAACCTCATCACTTTTAACACAGCAATATGTGCATATGTACCACAGGCTTTGTATGGAAGAACAAAACCCGGGAGGGTATGCTGGAAAAGTGTAACTCATGAAATAGCTGGACACGGAAAACCTTGAAAAGAGCTCTCTGCTTCTGAAGAATGGTATAGAGGCAAATTTGTGCAATGATATATATATAAAGAAAAGCAGGAAAAGTGCTGGGAGGTAGAGTGGTTCTATGAGCTGTGGCTTAAGGCCCGTATTTTTCGCTCTACAAGACACACCAGACCATAAGACGCACCTAGTTTTTGGAGGAGGAAAACAAGGAAAAAAATATTCTGAATCTCAGAAGCCAGAACAACAAGAAGGATCGCTGCGCAGCGAAAGCAGCAATCCCTCTTGCTGTTCTGGCTTCTGGGATAGCTGCGCAGCCTGCATTCGCTCCATAAGACACACACACATTTCCCCTTACTTTTTAGGAGGGAAAAAGTGAGTCTTACAGAGCATAAATACAGTATGTTACATTGGCCAGACAGATGCTTCCAAAAAGCGCATCCCTGTATAATGTTCTCTGATACAGATCTATGCACAAGTTACAACATTGTACAAGTACTTATACTTTTTTTAGGGGAGAGGGCTCTGTCATAATGGGAAATTCTTCTTCTCTGACTGTGGGTAACTTATAAATACCCACTTACCTGATACCTACAAAGTAACCTATGTGTTTTGCCTAACATTGGAGACAGGTCAAGAGAATGGTATATAAGTATACAGAGATGGGGAATCAGCCATTGTGTATTTCTCCCCCACCCCCCTAAAGGCTGTGGTGCAGCCTGAAATCTCCATAGCACCCACAATCTATGTAGTTTGAATGTCTGCCACCTTCTTCATATTCCACCTTAACACTCTTTCAAGATGACTTCACATCATCCAGCTTTTCTTCTCCATCCCTTTGCTTTGCTTATTTCGCCTGACGAGGAGTTCTTGCAGAAGTGCACTTAAAATATGTATATGCCTCCAACCCTCCAATATCTAAAATGTACTGAATTTTTCTGCTCTGGAGAGAAGCGGCAACATAGAACCCTTATCCTTTTTCTGACTATGTTTCATAGTAGCTACAGGAACTCCCAATTTTTGTTTCTGTTTCATTTAGTTGCAATGCAATTTTTTTAAAAAAGCATCATTAATTTTCCCATTGTGAAACACTGATGTTAGCTAAAATAGTGAAATTTTTCTAAGGTTATTTTGCTGCCATTGTTTCCTGGTTGCTCACAGACTGCATTTTAAATCCTTCCATAAACATATTAATGGAAGGTTGTGCAACAAAGGTATCAGTAGCATTGCAGTCTTTCACAGGAAGTGATGAATCACTGATACTCTTGCTGTTCATATTTATAGTCATGCACCTGCTTCCTTGAGTCAATATGCAGTCTGAAGAATGGCACTTATTTCAGATATGTGCTCATGGTGGAATGGACCATGCTGCAAATGGCTGAAATATTTACAGGAGTGTTTTGTAAGATGAAGTGCTTTTTGAAATAGAAGGAAAGGTGGCTAGATTATCACAACAACTGAGATTTTAAATAACAAAGCTGCCCAGATATTATTTTGCGCAGACGAAAAGGAAAGCTTTTCTTCCTTCTACCTTCTGAGTAAAAGAGACATTAATTTAGATGGGGAAAGTAAAGATTAAGGTGTATCTGGAATTCTCTTATTTGCAGTAGGTGATTGGGTGTGGTGATCTAATGCTTCTAGTATTCTTCAGCTTATACTTGGCATTTAGGTAACTGCGGCCTGGTAGTCATTTAAGACTTGTGGACATGTATTTTTTATTATAATTACTAAAAACCTATGTGGAGATTTGCGGGTTGTACTTTAGTTGTACTAAAGTAACCATGGTGGGTCCAGGATGCCAGGGGGATTGCCTCCTCTTGTACCAACCTACCTACTTCCCTAATATGAGATGGAGAGGCCCTTATCTGTGTCCCATCTAGGATGAAAGCGTGGTTGGTGGTGGCATGGGATAGAGCCCTTTAGTGGCTCCCACCATCATTGTGGAACTGTCAGGATTCAGCCCTTACCAGCCCATAAACCTGAGGTCTCCTCAGAAGAGGAGCAGAGGATACGGTGAACCAGGTAGGAACTTCAGAGCTGCATCAAGCATGGATGGACTAGTTGGATGCAAGGCTACTTGAGAAACCGAGGAAGCACCTGCTCAGATCAGGGCTGGCTGAGAGCTGGGAAGGGGCAGAGCTTCCAGATCCTGTAGAAGCTCCCAGTCTGAGATGATTCATTGTGGAGGCAATAGTTCTTATTCAAACTCCATCCTGCCTGACCTGGGGAATATGGACAGGGCACTTTGCCTTGAGAAGACTAGATGTACCCCAGTTACCTATGGCTTTTTAAAATGGCAATTATTTTTCTAAACCTGAATCCAATCCTTAGCAGGAGATTTGCAGGACAGACAGCCAAATCATATGGAGAGGCTATTGTCCCTACTTCCTATAGGAAGCAATAAGGTCAGTCCCTCAGTAGCCTTTGCTATTGATGTCAGCCTGTGACCCCTGTTCCTATGTAGTGATGCCTAGAGTTATACTAGGTGACCAGTATAATAAGTTTGCTATGCCCTCACGCCTGCCTTTGCTTACAAATGGCAACACATTTGGGATTTTAAAATAGAAAGCTGCCACTTATACAATGGCATTTGAGGTTTTATGGAATATTTGACAGCATTTTACAATGTTCAAATAATAAGCAGTCAGTTTATGTCAACTAAGTAGCATGGCAACCATTTTATAAAAATATACATGTTTTTACAGATAAATATGTGAGCAGGGCTGCCTTACAGTTTGAAATACCAGCGGTAGAATGATTAATTTGATGGTTCTTATGACAGCATTCTTATCAGTGCATCCTGATGGCAACTGTCGAAAGGGTGTAAGTGTGAGTGAGTGTGTGTTAGGGATGAATTCTTCTATTCCAATCTGTGTCAGATCTGCCTGTGCTCATCCATAAACCCATTCTGTCCATTTCTGAATTAATATATGGAATCTGCAGGGGAATGTGGGTTTTACACACATTTTGACACTTTTTGAAGCCAAGATCTGTGTTACAAAACTTGGAGAAGTGCAAAACCCCTAGGATAATTGTGTGATGATTTACACATTAGTCTGGGAGGTGTTGATCAGGTTAGTCCGCATTGGAATTCAGAGAAATCAAATTCCTCTAGAACCCTTTGTGGTACATTTAGAGTAAATGAACACTGTGTTAATTTCAAGAGCACTGGTTAGTTCCTTACAGCCTAACTATAAAACATTCTTCAGAAGTTCGTTGCATTCATCAAAATGGTGCTTATCTTCTAGGGAACATACTTTAAATCAGTGGCCCATTCATTCAGCAGGTACGCTGTTCTTCGTCTTGCTTAAGTGCATCATAAAGTAAGAGGTCCTTGTTGATTTCAGTGGGATTTAAGATGCTTCTGGATTTCACCCAATATTTTTTAGATGGTTAGATGCCACACAGTGCTTTGTGAAAGCATGTGGGACGCCACAGCCTTGCACGTTCATTTTCAGCCTTTATTTCACGCACACCTTTTTATCTGAGTTAATGTTTCATATTTATTATTTTATTTTTTTCCATTAATCTCTTCCTCTTCAGGTGCAATCTAGCTCCCGTGGTGGAGTATGCTGCCGATGTGGGGACTAAATCAGATTTTATTACCATGAACCCATCAGTTGTACAAAGAGCATTTGGAGGCTTTCGGAATGAGAGTGACAGAGAGAAATTTGTGCATAGGCTATCCATGCTGAATGACAGTGTCCTTTGGATCCCTGCTTTCATGGTCAAAGGCGGAGAGAAGCATGTGGAGTGGGTTAATGCATTAATCCTTAAGAATAAATTGAAAGTGCGAACTGCCTATCCATCACTGAGACTTATTCATGCTGTCAGAGGGTAAGTGTCTGGAAAAGACTGGCCTGTCCTTGGCACAATAGAACTCATAACTAAAATTTTCACTAGAGTGAAAGAATAGCACTGGAAAGGTTTATGATAATTCTGTTCTTACCACAATGGAGTATGCTTTCGATAAAGTCATGCTTGTTTGCCTGAAAACGTTTCCCACTCATTTAGTCCAGGCAGAGGCAAACATTGGCAATGATTTGATTTGGTGACCTCCCTTTCCTCTTTTTATGGGACAGAGCCACTTTATGAGGAATTATTTGAAACCTTCTAATTTATAACAGAACCAGCTAATCCCAATATTAAACACTCTTATTTGAAAGTTGTGTTTCTGTCCTCCAGCTGTATGCGTTAAATTTCTTTTTCTGAAAAAGGCCTTTAGTAGCTATAATTCTTCTGTACAATCAAGAAAATGGATAAGCTTAACAGGCCAGACATGGAATACCTCTTCGTGATTTGTTTTTCTCTCAATCCTTCTTGTACCTCTTTTTAAATCCTCCCCAAAAGTTTCTGTGTCAATTTAGAAAATATAGACAAAGTTGCTATTCTAATTTCAGCTTACCTAATTGTGTAAAAATCATGTCTAGCTCCTATTGCCCTAGTTCCTCTGTTTATGCATTAAGAATTGCATTAGTCACTTTGTCACAAAAGTCGAATTCTTGTCTGTTGTGATGTATTAAGTCTTCCTTAGAGACACTTCTTTCTAGGATTTATTTATTCATTGTGCTGCATTGCTGTGCTGTGTGTTTTCCTGTTTCGCTTTTTCCTCTTTTCTTTTTTAAAAAATGGTATCATAGCATATTTGTGGCTAGAATTAGCAGGTTTTTCAGTCCATTAAGCATTGCTTGCTTATTAAATGGGAGATACCCTGTGGATTGAAGATGCTTTATGAAATGATAGGATTTTCATACTGAACTTGCTGTCAGTATATGTGCCCTATGCAAATTTAACTGTCAAGTATGTAGTGGGTTGGATGCAGAGAAATGCATGCATAAGAAACTGGAAGAAGCAAACTTTAATACCCCTCCTCCCTGGCAGAAAACCTCCCCCATGAGCTGTGGCACAGGGGTCTGAGAGAGCAGAGAATATCTGAAAACAGAGGTTGCCCTCAGCCATTTTTTTTTCATAACCCCTCTTTTTCCTCTCGGCCCACTGCTTTATTCCATCCAGCAATGTCCCCTGATCCCCTGGGAAGCCTTCTCCAAGAGCCTCTGGTGGAGAAGGTCCTATTAAGCACACATTTCTCTGGATCCAACAGAATATTCTCTTCACTGATAGAACGTTTGAATATTAATCTAATCCAGGCGGTGACCATATTGTGCGGGGGTTCCATTTCCAGTCCCTGTGCATGTCGGGTGTGTTCATAAGCCTGTCCCATTCCACCCCCATTCTGCCCTCTTCCAAGTCCAAAATAACTCACGTGTTGGCGATCGCATGTCAATTGGATGCACCTGAAATGTTCACCGCTTGTATAAAAGGGTAAAGGGACCCCTGACCATTAGGTCCAGTCATGACCGACTCTGGGGTTGCGGCACTCATCTCGCTTTATTGGCTGATGGAGCCGGCGTACAGCTTCCGGGTCATGTGGCCAGCATGACTAAGCCGCTTCTGGCGAACCAGAGCAGCGCACCGAAATGCCGTCTACCTTCTCGGTGGAGCGGTACCTATTTATCTACTTGCACTTCGAGTTGTCGAACTGCTAGGTTGGCAGGAGCAGGGACCAAGCAACGGGAGTTCACCCCGTTGCGGGGATTCGAACCGCCGACCTTCTGATCGGCAAGTCCTAGGCTCTGTGGTTTAACCCACAGCGCCACCCGCATCCCATCACCATTTGTATAGATCAGCTTTTAAATCTCATTCAAAACATTGTATCAATTTGGAGATTGACTTGGCTCTGCCACCAAAGTTAGAAGCTTCCACATGCCCATTGCTGGAAACGGCAGGACAGGAGAGTGTTCTTGGGCTGGAGTCCTGCTTGCAGGTTTTCCATAAGAATCTGGGTGGCCGCTATGAGAGAGAATGCTGGACTAGAATGGCCATTGGCCTGATCCAACGGGCTCTTCTATGTACCCCATTAAAACCATTTTAAATATGTACCAGAAGGTTTTGTCCATTTTGCAAGTGTACCTGATATTGTTATGATGGGGCTCTTTCTTATATCCGCATACGTTCACAAGTCATTTCAAAATTTTAAGTATATTACACAAGCACAGCTAACAATCAAATGAACAATCTTTCTGGAAAAAAATAGCTCTAATGCAGTAAATGGTTTTTTTAAAAAAATGAAATAATCTAGAAACAAATCAAGCATACATTAACTTCCACAGAGAACTCTCCTTTCAGCTTTTCTGTCATCTTCCCCAGTCTATAGTTACCCACAAGCAAACAAACAAAACCCTTCATATTTTTCCTGTGAGAGTATCGATAGAAGTTCAACTTCTTTCCGCTCGGATAGGGATTGAGTGTGGGAGAAGGATTTGATTCAGTTCTCATTTAAAGGTAAACCTGCTTAATTTCCAAAACATTGCATGAACTGAAATACAGCCATCCTTTGAAATGGCTGTACAGTGTCTACAAAAATGCCTATGTGAGGGTAAAGTGTGCAAAAAAATGCATATATTCATGAAAATGACATACCAGAATGCATTCTATCTGGAGAAGTAGCTTTGCAAAAATGTGTGGATTTGGAGAAATTTGTACTAATTAATTTTCACGGCAGCTGACATGGAAATGGGGAGAACTGAACAAAAGATTAGAGAAATGAGCAACTTAGAGAAACCACAATTGACAGATTCTCTCATCCCTGTTCTTGATAACACATGCTGGCAATATTTGCATTATACTTACATCCAAGGAAAGACTGCACTCAGAAGCAGAGAGTAGAGCCAAACATCTGAATGCCTTTTCCAATTGTTCTCTGTGTGACTTTTCTCACAAGTAGTTGAAAGGATTCAAATGCAGGCCCTGTTTTAAAAGGCTGGGGTTTTTACTCAGCTGTAATGTTTAAGCCAGTCTTTTAAATTCAACTTTCCCCATCTTCAGATCTTCCCAAGAAGAAAAACTGTGACATTCCACGCAGCAACATGAATGATCTTTTCACTCTAGCATCTGAACATTTTTCAGCAGCACTTTTCTGGGGCCCTTGCTCCCCATAGCTTTGTTGATTACTCTGTTAAATAAGCTCATATCACCTGTTAGTTACAGAGGTAGAGAGTTGCCACCATTATACCTGGTAGGACTCCTGTGGAGCTGCACAAAAATTGAGACAAAAAACCAGAAATGAAACAGTTGCGGGGGTTTTGGGTTTTTAAAAGTCTGGTTCAAAGATGTAGTGATGGAAGAAACCTATACATGAAATTCTGTATGTCATGCAGTTATTTTGTTTGCTGTTGGATTGTTAGGGGAGAATTTAAGACCATCAGAGCCATTTATGGGGGAGGAATACATCAAACAACAAAGCAGACAGGCTTTCAGAATTAAAAATCAGGATTAAAAACTAAAAAGCAAGGATCTTTGCCTCCTTCTGAAAGGAAAGGAAATCTGCAGTTCTATGATTCTATAATTCTTGGGAGAGTCATGGTGTTCCATTGGAACAGGTCCTGTACTTGCTTCAATTTCAGTTGTGAAGGGACCATAGGGGGCCATTTGAGGATGGTCTTAATTCAGAGATGCTTGCAAAGTTTTCGTGAGCCAGGTTTAGGGAAGTCTTTTAGGAACTCATAAAAAGCATGCTCCAAAGGCAAGGCGAGCTTTACTGACATTATTCTGTTTGGATGAAAATCCATGGCAGAAAAGATGGGCCCAGCTTCCCTGGCTGACGAATGCTTTCCATGGCCAGAAGAGAATTGTCTCCTGGCTGAGCAAAGCTTTATCAGCCAGGCATCATGGCAGCAAAAGATCCAGTTGAAAATAGTTTTGGCATGCTGAATATTCGGCTGCCAGAACCTCTACCAGCCACTTACTTCATTACTGTTTAATGTGATGGAACAAGGTTGCTCCATCCCATTAAATATTACCAGAATCAAGAAGTACAGGGGCATTAGAGAGAGAGTAGGGAAGCCAAACCTTCATGAAGGACCTGCATAGGTTGGTGTTACCATTTTGGGACTTGTGTCCCTGCCCCTCTTTTTCCCAGCCTTCTCTGATGTACTGAGTTCACTAATTAAGTGTTTATGCCACCAGATGAACCCACAAAGACCTATATTTTCCTAGCTAAGCAGAGGGAAAGTGTCTCTTTAACTTCTTGTTTAAAAGCAGTGACGGGGCACACCAGCAGAGCTCATCTGGCAGGGCTGCTTGGGTATCTGTTAAACCCTGCCGTTGCCATCTCCCTGTCCCAGTTCTGTCCATGTAAGTTGTAGCAATGCCTATGTGAGGAGTGCAGTCTCACATCTTTGCCCCATCACACCAGCTGCTGCTGAAAAGTAGGCCTTTTCTGATATGGTGCTATAGGAAAAGAATGCAGTGACTAGAAAAACTGAGAAACCTGCTGGCTCTGATTGGGAACAATTCTCTTTTTTTGTATTATTTTTTATTCATTTTACAATACAAAAATATAAAAACACATAACACAATTTTTCACAAATACATTTTTTGGAGTTCCCTCAGCTCTTCTGCAAATCCTCCGTTTTAGTCCTTCTTCCGCGTTTCTTAATCTAATATTGCCTATTATTAAAAACCTCCTCCCTCTTGTTCCCTTTTTTACAATATTTCTGATATTATTTTCACAGAGCCTCTTGCAAACCTACAAACGTTAATTGTTCATCGCAAATACTTTTCAAATAGTCTACAAATTTACTCCAGTCTTCAGTGAATCTGTGGTCTCGTAGGCCTCGGATCCTTCCTGTTAGTTTATCAAGTTCTGCGTATTCCATTAACTTCATTCTCCATTCTTCCATCGACGGTAATTCTTCCTGTTTCCATTTTTGGGCTAGCAGTATTCTTGCCGCTTGCTGTTACTGTGTATAGAAAAAGCTTGTCGTCTTTTCTGTTTATTTCATTTCCTACCATTCCTAAGAAAAATGCTTCTGATTGGGAACAATTCATGGAGTTGATACTACAGTTGGGTATAAATGATGCTGGGTCAACATGGCTTTCGTTGAGGCAGTTCCCTTTTCCTAATTGGACATATTTAGTATTTTTAGTGTCATATTTAGCAGAGTGTACAACAGGACTTTTCAGAAATAATGTTGCCTAGAAGAAAATATATGAGTATTATGTGGTTGTTAAAATTTAGAAAAATGTAATATTTTAAATGAAATTGTACATTTTGTGTGTGTGTGTGTGTGTGTGTGTGTGTGTGTGTGTATCCTCTTCTCTTGTTATGGAAACCTTTAACAACAACAACAACAACAACCTTTATAATTGATCTGCACTCATCCGTAAGAGCTTAGAAGTGCAAAACATATTAAGCTATGCTGACTTTAAAGAATATTTAAATCAAATGATATTATATGAGTCTTGGATTCTTGGGTACCACACTTTCTGTGGGCAGAACAGTAAGAACAAACTGGAAAGTACTACATACATATTGCCCTGACCACAAAAATAATGGAACTTGAAAATTGTATGGCCTAGGGGAAACTGTTTCAGAAAATGTTGCAAATCCCTATTCATTTGTTAAGCCTTTCCTCTCCCCATTGGAAGAAAGTAGGTGTGTGTGTGAGAGAGAGAGAGAAGCAGAGGGTGGGGGTGTGTGCGCGCGCTTCATGCTGGGTTGAGAATTTCCTCTGGGATGCAATGCCTGAACAGGCACAGTGTTGTGTTGTATTCTATTATGAATCAAGCCTCGTATGCACTTAATATGATCTGTGCACGTCAAAGCAATCTTGCTCTTCCGACAAAAGGGAGTGATATTGTTGTCGGCTTCAGCTGCTATTGAGCACAGCAAGATCTTGAAAACATGAGCCATTAAGTTACTATCTAATAAGCAAATTATGGCAAATTAAGGAATGCAAATTTAGCAGAGGCATAAGAAAAGAGTACAATGGGGAACTGAAGATTGCTGCTAGGCGGTGTGTGTGTGTGTAAGAGTCAGGAAATAGCAACATACTCACTGAGGCCTTGCCTTTTAATTGAAGAAGGGAGGAAGCGGTGAAAAAGCTTCTTATGATGTTCCCATTAGATAATACCAGTTATCACTGGCTGCGCGACAACACCAAGAGGAGATAATGTGGGTGCTACTGTTGAAACTAACGGCGTTCCGTGTGCTGCACTGGCTCGCCAGATGCAGCTTGTCACACTGGCCACGTGACCCGGAAGTGTCTTCAGACAGCACTGGCCCCCAGCCTCTTAAGTGAGATGGGCGCACAACCCTAGAGTCTGGCAAGACTGGCCCGTACGGGCAGGGGTACCTTTACTGTTGAAACACAGATGAATTTGATTTGTGGGAAATACGAACCTATGGAAGTTAGTCTAATGTATATACTCTTAGACCACCCATCACCATGCCCAGTTAGTAGATGGCTCTGCGTACTATGGGAGGAAGGAGGTGCAGATAAGACTAGAAGAGCCATAGCTCCATGGTAGAGTGCACACTTTGCATTCAGAAAGCCCCCAGCTTCTTCCATTAAAGCAGGAGTGGCTAATATTGCTGTATCCCAACTCACAACATTCCCAGACAGCATGACCAGTAGTAGGAATTACTGTTGCTTTTCCAAAGCCATCACTTCACCATTGGAGGCAGTGTTAGAAACTGAGATATGAAAGGCTAGGAGCTAAATGGGACCTTAAACCTAGGTTGCACATAAAGGCCACAATCCAGCCCACCCCCCTGTGAAAGACACAATGACACATGATTTAAGTTTAAACGTTAATGGGCAAAATTTGGCCACAACTTTATTGATTACAGAATGTGAGCTGTGTTGGCTTAGGCATTGGCATCCAAACTATAACTGACTCCTGCCCGCCTTGCAGGGAGACTGGTAAGGGTAACCACCCAAAGAGGGAGCTCGGTCGATGGCAATCAACTTGAGCTCTACCCTGGGGCTCCCGGTGGGACGTGGCATGGACCTCACCCCTCTGTGGGCTTCAGATGAAATCCAGACCCCCGGATTCCTTTAACGGAATACCCTTGATCATGGAGGGACAGGTGATGGCTGCACCTCCCCTCCCCCCCACACCACTAATCCAATGCCTAACTGCCACACGAGCCACTCGCTCACCCCCAATACCTCACACCTGCCAGATATGAATGCTAGGAGCTAATGGCACCTTAAACCTAAGTTATGGGCGCAACAACAGAATGTCCAGGCACGCTTTTTTAATAACAATAATACAAAGCTGAAAATGAATGAACTGCAGCCAAAATATTATGTTCATTTTTCACATGGTCTAGTCCTTCCCCTGCCCACTCCCCTAATATTCTTAAGAGGGTCTCTCCTCCAGTCTTCAGAGAGTAGCTGGAAGTGGGGAGGCAGAAAAAGGTCCTCCTTTCCTACCACTCTGCAGTTATAATCTGAAATCTTAGGCGCAGTACTGCGCCCAGAGCTCAGAAACTGCTCGCGCTAATGAAATTTCCTGTCGCAAAATGCACCTAGAACACTGGCAGTTTCGAACACTGATTGGAGGTGCTTAGTCCATAAACCATGGGAGCTGTCCCATAGCAAAGGTACTAGCATAGACAGTATTGCATATTTATAGACAGCATTGGGGAGACGTTGTTGGTGATGCTGGGACACCTTGGGCCTGTTCTTCCTACAAATCAAAAGCACTCTAGTCTTACCTCGTTGATCGCTGAAGGGATGAAGTTTAGGCTTTGGGAAAACAAATCCCCTCAGGTCCATACATGCCTGCCCTGGGCATGGACACAGCTGCCACTACCTCTTCCAGCCCAGGCTTTGTGGAAGAGGGTTCCCAAGTGAATGACTGGTAATGTCACTTGCCTGTTCAAGCTTAAGAAAACCCTGAGCTAGATAATAGTTGCAGTAGTGGTAGCAGTGCCTGCTGGATCTCTGTGTTTGTGGCACAGTGGAAAAGGAACACAGGGCTGCTCTGCAAATGACTGAGTAGTAAAGCAAACAAAGGGAGCAAAAGGATGGGTGATTAACAAAGCGGAGAGTCTATGCCAGCCGGAAAATGCGTGAAGCCCCTCATTGGGTAAAAGTTGGGTAAAAGAACAAAGGCCTGTGGCAGAGTTCCAGGACTGCAGTTTGTCCTTGGAAAAATGTTAAGTCAGTTTGGAGTAAGCTCAGCAGTTTATAATTTTATGGAGGGAAATAAAGATGTAAGATTGCTGCAGTTTAAACATCAAGTGGCCACACCCCAATGATGCAGGTGCCATCCCTCCACACTCCAGCTGGGTCACTAGGTGGTCCTGGATGTCCTCCCACAACACTGCCCCTCAGGGAAGGGGAGCAGACATGTAAGATTGATTTGGTTAAACTAGAATATGTAGCCATAATCAAAGGAAACCATGGAAGGATGGATGGGAAGTCAATTAATTGTATTTTTTTCCCTCCTTTTTTGTGCTTATTTCTTTCTTTGTTTTTTCTTTCTGTATTTACCAATCAATAAATTTAAGTTATAGCATTAAAAAAAGCATTGCAGTTTTCCCTGGTGTGCTCTAGAGGAAAGGTTAGAAGTTAACCTGTGAGCAGGAGAGCAGGGCAGACTGCTAGGCAACAGACAGGACTGTGCCTATGGGAAAAGCGAGATCTTCTTGGAGTGTAAAGCTGGGAGCAGGTTCAGGCTGTGTACAGTGGTACCTCGGGTTAAGAACTTAATTTGTTCCGGAGGTCCGTTCTTAACCTGAAACTGTTCTTAACCTGGGGTACCACTTTAGCTAATGGGGCCTTGTGCCGCTGCCGCGCAATTTCTGTTCTCATCCTGAGGTAAAGTTCTTAACCCAAGGCACTATTTCTGGGTTAGTGGAGTCTGTAACTTGAAGCGTCTGTAACCAGAAGCGTCTGTATCCCGAGGTACCACTGTATATGTGCAAATAAACCATATATCATAAAGATACCACATTTGTGTGCCATTTCCAAAGGAAACATGAACCCCTGAGCAAACGCCTGGAACTCTCTGGAATCACACACTGCAGTGGAGATTGTGGGTGGCGTGTAACAATATATAGTAGACTGTACAGTACTTAGATTTTAAAAAAAAATTAAGCAGTATATAAATGCTTTTGAATGCATACATACATATATACATCCACTCCCGGTGCTGTAGATCACATCACCAAGTGTAGGCTAAGAGGCAGGCTAGCAGTATTATCACCTATGGCCCAAAGATCAGGAAAGTCCTTGAATGTTGAAGGAACTTGTCTCCAATACCACCAAGATAGCAGGTGGGTAATCATATCATTTCTAATGACGTCCTGATGATACAACAATTGCCACTTTAGTAGCAATGTTGTCCTAACATGTAAGACATACCCTCATAAAATAATATATTTTATCTGGAAGGTAAAGGAAAGCTTCCCTTTTTAACATTTGCAAACAGTTTATTTCATTCTGATCCATATTAGCAGCCAGGCACTGCCTTGTGTTTTATTTAAAACAGGAACATTTGCATAGAACATCCATTTACAAAGAGTGTTGTTGTTTTTTAATTAGATTTTAATGATGAGGCTGTTAGTCAGCAAAGTCACAGAGGCTGTTATGGCACTTTTTAATACATAGAAATGAATCCAGTGTCATATTTTTTAAAAATAATAATAATGCAGGAATATTTCTTTTTAAGCTCTACCAGAGGCACATCATAAGGAACATCTCCTCAAGTAGCAACCTGAACTCAAATCGATATAATCTGAGTAGGGAACACATAAACAGGACAGTATTATATTTAATAGCCTAAGTGAGTCCATTAAACTGTTTTGGAGTAAAGGAATATTTATCTCCGATAGTAACATGTCCCTTTGTGCCTGTCTAACAGACTCTTGTTTTACCTTCTGAAAAACACAACTGCTTAGTAGATACTCTGGAAAAGAAAAGAATTCTTTTTTCACCCTGTCTTTATATAACATTTTATTATGAGTTCTATCTCTAAAAACTGCCTGAACACACACAATTGAATTGTTTATTATTTATATCACAGTAATGTCAAAGTTTCCAGCTGAGCATATGGCCCCATTGTTCTACTTTTTGTAGAAAATACAGCTCAGGATATTAGTGGCATGCAGTCAAAGCATGAAAATTTCAATGTCAGCAACCTTTTATATTCAGATTATTTTTCATCCACTTCTGTATCTAGAGCTCTTTGGTGTGACCTTGAGTTGACTTACTGTAGCTTGAAGTTTGGAGCCCTTTTTTGGCTGAAAAGTGATATACAAATAAATTGGAAAAATAATTTATTTGATTTGATTTGATTTGATTTGATTTGATTTCATCAATTCTTGATACTAGCACATGATGGAGCATACAGTATCATTAAAACAACCAGAAAAATCTGTTCAAACAAATAACAAATCAGATAAAGCATGTGAAATTGGTATAGATATATAACATTTAAAATAAAAAAATACATAATGAAACACCAATTTACAGCTTAAACATCAGGTGCCCTCCATAAAAGCTGTCACCAAAAGGCAAGTCGGGCTGACTCTAGCCTTTCTGCAATGAGGAGGGAATTCTGCAACCAAGGGGCCACCATGGAAAAGAACCTGTTTTATGTTGCTGCACCATGATATATTTTAATAGTAAATGTTTATCTGAAACAATCTCTTTGTTTAACTTTAAGTTATGTACCTCTCCTGATTAGAAAGATCAATAGTTTATGCCCAGTAAACTATTTTGCAGACAAATAAACACAGTTTCTTGTAACTATTGTACTGCAATAAATGCTGTGTGTTCATTCCCTTTTTTTTTTTTTTTTGGCATCAGAGCTGTGCTCTAGATAACTGCGCAACGTATTTGTGCATTGTTTCTAAATAGTTTTTGCAAAATTTTGTTACATAATTGTGGGTACATTGTTGAAAACATAATTGGGATAATCAGTGCACTGCAGTGTTCATTAACAGTTGAAAGCAGTTGCTGAAAGGTGACATTAAAATTATTACTTTCTGCATCTAGACTTCAGTGTCAGGTTAATTGCAAAGTCATTCCAGTTTCCAGGATAGAAATGTAACAGTGAAACATAAGAGGAATTTGATGGATGTTTTTAGGGACATGAAATGCATTGCAGCCAGACTTCCTTGAATGTAGATCTCCTAGCCGAATTCAGTGGAAAGAACATAACATATATGTATAGTAGTATCCCTTAATACTCCACAGCTTTCCATAACGAGACAGCTTGCCTTGAGCCAGGGATCTCAGACACAGTGGTGTAGTGTGGATTGCTGGCACCCGGGGCAGGGCAAGTGTTGCTCCCATTGGTGGACTGGGCAGCTGTGATAGGGGTGCACATTGGGGTGGTGGTGCATGGAGTCCGCGCAGAGTGGAGCCCGCCTCCAACAGGCTCCTCGCCCGCTGCCTCCACCCACCCACCCACTAGACCAACCTGTCTGCCACTGCGCTTCAGCTGCTAGAGCTCTGTGCCTGTCGTAGGAGCACTCAATTTTGCCCCCTCAAAAATGTGTGCCCAGGGCCTTGGCTTCCCCATGCCACACCTCTGTTCACACAGCCACAGGTCACTGAGGCTTCAGAGTCTCAGTACCACTAATGTGCCCTGTATAGTCCTGCTATTTGGCAAGACACGAGATAATTCTGTAAGTGCAAACATGTATCCTTTTGTTACATGAAATATTTTGTGTCCTTTTGTCTGCCACCTATACTTTGCCAGGGGTGAGGGACTTCCTTGCATGCCTTATTTTAAATGGAGGAACCCATGATGTTTGTTTGTTTTTATAATTTCGCCTTCAGCAATCTAGGAGGACCCTTTGGGACTTTCCTACTCATTCCTTTATATCAGAAGAGCCTGCTTTCAACCGATTCCGGATACGCTCCCCTACCAAGAGATTTGCATGTTGTCTGCAGAAACTATGGTTCTGGTTCTCCAAAGACTGAATGAAATCCTCACCAAAATAGTTAACATTGCGAAACAATTGGATACTAGTTCCTCCCCTTTAAATGCCCAAGGGCTTAAAAGGATGATAAGAAATGACTTTGTTAACAACTCACCAACTCAAACTATGGATGAAGTGAGGTCCTGTCAAGTCTTACAAACGAACCAGATAATGCTTGAGATTCACCGATACACTCATAGATGGATGAACCGCAGACAAATTACTATGTCCTTGTCTCAGCTCCTGAATTACCATTACCGAAACGTAGATCTAGAAAATTTCCACTTCCTGCCTACCTTGAGAAACACCACGCGCCTATTTATGACCTTTAGGTCATCAGCCCTCCCATCTCTACTCATGGAGATAAAGGATAAAGATAAAGGATACTCTATGGTGGTTCCATTCTCTCCGCCCAGTGAGGGTATTTAAGGACGAAACAAGGAGGCAATTGGTCCCTTGCATAAATATTTTAATGTTTCAATATTTTAATGTTGTATTTTTAATGTTGTTTTTAAGTTGTAATCATTTAACTTGTTTTTATTATTGCTTGTAAGCCGCTCTGAGCCCGGCCTTGGCTGGGGAGGGCGGGGTATAAATAAAAATTATTATTATTATTATTATTATTACTATACAAGGAACTGCACAAAGAGTATCCTGTTCTCTCTCCCCCCCCCCACTACATTTCCAACTCTAGTTTGTGAAAGACAATAGCGTTATGCCTCCGTACTTCCTACCAAATGCTGGGAATAATTTAATTGAGTATGTGCTCAGGAAGACGATGGCTATTTATGATTACTTTTCCAGGGAAATTTCTTTTTTCTTTTTTTGGCAAAACTTCAATTAACGGCTGTGCTGCAAATCACCCATCTGAGGAAGTTTAGCTGCCCCGTTTTTACATAGGTCTTTGTAGGTTCTATCTAAAAAAGAATCCCATCGTTCGACTGTGTATAAGAGGTACGACATTGCCATCAACTTTCTGTTTTGCTTTATTTGTTTATTTGGATGGTTCATTTATGTCCCATCTTTTCCAGAAGGAGCTCAAGGTGGTGTAGATGGTTCTTCCCCCTCCTCATTTAATCCCTCATTTAATCCACAGCAATGCTGTGAGGCTGGCTAGGCTGAGAGGCAGTGACTGGTCCAAAGTGGCCCAGTGAGGTTCATGGTTGACCAGGGATTTGAACCCTGGCCTCCCAGGTCCTACCCTGACACTCTAACCACTGTACCACACTAGCTCCCATTCCATTCCATTCCATTGTTTCTTTCTTTCAAGGCAGAGGGTGTCTTTAGGAATATGGCTGTGGGAAGATATTTAAAGACTGGTCTCTAATCCACCCTCTTCTTTTTTGTGTGCTGGGCTTTCCAGTCTCCTGGTACCCACTCTTAGCCAGATCTGTCACTTTCCAGACATCTGGGAACACAGGATTATTCTTGTGCTGCCAGACTTAGAGCAGTTAAACCACCCTTCTTCTCCTTTCCCCCCTTCAGTAATGTACATGTTTCGAGGCATCAAGCATAACAGACAACTCAGAAAGGAAGAGGTACAATTCCTTTTCTCTCATCTAACTGCCTTGGTGGAAAGGTGGGATACATACATATATACACACATGCCTATCTATCTGATGGTTCCTTGAGAAACTGGTCCTAATATTAAACTTAAAGTTAAGATGCAGACACACATTGATGAAGGACCTTCTTCTCGAGATGTTTCCACACCATCCCCAAAGGCGAAACCCTCTCTTTTTCCGAAAGACAATCTCCGGTGGCCATTTATCCCACAAAACAAGTCAGGTATGAGGTTGATGACTGAGCATCATGTAAATTTTGGCCAGCTGGTTTTTGAAGTTGTGCTCTGGAGAGAGTGTGTTAATTGCTGCAGGCAAATGAGATCAGGAAAGCACACCCAATAGAGACTGCTACAGAATTGCTGATACATATTGAGCTTTTAAGCTGTTTATCACTTGGGCGAAAAAATGCACAGGAGATGAAGGTAGAGTAGGTGTGAGACCTTGAGACAACTTCACTATTTCCTGGAATATGAGGACAGTGCGAGCAGATGAAAGATGACTTAAGAGCTGTTTCTTTGTTAGTCCTACGCACATGTAGAATACATATGAAGGGAGGAGTGGGACCACACTCTTTGGCTTTGAATTTGGCTCCAGCACATTCAGTGGAATGTCAGACATGAGACCCTAGCCTGTGTGCATAAGGTCTCCTTTCTGGCATTCTTCTTGCAGACATCAGCAGTAGGAAGACTGCACACGAATGCACAAGTGGAAACAACATCCTGTCCCTCCTCCTTATAGAACTTAAAACATGGCTGCCATCTCTTTCACACTGAGCTCCATAGAACAGCATTTCACCCAGTCCAGGCACAAGATTAGGCACATGGTCAGTTCTCTCACTGAAATATTTCAATTGAATATATTGATTAAAAAACCAGGTTTCAAGAGCAAAAACTATCAATGACAAACCACCCCCATCTCCAAGCAGTGAGACATTTCAGGGATTTGGGTTTCCATGGAATGAAGGCCACTGGAGAGTGTGGTGTCTTTTCGATATGCGATTTTTATTTACACTGATATACAACCAGAGCATAAAAGGGAAGAGCTTACAGCATTATCACTTTAACATATCTTGCTCATTGGGTCTCTAGGAAGGCCCCTTCCCCTGAAAACTATAGCAAGGTAAAGGTAAAGGGACCCCTGACCATTAGGTCCAGTCGTGACCGACTCTGGGGTTGCGATGCTCATCTTGCTTTATTGGCCGAGGGAGCTGGCGTACAGCTTCCTGGTAATGTGGCCAGCATGACTAAGCCGCTTCTGGTGAACCAGAGCAGTACACGGAAACACTGTTTACCTTCCCGCCAGAGCGGTACCTATTTTCTACTTGCACTTTTGACGTGCTTTCGAACTGCTAGGTTGGCAGGAGCTGGGACTGAGCAACAGGAGCTCACCCTGTCGTGGGGATTCGAACCGCCGAACTTTGTGATCGGCAAGTCCTAGGCTCTGTGGTTTAACCCACAGCGCGGGCGTCCCTAAACTTTTGCCGTGTGTATTCCCAACTCCTGTCATTCTCCTGCTAGACAGATATGGCATCCAGCCAGGTCAGTGCTGTGGGGAGGTCTATCTGCTCCTTCTGAAGGTCTCTCTAGCTAGTTGTTTCTATGGCAACACATCTGCACCTGACTAACTGTTTAAAAGGCTATCAGCAAATAAAGTGGTTTGACTACTTGAGGAGTTCCTTCTACCATAACCTATGATATTGCAGATGCAAAACTTATTGTCATGTTCTTATGTAGAAGAAAACAACTTCTTTCCATTGTACCTTTCTATCTGCGTTAGAACAAAGATACATTAATTAAAACAAGAATTAAGGCTTTCCAAAGGGAAAGACAAATTAGTGTATACTGGTAAATGTATGAATAGCTACCTTAAGCATTATGTCCTCACTTACCAAAATAGAAATGGATAACCAAGTACTGCCTTCTGCTTTGAGTTTCGGGTTAAGATACTTTCATTCCTCTACCTTGAATTTTCAGCGAGCCGTGAAATAATTTTTGTTCTGCTTGTACAGAGTTGTTGTGCTCATGTGTAAGTTGAAGATGGCATAGCATGTAAGGTAGAGATTCACACCAACAAAGCTTATGGACATACAGAAGTTGCTGGACCATAACTGCTACCACCTCAGGCCTTGCAAACTGGGGCTGATTAGGAGCAGGAGCCCACAACATCTAGAGGAAACCAACTTGGCAATAGTTGGAGTACAGCATCAATTGTGGTGGCTATGAGGGACAAGAATGGGGGGTGGGGAGGACAGAGGCAGGACATACGTTTTGATGACAGCTGCAGAAAACTGATAATCCAGCTTCTTACGTTTTCCTTTCACCTTTGAAAATTTCATATCGGGCTCCGAAAGTGTAGTGTTGGTTACTAAATAAATATCCTTCAATATTTCCTCTCTGTCTCCTGTTGTGGAGTGTTTCTCCATTGATTTTGTTGAAGATCAGGCTGTGAGTCTGATTAAGTAGAACGGTAGTGCTTGACATCCTGTAGTGAATTTGGCACCTTACTATTAGTTTTCTTTTTTAAAAAAAAATGACCTCAAAGTTTGCTTTCTAAATACTTGAGAGAAGTTCAGTGACAAAGCTCTCTTCTTCCAGGCAGTTGCTAAGAGGAACATGTGACATACCCCAGGTGACGGGCCACCCTGTATTTAGCCGTTTAAGAGAGAAGTGAAGTGTGGAAGCCGAAAGCCATTTTGGTGCTCCTTAGTGAACTGTAGGGTTCTGAGTGATACCTTGGCGCCTGATGGGGAAAAAACACCAGTTCCTCCTGGCCTTGCAAGCATGCTTGACTTCCTGACTGAGATAGTAACCAGGTAACCAAGGCCTTAGCTCAGAATGTGGGGTGGGCGGGGGACAGAGAGAAAAGGTTTTAAGGTCTGAGACTAGAGGAGGAAACATACATGTGTACTCTGCCTGCCTGCAATCTAGTTGTCAGATTTTATCAGAAAACAGAAATTAATTATATTTTCAGGGAGGATGAGCCAAATTGAGAGAAAAAATGGTACAGGGCTTAGTACGCTGAAAAGCATAATGGAAAAACTGATAACAATACCATATACAGTGCAATCCAGATTCAGCTAGGGGCCGTAAATGTACACACCTGTAAGGTAAAAGGACCCCTGGACGGTTAAGTCCAGTCAAAGGTGACTATGGGATGCGGTGCTCATCTCGCTTCAGGCCGAGGGAGCTGGCGTTTGTCCACAGACAGCTTTCTGGGTCATGTGGCCAGCAGGACTAAACTGCTTCTTGCGGAACAGGACAATGGGGCAACGGGACACTGTGACAGAAACCAGAACGCATGGAAATGCCATTTACCTTCCCACCAGAGTGGTACCTATTTATCTACTTGCACTGGCGTACTTTTGAACTGCTAGTTTGGCAGGAGGTAGGACAGAGCAATGGGAGCTCACCCTGTCACACAGATTTGAACCACTGATCTTCCGATTGACCAGCCCAAGAGGCTCAGTGGTTTACACACCTGTATCCCAAGCTGGATAGGAGATCAAGCTCTGCTTGCACAATTGCCCACCTTTATCCTCAGCTGGAACAGAATTTTTGTGACCGTGTAAAAGTTGGACTCACCCAAAGAATTTTTCATCACTTTGTGGATACATTTTTTAATGTGTAGTATATAAGCCTTTAAAATAAATAAATGTAGAAATAAATTGCCAGAAATAAATTGCTGTTGATACTGGACTATACACATACTATCCTGGCAGCTTTGTGACGGATTCCCAAGTTTAAGTTCTATGCTTTCATGATAATTGATACTTCCTTTGTTTGCTTAAAGGGTTATCTTTTATATTAATGCACTGTGGTTCTTCTGGCTGGCAATTGTGCCCAGGCACCAGTGGGATACACAACGGTAAAATCAATAGCTTTTATATCTGATTAATCTAACCTGTTTAAAACCTAAGCATCTGTAAATGGATATTTGATACGATAGGGCTTTGAAAAGGATGTTTTGCATTACATTGATTGAAGGGGAAAGAGGTCAGAGTTTAGCGGCATGATAAATTAATATTAAATATGTGATTTTATCAGGAATACAAACCACAGTTGATTCATAGCAGTGTGCCTGAAGAAGAGAATCCTGGGTAGAATTTAAGCCCCAGAGTTCTATCATTGCTTTGCAATTATATTGAAGCAGTGAGCATTTCTCAGGTCTCATGTTGTCTATAATTCAGAACCCTAAATGTTTACAGGCCTCCCATTGCTGACAGAGATTATGACTACCCTTTCCTGCAATGAAAAGTCTGACTTGCAGATGCAGGACTAAATTGGTGGGTTGCAATTTCTGTCATTGGTGTGCCCAGTGGTTTTTTTCCATACAGCCATACCTCATGTTACGTTTGCTTCCTGTTACGTTTTTTCAGGTTGCGTCCCGTGGTGACCCGGAAGTACCGGAATGGGTTAATTCTGGGTTTTGCCGCTCGCGCATGCGCAGATGTGCAAAATTATGTCACGCACATGTGCAGAAGCGGTGAATCGTAACCTGTGCGTGCACAGACGTGCCGCTGCGGGTTGCGTTCCTTTCATGAGGTACCACTATATAGATAAATGTTTAGGGGTACTCTCATTTTTCTACTCATATTGAAATACCGCCCCTCAATGAGGCCAAACTTAGATTCACAAAATGTTTAGTGGTATGTGTACCCCTGCGTCCCCCCAGAAAAAAGCACTGGGTGTGCCTGTATTCTATGTTTGCTTTAACTAATAAAGCTGGTGGAAAATAGAATGGGGACCAACCTCAGGAAAAAAAGACTTGATTTAGTGCTTTTGTGCCTGTTCCCTTCAGGAGGCAGGTGGGAAATTGCACACTAGAGTGTTTCTTTCGTGTCAAAACCTTCCTGGCTGAATCGTTGGCACATTTGGAAGAAGAGCATTAGCTTAACTTTTCCTCTGAAATGCGAGTTTTCTAAACAGCAGTTCATTCATTGGTAACCTCAAGCCTTGATTACTTTAACAGGTTTTATGCGGAGCGGCCCTTGTATCCGATCCAGAAGCTGCAACTGGTACGAAATGCAGCAACCAGGTTGCTCACAGGAGCAGATTGCCAGCACCATGTTATTCCACTGCTGAGAGAGCAGCAGTGGACCAGGATCAAGGCACATGGGTGAATTCACAAAAGCCCTAAACAACTCAGGCCGAAAATACTTTAAGGAACAAGGAACACTTGATCCCTTATGTTCCACCTTGATCACCGGGATCCTCTGATGGGGCCCTTCTGGTGGTTCCCCATACCCCTGAGGTTTGGTTGGCCTCTGTTAGGGAGCATACCATTAGGGTTGCTGGCCCTGCCCTACGAAACTCCCAAACCCTCCAACTTTTGTCTTCTGATGAAAATAAAGCAGTCCTATTCAATAATAATAATAATAATAATAATAATAATAATAATACCCCACCCATCTGACTGACCCACTCTGGGCAGCTTTCAACATATATAAAAACATAATACATCATTAAACATTAAAAAAGAAACACTTTCCTATACAGGGCTGCTTTCAGATGTTTTCTAAAGGTTGTACAGTGGACGCTCGGGTTGCGAACGTGATCCGTGCGGGATGCACATTTGCAACCCGCAGCGGCACGTCTGCACATGCGTGAGTTGCAATTCGGCACTTCTGCGCATGCACAAAGCATAATTTAGCACATCTGCGCATGCGCGACAGTTACTTATCTCCTTAACTTAGGGTTCACATAATTCCATGCCCTCCAAAATTTATCCGATCAAAATAGGGATGTTCTAAGGAAAAGCGGGACATACCAGGATCAAATCAGGAACTGGAACAGCTTCTGTAAATCTGGGACTATTCCTGAAAAATAGGGACACTTGGAGGGTCTGAACTCCCTACTTGTAGAGGTTCTTTGGGAATTGTCCCTGCCTTCTTTTGAAAACTATTGTGTAGACAGGTATTTGGAATATGATTTCTTTTTCTTTTTAATTGACCATTATTTACTGATGTTTTATCGATGCTTGTATTTATGTTTTTACTCTTGCTTTTACTGGTTTTATTACCTGTATGTTGCGTACTGCCTTCTTGTACTGGTAATGAAAGTGCAGATTATCAATACTTCAATGAACAAGTCAATTCAGGGAACTTTTCATGAGGGGAAGTATTCAGAAATGTGATTCCCGTATATGCATATCCCCCTCAAATAATGCAACCCCAAGAAAGTTCTTTTGCACTTAATATATGTGTAGGTTATACCATTTTTAGAGCAACACTGGTAGTTGTGTGTGGGACCTATTATTATTATTTTTTAATTTGGATAAGTTTCTTTATTATTTTTAAGGCCCTTAACATCTTGGGTCCAGGACACCACTCCAAACAACAGTTTGGCTATAAGCCTAGGACTTCCATCAACGTCTAATGATTTTCAGCCTTCATCACTTAGTCTTACATTTCATTATTTTCACTATTACTTTTAATAGTCCATAACTTAAAATCCATTCTCCTAATTTCCCCCTTGCAAAATTTCATCTAGTTCTCCTTACAAAACTTCTTGTAATCCTGCAAGCGTAGTCAATTGATTACAATTGTTTCTCAAATAGTTCACATATTTGCTCCAATCTTTCAAGAATTTCTGGTCCGCCGGTTTCTAATTCTCCCTGTCATCTTATCCAGTTCTGCATAGTCCTTTAATTTCATCTGCCACTCCTCTTTCATCGGTAGTTCTTCCTGCTTCCATTTCTGTGCCAATAATACTCTTGCTGCCGTTGTCGCATATAAAAACAGTTTGTTATCTTGTCTATTAATATCCTTGCCTACAAGTAGAAATGCTTCTGGATTATTATTTTTTATAAATGTCGATTTCAACATCTTTTTCATCTCATTATATATCATTTCCCAGAAGCTTTTCACCTTCTTACATTCCCACCACAAATGATAGAAAGTACCTTCTTTTTCCTTACGTTTCCAACATTTATTACTTGTTTTGTACATTTTAGCTAATTTCACTGGTGTAATACACCATCTGTACATCATTTTCATCACATTTTCTTTCAAAGCAAAGCATTGCATGCTGTAAATTTTATTCCTTGTTTTCACAATTTCTCCCAGTCTTTTAACTGTATATTATAACCAAAATCTTTGGCCCAATGTATCATGACCGACTTTACTTCTTCTTTACTTCTTTACTTCTTTACTTCTTCATCAAAGTACCAACTTTTCAAATGCCATTTGTATTTGTCCGGCGCCACATATGTCGGGGCTATCATTTCCTCTTTTGTGTTATCGTTCCAGTGCACAATGTGAACTTCCCTGTAATGTGTTTGTGCATGCCTGTGTGTGTGTAAAACATTCCTTGATGGAGAGCTGAATGAGACAAGCTTTGTGTTTCTTAGGGACATTGGATACCCACATTGTACTCGTGAGTGCCTCATGTTTTCAGAGCAAATAATCGGTTGAAATAGGCTTGAGAGATATTTGTGTAATACTTGCCTTTCATTTAGCGTTTATGCTTCCAAGAAGATTGGCCTCATGCTTGTTAGTTCCACAACTCTTAACTCATCTGAATTACAGCACTGACACCCTGAAATCGAGACAGAGCACTAGTCTTTTAACATCTGGCAATTGTGATTTAGATTGGTAGTTCAAACAAGCCTGGAGGTCCCTGATGTGTGTTTATCTACTTCAAAATCACAAGTCTGTGCCGTTTACAGGCTCTGACCTCAGATCTGCAACCTAGCAGTATGGATTGATTGAGGTGTTGCAAAGGTGTGTGGTTCTGTTCTGTTATACTTTGCAATAATGTGTTCAGTCAGCAAGGTACATATATATTTAAAAATCTTAAACTCCCACCGTACATATGGCGTGGTGCCACTTTGCAGCTTTTCCTTTCCTCAAAAGGCAAATTTGTCCACAGCAGTTCCAGCATTCACTTAATCCTTTGGGTCATTGTACCCAGCAATTGTACCCAATTGTTGTATTCTTAGCAACAGAGGGTGTCCATGTTAGCAAATCACTCCTCCGTTGCTAACATTGTGGCTGGTGTGTCACATGGCTGTGTTCCCTGAGCTGGGAAAGTTCTGAGGACAGAAGTTACGTCTTATCTCTTTTGTCATGTTGTGCTGTTGCACTCTTTCTTTCTTTCTCTCGCTCTCTCTGTTGCTGAAGAAGAGAACAGATGCCATTATGATTTGTCCTGTAAATATCGTAGAGTAAATCCTTAGGATGCTCAGATTCACACTTCCAGTCATTACTGCTATCTCTGCTGATTAATAGCGTGCACAGGATCAGCCGACCTGTGTCGCTGGGCGCACCGGGATGAAGATTGATGGCGATCCCGGGGGAGCGCAACACTGGAGGATGCCCGGAGAGGTTTGTCTCATACCAGGGGCTGCGGGTGCCCCCAGCTCCTCCAGACAGTCCATGGAGGGCAAGTGGGGGTAATCGCTATGGAATTTCCTCCCACAAGAGACAGTGATGGTCACCTACTTAAGATGGCGCAGGAGGGTTTTGATACCCATCCACCCCGCGTTCCCAGAGCCCGCACCATTCCACAATTGCCGCTGCCACCAAGAATGGCAAGCAGTCCCCCCCCCCTTATTTTGAAAAACCAGGCTGTGGATAGAGCAATTATCATCTATTTCATAAGAAATCTGCCAGTGTATGTTGCAAAAAGGATGTTTCTGTATTCAAGTATGCGATGACGATTTATTTATCTATATAAAATTGCCTGGAAATATGATGAAAGGTTAATTTATGACATCGACCTTTGCAGAAACAGGTTTCTGAATAGTTGATCAACCCACCTCCTTTCCTAATGCATTGATAGAATGGCACCACTTTATTTAAGCTTTACTTAAGTAATTTAAATTTCATTTGAACACTCCTGCCAGCTGTACTACAAGAATCTAGAGAGCATACAGTATATGCTGTTTGGCATTGGTACACATTGGCAAATCATATGACAGGAGGCTGATTGAACTATCTCTTGCCTGCAGATGTTCTTAAAGGAGCCGATATGCTTTAAAGAAATATGAAACTCCCCCCCCCCCAAAAAAAATATTCTTAGAAGGCAACTTTGTTCTGCAATACTTCAAAGGGCCTCCTTAAAACCCACTGTGATGTTCCCACAAACTAATGGAAATTCTTTATGAAAGTAAAGTTTTACCTTCTTTGTTTTGTTTTGTTACACAAGCATCAGTTCTTGGCAAGAGCAGAGTATATTTTGGTATAGAGAGCGAGTCCATTGTGCATAAAGAAATGCATACAGTGTACTGGTAAGAACTGTGCTCTCATTTTTATTATTTTTGTACGGAAAACTGCAAAGCAAAGATAAGTGGGTTTGGCACTCATGCCACCCAGAAGTCGCAATACATTTAGCCTAACAACAATGGTACTGAGTTGCTATGCATGAAGTTATAGTAAATTGATGGGTAGCTTAATTTTTGTGTGTGCACACACATACAGTTGTGTGTGTGTGTGTGTGTGTGTGTGTTATATTCTCCAATATAATATTGGCATGAACCAGTTTCTAGCCTACTCTCAAAATTTATTCCTGTGCCTACTGTCATCAAAGTCTCTTCCCTAACTTAACAATAATCCTAGTATTCTCAGAGAGACCGTCACAATACATTTATCAAAGCAGGAGAACTTCAGAAAAGCAGTGACTACTGAAGGCTTGGGCGGGTGTGCAGATAATGAGGAGTGACAAAATTCCAGGCACAGAGAGCATTCTGGTATGGCTTGAGGCACTGAGCCATACTTGAAGCTCCAAAGGCATTTCTGAAAAGCTGTGTTCTGCAAACATAACTGCTCTGAGGGAGCAACAAGAACTCAGAGTGGCCTTGGACATTAATGATATTATCTATTAAAGGCATGTTATAAGCACTTGCCTCCCTTTAAATGTTAATATTTGAAAATACACAAAGTGTGGCTTGGTCATTAATGTCTGAAGCCACTGAAACCAGATGAGTTTCATAGCGTTTTCAGGGGAATTCACTTGTTGAAGCACTTGCAAAGATAGGCAGAACAGCTTCAAAGGAATCCATCGTTCTCAAGGCATTCAAAGGCCTATTTGAGTACTAGCACTTCACACAGTTACCGTTATGTGAAGGAGAGAGCAGGGCTTCGCTTGCTGCCCCCTCCCTTGTCATAAAAGTCCTCACCAATATGCCCACCACATTCCACATGTTGCGGGGGGGGGATCTATATTTTTGGGCTTTCAGACCATGTGAGGAACCTACATACAGAGAACATGTTCCCCTATTCAGGCCTAGCCCAACCCAAGTGGGTCGGGAGAGTGATGTGGTTATGGCTTGGAAAAGGCAGTCTTACTCTCTGCAACATGTAATAGTGTTTGCACATTGCTTTACATGTGAACATGAGACTTCACACAAGTCCAAGTGAATTTTGCAAATGACTGTACCCATGTTGTTGTTTTAAATCAACACTGCTGCTTGAGCCCTCAAACTGAGGGCACTTCTGTACTCACATTGTATGTGCTTGGATTTGATCATCTGCAATGTTGGTGTGTGAAGCAATAATGTCTGAAATTGAAAGTATGACTATTCTTAAAATGCTTTATTAGTTCTAGTAAGAAGAATGTGCAGTGCACGTGATGAAGTTTGTGGGTAATGAAATATTATGGGTAATCACATTCAAAGCAGTGCCATTGTAACCACACATCGATCCATCTCCCTTAAGATGGAAACAAATATGTATATGTGTAATAATATTCTCTACAGTTGGCTCCCCCTTTTGGGGTAACTTGGCTACCATACTTGCCCAAAGCAAACCTGTTTCCCTTCCAGTCATCTCAACTAAAACCAAAAAATGTAGGAAACAAAAAAGTGTCGGGGAAATCTGCAAAATATTTATTGAAATTGGGCTGAGGGCCACATGCCCTCAGTATTGTGTATTTGTTAAGAGTGTCAGACCAGGGTTAAAATCCTTACCCAGCCCTGAAGGTCACTGAGTGACCTTGGGGCAGTCATGATATCTCAGGCTGACCTCAGAGAGGTAGAACCATGTATGCTACCTGGAGTTCCCTGCAGGAAAGGTGGGATATAAATGTAATAATGAGGATGCTGTTGTTGCTGAGACTGCCCTATAAAAATGCTTGATAATGTGCTTCTTTCTGAAATATATGATGAAAAATAATTCTGTTTCAGCATTGTAATTAATGCATTCTGTAGGGAAAGGGGAGGGAAACAAATTATGTTGCTAAGGCACCATAGTTACAGATGAATAGCCAATGTAAGGAGTTCCACTTTTGTTGGGGGGGAGGGGAGTGTTTCCACACTCTTATTATTTACAATGCTATTCCTGAGTCCTTAATCCTAATTGCCATATTCTCCAAAGAAAAATGTTTTTGTGTATGTGGAGAAATAATTTAAGTGCTGCTCCCTGCTAATTTTTTTCAGCTTGTGTCATTTAATTTCATAGGTCTTTACAATGCTTGAAATATTTATTTTTAATAAGAATAGGCAAGTTTCAGGTAAATACGGAAAGCAAAGGTGTTGGGGGAATTAGTAACAACCAGGTTTTTGGTTTTTTTAATTGGGAAAAAAATACTACTTTTTTAAGGCTGCCAAATTCTATGCCCGCATCTTGACAGAAGGTTATCTTTTTAAAGAGGGCACATACATTTGCAATGACGGATGTTGCAAAGGCACTGATAACTCCCCAAAGCAAATGAAAGCAAGGAAATTTCCATGGAGAGAGTAGCTCTCTGCCAAATGAAAGGCATTAGGTTTCCCCAATGGTCTCATCTTTCTCTACCTCTCAGCTTCCAAATAGTATCTCTCCTGCCCATTCTGTCAAAGGGGTTCAGGGGCAAAGGGTGGACATATGTTTCCTCTGTGAGTCTGTCTCTCCACCATCTTCTTCTGAGATGTGCATACATGGACCAGTATTTTGAGTGATGAGACTGAGATACAGTGTAATTACATTGTTGAAGTCATCCATTTATTTTTAGGGAATTATATCCATTGCTGTCCATCCATTTGTGGACAGCTCATTGATCCAGTTGAGGATTCCCAAAAATGGAAGGGGGATGGATACAATTTTTGCTGATTCCCTTACACCCCCATAAAAACTCTGGTCTAGAGAGTTGGGGTGCCCTCTAGAATGTCATGAGAGGTGGCATAGAGGACTGCAGGAGAAAGGTGAAATGTGGAAAGTCCTTATGAGGATGACAGGACAGTGTTGGCTACAACCCAGTGTTGTTGTTTTTAAAATGACTGAATAAATGAAACCATCCTTGTACCAGGGATTTATTTAAGGAACAGTCCACTGCAAAGCAGCTAAAATAATGAGAGATGTGCAGAAATGCAGTTGTGCTCTTATGCATATCCCATTTATTTCACATTTCAACCTCTTTCTTTCTTGAAAAATAAGAACACTTTATTTTTGTCCTGGGGATGCAAGTCAGAGTGATTTATCGTGCCCTTAAGGTCTGTCGGATGTTGCTCATTCAGTCAGATGCTTCAGTAGTGCTGCTGACACAACTAAGGAGAGGGAAATACCTACGAGAGTGGGGGAAAACATTTGTCTGCCTCCCCCCCCATATAGATAAGAAAAGTGGTCATATGGATTTAAAATTTTACCTATTAAAATGTATTTAATTTTGGCCTGCTACCATGCTGAAACAAACATTTACGTAGACATATGTGCATCTTTCTCACACACATGTGGAACCCACCAGTTAATAACTTTGTCATGATGATCGCAAACATATTTATTGTCTCTCGGTTTGTTTTGTTGCCATTTTATGTGTCCAGATATTTAGTTCCTTTCAGTGTTCACAATGTAAGATATATATATATATATATATATATATATATATATATATATATATATTAAAAATAGTACATTGTAACATAAAGGTTGTAATCCAACAGCCAAGTAACACAAATGCCTCTGGTACTTCCCTGTCGTCAGCTATGAAACAACTTGTAGCAGTGTCTCCATAGCTATTGATGCTTTTAGTCTCACACATCCTGAAGTGTACTGAGTATACATAAATGCTTTGTCTTGCCATATGACAGTTACTTGACATGACACATGAATTACACTCTTTGTCATGCAGTTTTCATACCGTGTTTGGGGGAACCCTGAGGTTCCTTGGAATAAGCATTGGCTGAGTTCTTGAGAACATTTTTGTTCTTTGCAAGCTGGGGAAGAAGCTCTTGTCTGTGCATTCCACGAGCTCACTGTATATCTTAGAATATGCTCATGCAACCTGACAATCTAGATTTCCATGGGCCATTAAGCAGACAAGTCTATGTAGAACTGGATCCCTGAACATACTGTTGCAATGTTCTTTTTACAAGCAAATTCTCACACTCTCAAGTATTGCGTGCGGAATTACCAATAAAGAAAGTACAGCTGTACTAATATGAATCAAATCACTTGAGAGAAGGGACTTTATAAAAGTGTAGTTTGCTTTAAAACATTGGACCATATTTACAGGGTAACAAGATATGAAATGAGAGCATAGAACATATATTTTAAAAAATGCATTAGTGGTAGGTGTAATAGTGGAAACACATTTCAACAGCTTTTTAAGCATTCTTAAAGAGTAAGGTAAAGGTAAAGGTACCCCTGACCATTAGGTCCAGTCGTGGATGACTCTGGGGTTGCGGCGCTCATCTCGCTCTGAAGGCCGAGGGAGCCAATGTTTGTCCGCAGACAGTTTTTCCGGGTCATGTGGCCAGCATGACTAAGCCGCTTCTGGTGAACCAGAGCAGTGCACGGAAACGCCGTTGACCTTTCCGCCGGAGCGGTAACTATTTATCTACTTGCACTTTAACATGCTTTCGAACTGCTAGGTGGGCAGGAGCAGGGACCGAGCAACAGGAGCTCACCCCACCGCAGGGATTTGAACCGCCAACCTTCTGATCGGCAAGCCCTAGGCTCTGTGGTTTAGACCACAGCACCACCCGCGTCCCATTCTTAAAGAGTAAGCCTTTCTTTAAAAAGTCTTTCCCAGATTACCTCTGCGATTGCCCCAAAGGAAGGGAAGAAGCCAAGGTGATATGAGGGGGCAGGTGTCAAAACCATCCTGACATATATTGTCTTAACTGGCTCGAATATGAGCTTTGCTAGTTTTATGTCTGGCCTAAAAGGGTCTCCTGTAAGCATTCTTTAACACTAGATTATTTAAGTTACAGGATATGACCTATAGTCCTATAACCTAATATTTCCTGATTATATTATTAAGCAATGTGAACCTTCCTGATGATCCACAACAATCCACCTGCCAGGAATGTAACACTGGAGCTCTACTCCACCTGGTAAGCTTCTGCTTACATTTCAGCCTTTTAGAAACAAAGAGCTTCCAGAAACAGAACACTTAACCAGCAATATCAACATTACCAGCTTAACCAAGCTTCTTCTGCCTGAAGCCTTTCTTGACTCTTTCTGGAAATAAGACTAGAGGAGACAAAATTCAGATGAATAGAAGTCTAATCATATTTTAAACTGTTGGGCTGAGAGTTCAGCAGTAAAAAGTACAGTAGGTTTCTAGGTCAGAGGTTGCAGCGTGAGTCAACCAGAGTGAATGAGTCTGCTCGAATCAAAATTATTTCAACTCCTATTCTCACTTTCCCCTCTTAATATCTCTGCAAGATCATTAACAACACTCCAGTTGTTATTATTATTATTAATAATAATAATAATAATAATAATTTATTATTTATACCCTGCCCATCTGGCTGAGTTTCCCCAGCCACTCAGGGCAGCTCCCAATTAAGTGTTAAAAACAATACAGCATTGTTTTGTTTGTTGAAGCAAAGATTACCAGGCAAGCTCCTAAGCCAGCAAGAGTTTACAAAAGTAGTTTTAAACTAAGTGAAACAATATGCTGGAGAAGAAATTTCTGGCATAGGAATAAGTCTATTTTTGTCTCCTGTCCATTACGCTAGAAAGTGTGAAAATGATTGGTGTAGATCATTGCTGAACTGTTTCCCAACTCATCTCTTAATTGCTATTAGATTGCTGTCTAAAAGGCATAACTGATGACTCTTAGTGCTTGGCAGAGAAATAGAGGCACATCTAACCATTGTGAAATGACATGTTCATGCATACTAGAAGGCAACCTTAAGGTACATGTATCTAAAAATAATTTCAGAAGGAACCATGAAAATTGAAATCTTGTTCTAACAGTGAATTAAGTGGAGTTAGTATTGTGCTATGTCACTAGAATAAAAAGGAACATTCACGTGTTAGTGGAGAACTTAGAATTGTCCATACATATGATTGTCTTACAACACAGCTCATTTATCTTGCTATTTATTTATTTTGAATTATTGCTAACATGCTCTTCCTCACAAAGAACCCAGTAAACAAAACTAAAATCCAGTGTATCGCAGCACAGCAATATAAATAAATACAGAGAAGAAAGTATCTAGCTGACTTTATGTGACTTGCTTACATTACACAACCACAAGGAGGAATAAGGGTGAAATTCAAATCAGTGTGCATTTATAGACAAATCTGCCTAATTTACATTTTCTGAAGCACAGCCTTCTTTTGAAATGTGCTCTTCTCTGAATATTGCAATGCGGTATTCTTCAGCTATGTAATGTGTACAAAAATGCATATATTAAAGAGTGCATATTAGTGAAAATGACCTATATAAAATTTGTGGTTTGTTTTTTTTAAAAAAATGAAATAACATATAAAATGCATTATATAAATGTTTTGCACATTTGTGCATATTAGACAAAACTGCATACAAAAATGAGTATATTAGGAGAAATCTGCATTAAATGCTGCCACGTTTTCATTAGGACATGGGGGGGGGGTGGTTCCCTCCAAAAAAGATTGCAAACTGAAGTGGAAATGTGGAAATCTGAATTTAAGGGTGGGAAACTGAGAAACTGAAATTGATTGGCCCATACCTAACCGCCAGTGTTCAGTTAAGATTCAGCTGCCAGTCCAGTTGCCTTAGTCATGTGGAACAGAGAGAAATGCCATACTGACTTGCAGCAAAATACCTTGGCCCAGCTCTGCTTAGGCCACAGTTCTGATAAGCACACTTATTCAAAAATAAGCCCATTGATTCCAAAGGGGTTTACTTTCTAGTAAGGACTGACTTCCTCCTAAGCAGACATAGGATTGTGCTACATGTTCTAATTGGCTGTAAAGCTGCAGTAGCTGAAGCTTCTTGTTCTGTAGGAGAACAGGGGACATAAAATTAAAGGCCATACTAATGGCCTTTTCATTCAATATCTGCTTTACAAACAGGAATCTTGTTGTTCCTGCAATATTTAGCAGAAACACTTAGCATTGACTGAGGTCAAAGTGGGAAGGAGGAGGAGGAGGTAGTATTGATTCACTGAGTGGAACTTGTCATTAAAGGAAGATTGAATGTTTGACTCTTATCTCCCTTTATTACAGTGTGTTTTTACCTTGCATAAAACAGCTGTTTGTCTTATTTTATGTTACCTACTTGAGAATGCTCTTTAGCTAATGCTCATATGTTGACATTATTCTGACACATTCATGTGGTGCAGTTTGGCACACACTGGCTGCTGAAACCGTCACTTGGGTGACACATTATCTGGACCTGAACCAAAGACCATGATAGTGAGCTGCATATATGGAGTGTGTGGTGGTGGACAGTAAGTCCAGATACGATACAGTGGTACCTCAGGTTAAGAACTTAATTCGTTCCGGAGGTCCGTTCTTAACCTGAAACCGTTCTTAACCTGAGATACCACTTTAGCTAATGGGGCCTCCTGTTGCCGCCATGCCGCCGCCACGCGATTTCTGTTCTCATACTGAAGCAAAGTTCTTCACCTGAGGTACTATTTCTGGGTTAGCGGAGTCTGTAACCTGAAGTGTCTGTAACCTGAAGCGCCTGTAACCCGCGGTACCACTGTACTGAGAAGCTGGTTAAAAAAAAAACAGGGAGCAAATTCCAGGCACACAGAGCTCTTCCACATGTCTAAACACAATCAAATTTCAGATGTATAGACAGTTTCATTGTGTGGATAGTTATTTGTATATCTAGCTAAACTGCTTCTGCTACTCACAAATTGCTACTTTCAACAAAAATCACTTTGGGGTCATTTTGAAAACACAAGTATGGGTATGTTGATTATTCTCCTTCCTTTTTATCCGTGTTTATCAAACTTGGGTTTCCAGCTGTTTCTGTACTACACTTCCCATCATCCCTGACCACTGGTCTTGCTAGCTAGGGATGATGGGAGTTGTAGTCCAAAACAGCTGGAGACCCAAGTTTAGGAAACACTGCTTTATATTGTACCATGACTGTGCATTGTTGTTTTACAAGAATGGAACCTGCAGTCAGGGCCTAACAATCTAGAAACCAGGGGAACCTCAGGCCCATGGCCAGATCCAAACCTTCAGGCATCTCTGTCTGGCCACACTCCCTCCCTGAACACACTGTCTTTCTCCTGGCCGCACCTTTCACTTTGCTTCATGTCCTCCTTGAGCATCATTGGCTGGCTGGAATGTTTCCTTGAACTCTGACAATTATCCTTGCTTGCTTAGATAGAGGGTGGGGAGGGGTCTGTGATTGTGTGCAGAAACCCGTCTACTGTACAAAGGTCAAAGTTATATTCATGGCTCTGCACACTGTTGCCTCTGACACCACTGACAAGTGCCCAGAAAGTTGCCCAGGGGGGGAATGTGGCTCATGTGCTGAAAAAGGTTTCCCGCCCCTGCTATAATTTAACAAAGAGAAAACAAAAGAAGCAGGAATAAACAAGAAAGGGAGGCATGGATAAACAGCAGAAAGCAGATGTGTTTATTTCAACTGCATGTGCTTAGGTTTAGTTATAGTAGGGCATGGGAACTGGGGAGGGAGGGGCTGTGCCAACGGATTCACAACAAAAGTGGGATTTGGGGAGGGATTTGAGGAAAGGATGAATCAGCTTTTAAGGAATGCACTGGTTTATAAAACCTTCTGCAATATTTGAAATATACTTAGGCTGGGATCCAAAAGCTGCTTTAGGCATTGATTTTTTTTCCTATTGAAGAGATCTGCATGGCACGTCACAAATAACTTTTGAAAGTCACCTTTGGTTCAAAAATGGTTCGCCATGTGACAGAAGTGCTGCTGTTAAGAGAAATGCAAGCCCATAGTGCCATTGATCACACAGGACTAGTATCACGGTTATTTGGACCCCATATTGATTGATTGATTGATTGATTGTTCAACATTTCTCATCAAACATAATCCTCTGAAGAGGACCAGGTTGACATGGGTTGGGGATTGCTAGAAAGTCCATGGTAGACCTTCTACGTTTTGACACTCCTTAAATACTGTTGTGCTGAGCTGATTTCTTATGACTGTGAATATTTGCTTTTACAAGCATCTCCCCCACAGTTCCTTAAATTTATTTACCCTTCCAATACACAGCTGACCAATCTACATGTTCCTCATCTACAACTGCCAATAACATCTAATCTGACTCTTACATGTCAGTTGTTAAATAGGAATTAACAATGCAAGCATGGGACTTCAGTGTAATAAGGTGGAAAATTATGTTTCAGGAATGTCTACTTCTTGAATCAGAAATGGTGTGGCATGATGCATTGTCTCTCTGGATTATGTTGCATAAATGTACATTCTGGGCATTCAATATTTAACCAGCATTTCTCTAAAATTGGCTGCTTCCCCAAACCTGCTCATAGCTGCCTGTTATGTGTAGATGGTGCTATTTTGGCTACACAAAGGACTTTGCTTACTCTTAAATTTTAGGATTCCTTACCTCCTGTTTTAAACTTAAACAAATATCTTTGCATTCCTACCAAGGGAAGCTTTTCCACTTTTCCACAGATCCTCTTGTGAGGAATGCGTTCCAGAAAGTATGAGCTTCTGGTGCGTCTGCAGAGCCAGATATAACACACACACACAAAAATTCACCCATCTTGCCCACCTTAAAACATTAAAACAGGTAAACGCAATTTGGAGAATTTCTAACAAATTTATATTCCCCTCTGTTTAGGGTGATGTATGTTTAGGACTTCCCCATGCAAATTGCTAGGAGGAAAAAATCGGTCAAAACCTCAGCACAGCTCAAAATTTTCTCTTCTCTCATGTGCCATGCCAGATTTTGCAGTATCTGAATAGTCCTTAAGGTGAATCATATTGCAAAGCATTGCTCTAGAATAGTCAGAACAAATCTAGTCAATAATGGCAGTGTGAGCAATATCTATTTTACTTCACTAGCACCCATCTAACATAATTCAAATTCACATCAGTCATTCGGTGTTTTGCATATGAAATCTCACCAACAGAGCTTGGACTCAGGATATTTTTTCTTTAAGGGGAAGAAAAGTGTCTAAACTTTCTCCTTGGTATTTGTTTGCATTTTCCTTGCTTCCCTGTTAACTGCTGCAGGCTGTATTGATAATGCATTCTTTCCCATTAATCTTTTCTGTCCAGAGGAATATTATGGGTTCATTTGTCATTTTAGGGAGGAACCAGGCATTACGCTTGAAACATGAGTGCTCAAACTGAGTTATCTGCCTTCCTCTTCAAAATATTTAGGCACTCTGTGGTGTGATTTTACATGCTTTTCCATACCCCCAGGCAAAAGCAGGCAGTGATATAGAACAAGTGGTGATGTCACAGCATGCATTACAGAGAGAGGTAAAAGTTAAAGGTACTCCTGACCGTTAGGTCAAGTCGTGGACGATTCTGGGGTTGCGGCGCTTATCTCGCTTTATTGGCCGAGGGAGCCGGCGTTTGTCCACAGACAGCTTCCGGGTCATGTGGCCAGCATGACTAAGCCGCTTCTGGCAAACCAGAGCAGCACACGGAAACGCCGTTTTCCTTCTCGCTGGAACAGTACCTATTTATCTACTTGCACTTTGACACGCTTTCGAACTGCTAGGTGGGCAGGAGCTAGGACCGAGCAACGGGAGCTCACCCCGTCGCGGGGATTCAAACTGCTGACCTTCTGATCGGCAAACCCTAGGCTCAGTGGTTTAGACCACAGTGCCACCGCATCAACCAGGTTCAGTTCTCCCCTTAGATAATGAATGATCGGCTTGCTTATATTTCTGAAGATTTGAGAAAGACTGATACAAAATTCTAGAGTCAACCATAGTCAAGTCTGAGGTGGAGTACCTAATTTTTTTCATAAAACAAACTGTTTGCATATAAAATGGGCATCTATTATACATCAGTTCTAAGTTGTGGTTGGTGGTTGGCATGTGGTCTAAACCACACAGCCTAGGGCTTGCCGATCAGAAGGTCGGCAGTTTGAATCCTCGCGACGGGGTGAGCTCCCATTGCTCGGTCCCAGCTCCTGCCCACCTAGCAGTTCGAAAGCGTGCCAAAGTGCAAGTAGATAAATAGGTACCGCTCCAGCAGGAAGGTAAATGGCGTTTCCGTGTGTTGCTCTGGTTTGCCAGAAGTGGCTTAGTCATGCTGGCCACATGACCTGGAATCTGTCTGCAGACAAATGCCGGCTCCCTTGGCCTATAGAGCGAGATGAGCGCTATAACCCTAGAGTAGTCCGCGACTGGACCTAATGGTCAGGGGTACCTTTACCTTTGCTAAGTTGTACATAATGATTACTTGATCATATACGGATCATATGGTTATATACACAGATTTGTATATATTGAAGGCACAGCATCTGTTCAATTTACATGAATTTGGCATCCTTTTGAGATGCTGGAACTAGATAGTTTTGAAAACTAGTAGAGGACTGTTGGTATCTTTTTCATCTTCTTTTAAATATCATATGGCAGTTGTTTGACACGCTGAGACATTTGTGTTTCCCAGAAATAACATCAACATGTGGCGCATTCAGCCACCCTGTGGCATTAGAGCCTGATATTTTCAATCTTCTATGCTCTGGATAAATCGGTGCTATCAGTTCCTAAGAATAAGACTTCAGATGATAAATAGTCCAGGCTGCATATTTAACCTTGTCTTCCTTACAGTCCTATTCTGGGAAATAGATCCCACTCCGTTTGGTGGGGCTGCTCTGGGGTCATTATAAGTTAGGTTTTTACCTTATTCTTGCATATAGTGTCGGGCACATTAATGGTGGATCGCACTTATTCATTCCCTTCTTCTGGTTCCGGATATTCTGTATGGCCCAGTGGAGTCTGTTTCTTCCTTTGTATTGTTCACGTGTTATTTATATGCAAAAATACACAAGTTGCATTCAGTGAAGGCATGTGCAACATTGAGAAGTTTCCTTAATTGGGATCTCAAGCCAGCCCTTTGAGACAATTAAAGCCAGATGAGAATTTCTGCACTTACCATAAGTGCTCAGAGGACAGAGTAGAGACAGGTACTTAGCATCCCTGGAAGAAGTCCTTTACTTTCCTTGACATCAGCAAGGACACCTACCAAGTGAGCATCTATGCACCTGCATGGTGCTGAGTGATTTGCTTCCCAGTGCTTAAACACAGGGCAGAGAATCTTTCTGGCCGCCCACCCTTGGCCCTGCGGTGGTGTGTAGCAGTTTGGCAAACTATCTCACCTTTCAAAGGATCACCTTAGACTCATGTCAGAATGTAAGTGAAGTTGACAATGGGAATGGGAATTCCTCCTGGAAGAGAAGTACGTATTTTCATTGTGTATTGTTGGTTTGTGTCAGTTATTTTCATAAACTTCTGATTGCTCAAACAGGCTTTAAAATTGAAGGCACATAAAGAAGCCTTAAGGCCTCAAAAGGTTACTTTTGGGCAGTGTTATTAAAAGGAGGCTGGCTCAGAGTAGTGACTCAAATAGTGCTGCAACAGGCATCTTCTTCAAAGGTGAGATAATTCTGCCATGTCTTTGGATCAGCAGCAGGAACCCTAACTTTCCCAGTGTTTATTGTTGGTGAAGGGATAAGGTGATACAAATCTCCACTAGGCCTGAGCAGCAGTAAGCTGTGGTTGCCAGTCCCCCATTGTTAGCCAGCAGAATAGTCCTGAAGTGGAAGGAATGCCTGCTTTGACATGCCTGCAACACTGCAAATTCCTTCAGTGCAATCCTGAGCACACTTACTTGAAGTTAAGGGGACAAGGGGTTGTATTCAACTAAAGCCAATGCTTCTTCAACTTGGGTCTCCAGTTGTTGTTGGACTACAACTCCCATCAACCATGACCACTGGTACTGCTAGATAGGGATAATGGGAGTTTTAGTCCAACAGCTGATGACCCAAGTTTGAGAAACACTGAACTAAACTTTACCTAGAATTGTTGTTGTTTAGTCGTGTCCGACTCTTTGTGACCCCATGGACCAGAGCACACCAGGCACTCCTGTCTTCCACTGCCTCCCGTAGTTTCAAACCCATGTTAGTAGCTTACCTAGAATAGACCCACTGAAATAAATGAACATGACTAAGTTAGGTCCATTAATTTCAGTGGGTCTGCTCTCAGTAAAACCTTGTTGGATATCACTCTTAATCTTGAGTAAGCAAGCTTTGGATAACATAAAGAAAACTCTTCCAAAAACGTCTTTCCCCCTGGGGAAAATGAGATCAAAGACAAAATGAGGCTTGTGCAGTGACAGATGTCAATTATATTACTTAATGCACTACTTGAGGTCCATTGAATAGATTAACAAATTGTGACAAAATGACAAGTACATTCTGTGGTGATTGATGAATTGATGTGTTATCAGGGTCTTCAAACTGCCAGACCCAGAAGAATAGAAATGGTGTGAGATCAGTGTGAAATCATTGCTGAGCAAATGCTGTTACTTATTTTGTATGAATAGGCTGGATTGTTTTATCTTTTCCTGATAGTTTTCTTTTTTATTTATTATGTTTATATTCTTCCTTTTGTTCCTTGATAGTCATATGTTTAAGGCAGGGACCAGACCCAGTGCCTTCCAATAATGCCCCGACATTCCCCCGCTTGTACAGTAATCCAAGGATGTACGAGGTGGCCTATGTTTATGGTGGTTGCCAACCAACAAGGAAAGCTCTTTGTGTACAAGTGGCTATGTTTCCCCTAAGTTTCACAGACAGAAGACAGCTCACAATGGCTTCAGCCACACCAACCTGATCCTTCATCATATCAGCCATATGGGCAATAACAACTGGCAAAAAATGGCGGGCCTAGAGTAGATCTGCTTGAGGTGGACCTGCAAGTTCTTGCAAGTGAGGTGGCCCCACTTCCTCCTTCACACCACTGCATTTACACAGATGGATTCAATGTGGTGTCCATGTTTAAGACTTGGAAAACTTAGTTTTGTTACTAATCATAGTTTTCACAGATGACACCATTTCCATCATTTTTCTCAAAGGATCTGCTCCAAAAATACTGCTTTCATTATGAGAAAATAACACATGTGTAATGAACAGCTGTGGAGCCATTTAAAGGCATGCATAATGTGCGCCCTTTACTTCCCTCCCCAACACAATCCAGATTGTTCTCATCCAGATATACTCTCATGCATCTTGTTAACAGATGGTCAGCAAGGATTGGGAACTGCATGGTGGACAGCTTCTTGTGTGTGTGCATGTCAGTAGCTAATGTGCAGATAAAACAATTGCTGGATCACATGCACAGGAGATTTTAAATGGGACATTTTATCAGATAATTCTAAAGTGCTTGTTCCGTGCCTGTTAAAATTTATGTCCACTGAGGCCTCAAACTGCTTCTTTCCCCCTCCCAACCCCCAATTCCTGTTGGGTCATTGTCTTGGTAATTGTGGTGGGAAGGATTTCTATAAGTAGAATCTGTGTCTTCAAAGAAACACTGCCATGTCAGGATTTCTTAATGACCAAGAATTACCTGAATTTACTCACCCATAGGACAGAAACAGTGCAAGCGGACTATTAATCAAACAATTACTTTTCTGGTTAAGCAATTTTCCAATAATCAGATTTGACTGATCTCTTAGGCAGCAATGCTGTTCACTAACCGGTTCAGTTGCATGATCTAGGAACAAATCATAGAAGCCAAATAAACCCACAGGTCAGTTTTAAAATCATTTAAGCAGAAACTGGAAGCCAGGGATTTACTGGGATGAGATGTGTTATTGACTGATTAATTACAAATTCAGCCTCTGGAAAGGGATTTAAGTTCTAAACTGCAGGTTAAATGCCTCAAGTCATTTTTGCTACTTGGATGCACTTGGATTCTCTCTGAGATGGTTAGAAGCTGCAAAATTTCACTGTGAATTTCAAGGTGTCCTAGATTTATAGAAATTGAGATTGAGCCTGAGCTCCTTTCTCATTTATAAAGTACCCAGCCGTTATTTTTGGTTCTGCCTTTTGGCTTAATATCACCACATCAAGACTTGTGCAGAATGTGGGAAATGTGTCTTTTGTTTGTTCATTTCCCCTCTTATTTTCTAAGGGTCAACTAAAACTACTGAATTTCTTCATGCAGTTGTGTATACAGGTACATAGCCAAGTGGAGAAAAGGGTAGTGTGAACCAAGCAGGCAGCAGATGCGATGAGCCAGCATGCATCTGCATTCATTTCAAGAAAATGCAAATTTCGTTCATCATGTGTGCCACCCACTCATATATTTTAATGAGTGAATGTGATTACATTAGACCCATCAATTTCAGTGGGTCTGTTCTAAGTCTGTTTTAGTTGAATACCATTCCATTTGTGAAACACATTTCCATTCTCTCCTTCCCATGCAGCCACAAATCTGCCCTGGAGGGTTGGGGCACCTTCCAGAGCACCTTTGAGGAGGCATGAAGGACTACAAAGAGTAGGAGAAGAAAGGAAAGTCCCCTTGCGCAAGCCCTAAAAGTCTCACCCCCTTTTTATAAGGAAATTATGTTCATGGCAGCTCACAATATACAAGATAAATGGTCAGTTACACCAGTAAATAAACATGAACAATGCACATTTCAATGGCAACACATTTCTGATCTCATAAGGGCATTTCAATGATGTCCCAAATAACAATTCATAATTTTATTTTAAAAATAATCAAACCGATATTTCTTCATAGTTATTAAAAATCACCCACAATCAGGAGTTGTAGAAAAGACTGAAAACAGAGGGGGGAAGTCTCCCCTCTGGTCTGCTTCCCAGGCCACGCCCCCTTGGCCCACCAACAATTGGCTCAAGCCATGGGTGGGCTCTGACAGCCCCCGCAGCCAAGGAGGAAATGACATCATCTGCCAGCTGTGCAGGGCCCAGAAGGCTGCTTCGGCCCAGGGGCAGGCCGCCCCGAGCTGCAACCACCACTTCCTGACAAGAACAAGGTGTTTCTAGAAGCAGCTGCCACTTGGAAAATCCTGAAGCTGAGCCATAAGGCTGATGGTAGCCAAAGATAGAGACTTTCTCAGCCTCACTTTCTTCCACTCTATACTTTCTCCAGTTAGGTCTTTGTGTCTCCCCATGTGGACACCATGAGCCAGGATTTATTGCTAGGTTATTGGGTTGGTGTTGGTTGGCACTTGGCAGTCCTATAACTTTTTTAAGCAAACGAGAAAACATTTTGTACATTCTCAAAGGCATTGTCTTGTTTTTGGAAGCTCTGTGGGCAAAATGTTGACTAGGAGGGCCTACTGACAAGGATTTTCTTTCGCAAGCACCCAATAAAAGCTGGAACTGGTTGTGCTAAGCATATGCCAGCATAGCAAATCTGAATTTGCAGTAGGCACTAGAAATCTAGTCCAGAATAAAAAACTCAGCAGATGTTCACTCTAGGCATGGGTCCAAGCAAAGAAAATTGGGCATTGGCACCAGCCTAACCAAGGAAGCTAGCCCAAGGCAGAGCAGTGCATCTGGCAAATCCCAGATGCTCTATGAGATTCATGTAGAAGGAAGCTGATACCAACTTCCAGCTGATAAACCCAAACTTCTGTATATGGGACAGTGCGTGTGAGTGTGCCATCTTCACCTTTCATTTTAAAGTTGCTTCAGCTCCATGGGACCAACTCCACTTTTGTAAATTGTTTGACTACGATGCAAAATGAGGTTGGGTTATTTCTTCTTTCCCTGTGATATGAATGCCAGGGTTATTTGAGCCATAGAAACATATTCTACTGCATTCCTAGAAAGCTGAGACTGTTCATGTTACACAAAAAAAAAAAAACTACAGCCATCACAAGATTCTGGTTTCTGCTGGCTAAAGCTGATCTTTCCCAAAGCAACTTCTGCTTGAGAATTGAATGCCTGGCTTGGGATCCAGAGTTCCATTTCCTTGCTGCTCTTTATTTCCTTGCTCAGGGTTGAATGCAGGTTCAGTACAGTGGGCAGCCAGTGCTGGCATGAGGTTCTCCTGCCCCACACAATGCCTGTTGAAAGAGGGACCATTGTTCCATCCCCAACAGCCAAAGAAGGAGCTCTGTACTATAGGCACATGATGATCAGAACGTCTGTCCATGCAGGACATTTATAGAAGCCTGCAATCTATTTCTCTAACACTTGTAGTGTTTCTGCACACAGTGGCGAAGTGACAATGTCTCAAATATATGCAGCTGTTATTTCATTATTTCTGCCGCTGTGCTTTTATTCAACTCTTTTAGTAGGACCAAGGAACAATTGCCAACAGAGTTTCCTCCCAGTGTTGAAGGAGTGCTTCCTGACATGAGCTTTATATAGCAAATGGATTGTTCAGATCTATTTCCCTCCCCTCCCCCCCGTGTGTACAACTGGTGTGTTTGCATCCACACAGTCCATTCTTCTCATTCCTTGGCGTTCACTGCTATTTTGCTGTTTGCCATCTGCACCAGTAGGGGGAGCTTGACTGTTTGTCTTTACTCTGTTACTTTGTTGCTCCTCCACCTTCTCCCATTCTGGACATGTATACAGTTCTCGAACTCAATCCGTTCTGAAAGTCCATTCGACTTGCAAAACCTTTGAAAACCAAGGTGCAGCTTCTGATTGGCTGATTGGCCCCGGAAACAATGCCGACAGCCGGAACAAACCAGAACACTTACTTCTGGGTTTGTGGCATTTGGGAGCCTATTTGTTCGTCAACTAAACCGTTTGGGAACCAAGGTACCAATGCACATGTTATTTCTGTACCTGTGCATGTGTACTTAAAAAAAAAAAAAAGATCACCAGAAACAGGCAACTATTACCACCTCGTAGGTATCATTTTTCACAATGGACAAAGCGGAGGCTTGAAGTTTTGGCCCTTCAAGACCCATTTCTATGGAGGTTTTGTACACGCTTGATATCTGGCTATATTTATCTGCTGTTTAATTTTGGGGGAGCAGAGAGGCAGGATAAAAGTCCCCAAGAATGCCTTGAAGGACCCCGTAACAGTTGACAGACAATCACACATTTTCCCCACAAAAACAGGGGGGCGACAAAATTAGTCTTCCAGAAAACCCCCATATAATAACTTTTTTAAGGCCAGTGTATGTACTGTGATTACAGACCTTGAGGCAACCATCAGTTACCCACATTTACTGTGTGGAAATCCTCCTTTGAACTTGGTTGTTGAAATTCGGAGGTGCCATTACATTGCAGCAATCGGTGGAAGTAGGTGTCAAATACACAATTCGGAGTCACACTCACATCATTTAGTATTGGGGGCTAACTAAACCAAATGGATAGGCTGTGATTTGATGGTGAACAAATGGGAGTAGGGGACAGTCCCTCAAAACATCGCCACACACATATCCTGCCCCCAAAATGAGGTGGGGGCTCCCCCCCCCCCAGTAATGAGTTCCCACACCAGCAGTGACTATGGCAACATAATAGATTTTTCTTTTTTTTACAAATTGGATTTTTCACAGTAAGGGAAAATCCGGATTAAAAAAAAGAGTTGTGCCTGGCATTTTGATGACAATGATGCCACAAAACCTGTATACATGAGCTGCTGAGATTGCAGAATAAATTCCTGGCTGGAAGCGTCCAGAGCCTAGTCTGGAACCAAAATATGTATAGCTTTATGTGTCTCATATTCTGCTTCTAACAACAACAAAAGAGCTCCTGGTTGAACCTGTGAAATGGTAAGAAGCTTGAATAAAAATCAAACTTCGGTAAGACAAGTGTTTTGGCTCAGTGTCTGTTTTCAGACTACATTTCTTTTAGGTTTATTCATAGCATACCAGAAAAGTGGCCCTTAATTATCTACTGAAGGATTTGCTGCGAGTCAGGATTCTCCCTCCCTCCTCCCCCTCTTAACAGACAGGAAAATAACTCTAAAATTAGCAAATGCTTCACATATTCCATCCCCTCCCCAGGTCTGCTACTGTTGCTTCAACATTTGCTTTTTAGAGGTTTCAAATCACAACTAATGTAGGCTTTGGAAGAGGGGGAAAAACCTGCCCAACATGTGACTCATGACAGCCAAAGCTAAGCCTGGCAAAACAGATTTTAAAAAATAAAAATAAAAAAAATTGTTGCTAAATTCAGCTATATTCAGAAGGAGATTTTGCTGAAAACCAGAGAAGGGCTGAGGCGCAGCATTAACAAAAGAGATAATCCTGTTTGATCGTTTCTATTTTGCACAAATACATTTCCATGTGCTTAAGCCTTCATAGAGTGGGAATGGCATGAGCAAAAGGCTGGTTCTGAGTTCTGGACTGATCATTCTAAACTAAGCAAGGAATTACAGATTTGTGAACTGATCACCCTTCCCTTAAGAGTTGTTGTTTTTCTAAGTAGCATGGTGGAGGGTAATGATGGACTGCATTGCAGCACAACAGGATGGGTGGGTAAATCCAATCTCCTTGCCACCTTTATGCCCCTCTTCCTCCAAGCTGCTATTTGCCTTATTGGGGAACCCATATTGCATCCACATACAGTGGTACCTCTGGTTGCGAACAGGATTCGTTCCGGAGGCCCATTCGCAACATGAGCAGAACGCAACTCACAGCGGCGCGTCTGCGCACACGCGGGTTGTGACTCGCCGCTTCTGCACATGCGCGTGACATCATTTTGCGCATCTGCTCATGCGCGAGTGGTGAAACCCAGAAGTAACCCTTTCCAGTACTTCCGGGTCACCATGGGACGCAACCTGAAAAAACATATCATGAAGCAAACATAACATGAGGTACGACTGTACATTTCTCCAAAATGAGTAGGAGGAGAAATTATTTGCACATGAAAACAGTGGGGGAAGGGTTAACACCCTTCTTCACCCAGTTGGCTTTGGTCTGTCTTGGGAGACAATGGAGGGGTACACCTTTGGGGTGAAGTCAAACTGTTGGAGGTTACAGTGTTTTGTGTTGTGTATGAACCTATTAGGTCCGTAAATTACCATATAGCATACGTTCAACACACCAAAAAATTACAATTTGTTGTTGACAAAGGACAGCTGGACATATAAAGGACTCCATTACCTTCAGTAGCTTAGGGCCTCATCAAACCTAAATCTGGCCCTGTGGAAGAGACATGTTTTGTTGCAGTTGAAGCAGATGAAGACATCCAGTTGTGCTGCTGCAGATGCACCCTGGTGTTTCTAGCCATCATTCCTCCTCTGGTCACTGCTGTGGATAGACAACCTGACTGTTGTTGTACTGTGGTCATCTGCAAGGAATTCCCACAAGGTGGTTCTGATTCAATTTGGGACTGGAGGCATGGTTGCTATAAAGAGATGCTAGAGCCAGTCACATATCTCAAAAGTCGCAACTGGTTCATCGCATACATACACAGCACCTGATTGACAGTTGCCACTGTCAGCTGGTCACTTGAGCTGGAAGGAGGCTCACTCCAGATTCTTTCTGCCCCTCCACTTTTCCTCCGCTGAGCAACAGAAGGCTCAAATTCAATCTCTGTGTTTACTCACTGCTTTGAAAATACCATTCACCCAAATAATGATGATGATAGCAATAATGCACAAGGCATATATTGTATCACAAGTGCCCGCTTTACTGGTGCAACATTTCTGCCCCTGATTATGGGCAATTCCCCCTTCACACTGCAGCCCTCTGCCACATAGCTTGTTCAGGAAGGTCCTGCAGCCCTGGGAAGAATGTTTTCAGGGCCACACAGGACTGCAAGGGACAAAACGACAAGGTATCTTCAGCTCATGCAACCGTTGGGTATGAACTGTTGCTGATCTTGTAAGTTAGCCCAGTTGATCCGTTGATCTCATATCCATACTTAGCAAGATGTACAGTGGTACCACAGGTTAAGAACTTAATTAGTTCTGGAGGTCCGTTCTTAACCTGAGGTACCACTTTAGCTAATGGGGCCTCCTGCTGCCGCCGCGCCGCCGGAGCACAATTTTTGTTCTCATCCTGAAGCAAAGTTCTTAACCCGAGGTACTATTTCTGGGTTAGTGGAGTCTGTAACCTGAAGCGTCTGTAACCCGAGGTACCACTGTATAGTCATAATTGATTCTGATGGTTTGTTGGGTTGTGCGTGTGAGAGAAAAATATGGAGGTGTTATGCCTCACCCCCAGGAAAAGAAATAGAATGCCAATCATTGAAGAAGCTAAAATAGTAATATGCTTGGGAGGTAAGTGGCCTTTATACTTGAACTGTGTACCTGCAAAGCGTATACTCCTCCTGGACTTCTCCACTAGTGATGTGTGAGTAATTCAGTCTTTCTAGATTTCAATATGAATTGGCCTGTTCTGCACCTCCTCAGCTACTATTTGGATTGAACTTTTGTTATCTACCAGCTTTCTCACTTCTCAAATGTTCCAATGCAGTTCTCAGCTCAAAAATTGTATCAAAATGCTCCTTTTTAAAAAACAAACAAACACAAAGTTTACTCTAATAGAAAACACATTTGCAAGCGTGTTTCCTAAAAGGAACTATGTTTAACAATACATCATTAATAGGTTTAATTATTTTAAAAAATTAAAAATCAGATTAATGCAGAAATGGGATGGGATGGGCCACAGAAATAGGATGGGACTTTCATCTCCATGGTGATTATAACATTTGTAATTATCAAAATGCATTCAATGTTGTTATAATTTTATTTTATTTTGAAAAGAGAGAGAGAGTGAGAGAGTTGTGCATGCTGAAGTGCAAACAAGATATCCGAATAATCAAATGTGCATCTCTTGTTTTTCACTTCCCTTACAGTTATTGGCTGACCAACAAGGTTTTCATCAAGCGACCTAGCACAGGACTCCTCATGTACACACTTGCTACGAGGTTCTGCGATGAAATTCATCTCTATGGATTCTGGCCCTTCCCGAAGGATATAAATGGAAAGCCAGTCAAATATCACTATTATGATGACTTAAAGTATCGATTTTTTTCTAATGCCAGCCCACATAGGATGCCATTAGAGTTTAAAACTTTAAGTATGTTACATAACAGAGGAGCACTTAAATTGACGACGGGGCGGTGTGCGCAGTAATAAAGCACAGGTCGAGGACTAGGAGAAGTGCCGGATATGGGCTTCGCCATGCAGATTTTATGGAAGAGCAGTGGGATCAAAACAGTGGATTTATCCCTGTGCGCTGTACCAAGCCATTGGAGAACAAGGAAGTGCACCGGAACTCCCGTACCAGCGAACATTTTTACCTGTTGAAGTGCTAAATCTTGAGTGCAATGGTTCGAGTAAGTGCCACTTTCTCTAAGAGCAAAGCTTGAATGTATAAAATCAGTAGTGTTTACAAGATCCAACGATGCATTCATCACCTGTTAAAGAAGCAAATAGTCCATTTGCTGCTCATTTGCCAACACAAAGTCTGGCAGCTGTGTAACGAAATACCCAAGAGGTGGGGTCTGCCCTGAAGGAAATACTTTGCATTTGGCAGCAACAATCAAGGCGGAATTGGCAGAGCAGTGGATAACATCACAAACATCAAGCAAAATACCTTCAGCCGGGGCCATCCCTGGCTTTGTATTATAACTTTTCTCTTTTTCCTCCCTGTTTTTAAAATTGTCATTCATTTTCTATGGTGTTTAGGTATTGGAGCCCCTTAAGGGATTTTGACAAGATAATACTATGAACATTTTAAGTAATCTTCAAGAAGTGGTCTTAGAAGATCTTATTTTTTAAACAAAATCTTCATTGCATCTTATTGCTCAGCTTACTCATTGCAGCTGAAGTTGCCTCCACGTGACAACTTGCTGCTGCAGTAACACATAGAGCCAGTCATCAGGTTTTGCCCCCGCAGCCCTATATCTCAGCACCAGCCACTGCTAGGAACATGTTCTGCTGGGGAAGGTGATGTCGGGACGTGTATGGGAAATGGGAGCGGGGAGGGTCATCTCACTAGGTTGTTCTGGATGGTATAACTTGTTGAAAAAAGCTTAGGATCTCCCAACTGCTTTTAGGTGCTTCTTTTAGGGTGAACTGCATGTTACAATAAACACACAACAAAAGTGTGCTCAAACTTCTGAACAAAAAGCAGCTGTGTAGTCACAATCTGGACTGGTGACACATTCCACATCGGGGCTCCAAACTACCGTATTTTTCGCTCTATAAGATGCACCAGACCACAAGACGCACCTAGTTTTTGGAGGAGGAAAACAAGAAAAAAAATATTCTGAATCTCAGAAGCCAGAACATCAAGAGGGATCACTGCGCAGTGAAAGCAGCAATCCCTCTTGCTGTTCTGGCTTCTGTGATAGCTGCAGAGCCTGCATTCGCTCCATAAGATGCACACACATTTCCCCTTACTTTTTAGGAGGGAAAAAGTCAGTCTTATAGAGCCAAAAATACGGTAATTTTTCTGCTAACCTCTTCTCTCTAGCTGCTGATGGCTCCTGAATGTATTTAGGAAAACACCATACGAAATACACGGTGTGTACAAACTTGTATAGAGTGTACATTGTTATCTTTAGGAGACAAATCGCAGCAAGGGCAAGGAATTTTCCACAGGATACTGTCCTGATCTAGGTGTGTGTTCCAGATCCCAAAGTTGCTTTTTCTTCAAAACAGAAGTTGTTTAAACATACTTTTTTCCCTGAAAGTGTGTTTATCGTAACATTTAGTCTGGCCTAAAGTACAAACTTAACAGAAGCTAAATTGCAAGTTAGCACTTTTAAACAATCTGATGTTTTGAGCTGTCTTTAAGGCAAGATTTTTGTTATGAAGATGATATTGTTAACAAGCAGGTGCCCTTACATTTGGTACCAAAGATTATGCTGATTTTGTAATCGATGTAGATTTGTTTTCCTTCAAATGATGAAAACGTGTAAAATTTAGTACTTGTTGCTGTGCTGCTTTAGAAACTGTTTTCAGTCATTTTTTTGTTTATTTGTTTACTGCTAACTTGGTGTCTAGATTTTGTTTGAAGGACAAATTCCTTAACTTGACTTTGCTTTTTATATATGCCTTGAAAATCTGAAACAGATGCTTTCCCTTAAAAAAAAAAAAATCAGACTGTGACCATAATATTCTTGAATCAAGATATTTAATCAGAATTAATGTAAGTTATAAATATCATTGAAATGTCAAAGTCTGTATAGTTTAGTTGGCATAGTGGATTTTGTTTTTAGTTTACAAAACCAGTTTTAAAATGCAGATTCTTCATAGTGCTGGACAATATGTGCATTATTCCTGTTCTATAGCATCCTGATGAGCAATATGTGAAAATACCACTGACAAGTTCCCTTGCCTTTTCACTTCTTTGAAGCTCCACTTTCTATATGGGGCTGTGTTTTTTGTTCTGAGACAGCAGACAATGAGAATTATTAATGGTTTTGTATGAACAAAAAGGGTTGTAAACAGAATGGCTGTAAATCGAGAGTATCAAAGCACAATTGATGGAGTGACTTCAGAAATGCATGCTGGGGAAACAACCAGTGGTTCTCTCATGTGGTTTCACCTGCAGATTTCTGCCATATAGAAGCAGAAGAAGAAAAAAACAGAAGAAAAACAAATTCAGAATAAATCTTCATTTTAGCCCTTTTCAGATATTCGAGGCCTTTTCACACACACTCGTATGACCTTCACACATTTAGTGTGTTTAAAGGAACAGACAGGACCTGCACAGGTTTTAGTGCTCAGTGCATAATAGTCTGTGAGGGACCTCAAGACAAAGGGAGTGTAGCCTATGTGCATGCCTGCATCTCACTACTCTTTTAACCCTTATGTGTTCAGACCAGTGCCTGAAGAGAGTGATACAATGCTGTGTAGAAGGAAGGGTGGGCTGATTATGCCATTCCCAAATGCATGGAATAATCTTGCTCCTGCAGGAACCTACCAGGCCAACAAGTCTTACCTAGTCCAGCATCCTTTTTGCTGCAGTGGCCAACCAGATGTCCACAAGCAAGACCTGAAGGCAAAAGCCTTCTCTTTTCCTTTTCCTAGAGTGCATATTCAGTGGCATTCTGCCTCTTTTCTCATCAGGATATTCATACATTGGATGAAACGGATAAACCCATAAAGGAATGTGATTTCCCCTGCCCACCAGGAAACTATGAATAGTAAAATACTGCTTGTTGATTTTTGCAGCATAGGCAGTGAGCTTCGCCATTGTTATCGTTAATTTTTACTATTCTTTTCCTTACAAAAGGAAGCCCATAGCAGAGAGAAAGAACATTTTTTGAGGAAAGTGTAGGCTTAAGGATTGGTTCTGTAAACTCGGAAGATATTACTGGAAAACGTATGGTGTTTAGGATGACACACACACAAAAATAGTCCAAAATAAAAGTTCCTTAGGCTGTTTAATGACCATAATAGTAATGTTGGCATGTTTCCTTTTGAAATATAGTAATGTTAGAGCAGTCTAGCTAGACTGATTTTCCATAAAAGGTGTTAGATTTCACACAATCACCTTAAAGAAGTTGTGACTAGTGCCTTTTTCATCCTCAGGCATAACTTCAATCCTGTTACTTAATTCTTTTGTGTCATGTTTTCCTCCCCTTATCTAGACTATTTCCACATGTCTATAAAGGGCTAATAAACTGGTTAACAAAACCACTTTTATGTTTTGCATCTCAGGGAAATATCAGTTTTTCAATATAAACACAACAGGAAAAGATAGAATTGAAAGTGGATGAAAGCCTATCATATTACATAAAAAAGAAGAAGCAAGGTTTTCATGTAATGGAATGAGGCTGCAGTCCTATGCACCTTAGAAGAATTCAAGGGGACATGTATGGGATTTGCACCATGAGGCTGCAATGCTATGCAGGCTTAGTTGAGAGTAAACACCGCTGAGCACAATTGGACTTACTTCTCAGTAGAAGTGCATAGACTTGGGAGTGTGAAAAAAAGCCACTTAGATGAAGAATAAGGATGATTTAAAAGATGCTAGGAAAGATGTAAATGATGGAATGGTCTGCTTAAAATACAATGTTGCAGTGTTTGGCTCAGCATTTCATTTAGGTGTTGTTTCATTGAAAATCTAAAATGACAGTAATTTTAAATCCGGATGTCACAACTGTCTTTTTTTATGCGCGATGCCATTTTTGGTCCTCCAGCCCCTTCATTGTTTGCATATTATGCAGAGACCATGAGCTTCTTTTTTCTTTGTCAGAACTCTGCTCTTAGTTACATGAGCACAGATTCTGGAATTTTCCCTGAATGGCAGGAACCCTGCATTTCACCAATGGGATGTTGGCAAAAACTTCTCACATCCTGCCCTGTGTCTTTGCCTTGAGCTTTTACTATATATCTCTTCTCTTGAGTAGTAAAAACTATCACCATTTAAGATCTACATTCCCCGTTGAGATCAAGCCCTAGAGTAGCCATCCACAACCCAACACCCTCCCAATGTTTTGGACAACAACCCCCATCAGCCTCAACCAGCATGACCTTGTTGCTTGGCTCTGATGGGAATTGTAGTCCAAAAAACTTGGAGAGCACCAGGATGGGAAAGGCTGTCCCAGAACTTAAAGAGTCAAAAAGGTAGCCTACAGAAACTTGGGCAAGGTTACAGTTAGTGGGATTTACATTTGCTCATCACATTGCAAAAAATTTAAAGTGTTCAAATACAGGTAAGGAATAAATGGCTACTTTGTTTTCATAATTTTTCCATAACGTATATTTGTTGCTTGTTTCCTACCACAAATAGCTACTGTGATAGAGAATCATAATTGACCAGCACTATCTCCAACACATACCCAGTAGTTAAAATCTGATCCCTTAATGCAAAACTGTAGGAACAGTCTCTTTAGAAATGCACAGTAAGAAAGGGAATTTGTTTTCATTCGGATAATTTTACTTGTGAAGACTTGTAATTCATAAAGCAGTGTTTTATAATTTGTGTTTTTCCTTTTGTTTGGAGCTCTGGAGCTCCTCAGATTAATGAAGATAAATGTATAATATATTCATGTTTATCCTTTGAGGAGATTCTCCTTCTTACTCCCTTTCTAAAATGTGAAGACTACTCAACGTTTCAATTGAGTTTGGAGTCTCTCTCTTCAACAATGCCAGAATAACGTCCCACGAAAAAGAAATACAATGTAATGGAGCTAAACGAAAATGAATGCAATTGCCAGCTAGTATTATGTTTGCATGTGCACATTTGATACCTTGAAAGATCATAAAAGCGAGGATTCAAATTAGTCTGCTTTGTGGCAACTTTCAATACTGGTTACCCACTGCCTTCAGCAAGTGTGGAAGTTATGCAGCTTCTTAGATCCTACAATGCTTAGATAGGTTGTTATCCAATGAGATAACACCTATTCAGACAATCAATAGTGGTGTGTGCACTGACGACAAGTTTCCGTTCAGACCCCAGTTTTGCCCTTCAGAAAACAGTTCAGGGACCATCAGGTCAAGGACCACCCAAATACCTGGTGCTCCAGTCCACCATCTCCACCCCACCATCTGAATTCACTATTGGGAAATTTAAAAACAGCTATAACTCATTTTGACAGTGGATGAAAGTCCCTCCAGAGTGGATAGACCCTTCAAAATTACCAGCACATTGGTTTTCGAGCTTTTGTGCTGGAGATATCTATATTATTTCATTTGGAGGGCAGAATTGGAAGAAATTTACAGACGCTATTGCCCCTTCTCAATGTATTACTCCTGCCAAATTTCAGAAGAATGTCTCTTAAAGTTTTAGGATAGGTAAAAAAGGAATCCCTTAATCTCCCAGGCTAGTGTCTTGAGGGCAATAGTTCTGAAATTTGTAGATATGAAAGCTGCCTTTGGGTAAAAAAACCGACCAAATTCCAGGTGAATAGGTCTGGGGCTTTTGTGTTAAGCACCTGTGACATTTATTTTGGGGGGCAGATGAACAAAACGGTTTTCACTTTTGGGATAAAATCATTCCCTCTGATTATAATCTTGATTTGACATTCATAGCAGAGCTCTTCCTCTGCCCCCTTCCCACCATGGTGTCTGCTGTCCATTTCCCCATCACTTAGAGATATTACTTTTGCTTTTCTCAGATGCTTGTCTGCAGCATTTTTTGACATTTGGATTGCTGAGGCGCCGTGAAATGCTTCAGGGGTGCCTATTTTTATTCATGACACCTTGAACAGAGCCTGCTTTGCTTCTGAAAAGCTCAAAATCTCTCCAAGGCACCCTTCTTCAACTTGGGGTTCTGGTTCTGAGGCACACCCCTAATATATTTCACAATTAGCCTTTCCGTATATATTCCAGTATCTCAACTGCTAAAGCTCTGGTCCTTTTTCTTTTTTTGTAAATGACGCGTTGCAGGGTGAAGAATGGGGCAACTGACTTTTTAAAAGACTGGAAAGTTTCATTATAATTTAAAAATATGTGCTCCGATCCAATGGGAGGGGACAGTTACAAGTTATTTGCATGTGTGTTTCCTGGGCTAAAAGGTTCCAGTATCTGGATTAGAAATTGAGGTCTATGAAACAGACACTCATTATCTGTTTCTCCTATTAGATTGAGATGGTGGACACATATCTCTGGATCTTGGTGCAATTTCACTCCCCCCCTTTTCCCTTTCTTTTTTCTTTTTAAGAGCACTGTTACCCTGGATAGGCAAAAGCACAATTGTTTTAACTGTATCTACTAAAGGAAGCAAGTTTGCCAAAACCAGCCTTCCTGGACAGTACTACTGCTATCCGGCATACCCAGCTCCCATTTGTGTGCACTGTTGAGATGTCTTCTGTCAGGATCATCTTGTCTGATGCTTTTATTATTATTATTTTGTGTACAGGAGTTGTTGCTAATTCTTTGTTACTTGTACAACCTGTAAAATGAATTAAAACTTTTTTCCAGTACTTCTTTTGTTGAGGTTTTTGTACATAATAATTTCGTTTCACCAAAAGCCATAAATAGAAAATTAACACATATCAGGATCACCTCTCTCCGCATGAACCTTCCCATCCTCTGAGACCCTTTTTCATGTGCCTCCTCCATGAGAGGTCCGGAGGGTGGAAACACAAGAACTGGCCTTTTCTGCAGTGGCTCCCCATTTGTGGAATGCTCTCCCCAGGAAGTTTTGGCTGGCACCTTCATTATACACCTTTAGGCACTAGGCAAAAACATTCATTTTTAACAAGGCCTTTTGGGCTGATCGACACTTGATGCCTTTTTAATGTGTTGCGTGCTGAGGGCCCCCAAAACACCCCTACCCCAATAACTCACACATAATTTTTGTTTAAGGTTTTTGGCATAATTTTGGCCACAACTTTATTAAACATACAAGATGTGAGTGGTTACTTAGGCATTAGTTATGACTATCTGTCCTGTCCTCCCCCCCCCCCGCCTGGGGACAGAACTGACTCCTGGATTCCAGCGAAAGCCAGTGAGGGGAAACAAGATCGGGGATAACTAGAGCTGCGGCACAGACCCTCAGCTTCTCCCCGCATTCTCCCAGGGGCTTACGTGGCCCAAACCCGATTCCAGGGGTTTGGATGAAAGGATGGTAAGCCCCTGAATTCCTTTAACGGAATTCCCTTGCAGCAGCAGCATTGGAGGGGCAGGCCCAGCCAATCCATACCCCTCCTCCAACCAATTTAAACCAATGCCTAACCGCTAACCTTACAAGTTGTGACGACTTGCTACGCAGTAGGCAAAAAACCAAATGGCACTCACTAATCAGCCAGATGGCAAAATTCCTACCGGGCCCCTGCCCCAAAGCAGACGACCCCATGACAGGCATAGCAAGGTCAAAGCACAAGCCCAAAACAAGGGAGGGCGGGCGGATGATCCGGTGCCCACAGCGAAAGAGAAAGCAGATCACTGTGAGCACTGTTTAAATAATCTCTGTTCCCACCCCCAAATTGGCAACATCAATTTTACCCCAGCAACACAAACAACCAATCCTTGCCAGGCCCCTCAATCCTAACCTGCCTAGCAACTACAGGGTGTCTTGCTTGGCCCCATCCGCAAAACGCGCTCTCTTTTAATGAGAACACGCTTTATGGGAGGGGGCATCATGGATTCATTTTTGCTTTTATTTCCATTATGTATATTGTGTTTTTCATATTGTGATTTAATGTTGTGAACTGGCCTGAGATTTACGGCTATAGGGCAATATACAAATTTAATAGATAATAATAATAATAATCCTGTTAGATTTTGTAACACTTCTGTAGAATTCTAAGGCCTAATATACAATGAAATTAACATATTTATCCAGTATTCATTGGCTTTGGTGCCACCTACTATTGACTTCTCTGCCTTTGACCCTACTGATCTCAGTGGACACCAGCCACCATTGCATAATGGTGATTTGCTATTAGGAAAATATGGGCAAGCAGTTGCATAGTTTGGGCTTTCTGCACTGAGCACAGCTGTGTAAGTCTTTACCAAATAATTGCCATCATTGCAATCAAATGGTACACATGACTTCACATTCATTGTGCTAGTCTTCACACTGAAGGCAAAAGTGTGAGAAGCATTACTTGCAAGGAGACAAGTGACACTGTGAATACACACACACACACACACACACACACACACACCATCATGATCCGTCCATGCTTTCCAATATAAACAAGCAGGGTATCTATACTGGCTTCAGATTGTAAAACCAAAAGTGTCTTCTAAACGACTCCTTCATATTGCTTCTTAGAAAGCACCCTTCCACATGCTTAGAACAAGCCCTCTTTGTCCTTTCTGGTTTGATACCTCCGTTTATGTGAGGGATCAGAAAAACAACTGGAATACTGAATCATCTTCCTGACCTTCAATTTTCCATTTTGCTTCTATTCTCAGCATTTGATTGATTGATTGATTGATTGATTGATTGATTGCCTCCTTCACTATCTTGCTGTTAAGCACTTAGGAGACCAGAACACATGGCTGGTAGGTATGCTTGAAGACTTTTGCCTGGTTGGTCCAAGGTGAGCCCTTGAGAATCTGAAATGATCACATGCAAAAGTGTTGGTTGAGTCCATTACCAAGTTTTTTTGTGGAACACTTTACCACCTGACCTTATTCTGGATATCATCTTGCTTTCAATGCTTGCCAGAAAGAAAACAGCAGATGGACCACTTAAATTACTAGCAATGGTATATCGGAAAGATTTTTTTTGGTTTTAGAAGATTACTCTTATTTTTATGGGACTACCAAGGGATCCACAACACAGAGAAAACAGTAATTCTGCTCTCCTTGGTTAATGCACCACACCATTATGTTCATTTATACTAGGCTTCCTCAACCTCGGCCCTCCAGATGTTTTGAGACTACAATTCCCATCATCCCTGACCACTGGTCCTGCTAGCTAGGGATTGTGGGAGTTGTAGGCCAAAAACATCTGGAGGGCCGAGGTTGAGGAAGCCTGATTTATATCATAAAGCAGGGGAAGAGACGTGTTATCTGTGTTCATCATTGTATGGACGGACACTGCTTAGGGGTGAGTTCATTCTGCCAAAAACAAGGATTAAAGAATCACCCTGAAAAATATATGTTTCTCTGATATTCCAAATCTTAATCCAGAATCAACAGTTGATTTGGCCTGTGCAAGGTCCCTTTCATAACTCCAAAACATCTGTTTACACCAAAGCTTTATATAGCAATAGAGGGAAATGTTTAACTATCCATTAGGCTGATAAATGCATGAACACCATAAAAAGACAGCTTGCCTCAGCTACCTCTTAATTTGACAAAATTAGAGAATTAATGTAGCCTTTCCCCTCTAAAATACATGATTCAATCAGAGGCCCCCACCACCTACAGCTTCTCCGGTGCATAATGCTTTTTCAAAGAAATTATCTCATTGTAGCTGGCTAGTTTGGAGGGGAAAAATTACAAAGCCATCCATCACTGTCCATGAAAGAGATAAGAGTATTAATGTGGAACCTGTTTATCTCCATTCAGGTATAAAATTACAATTATTTTAACATTAATTCTTACCATTCTGTGTTTTTCTTTGCTCTCAAGGGTTATCAGTTCACAAATTTGCTCCTAATGCATAGCTAATAGCAAATCTTTTTTCCTCATTAAAATAGGCCCGTGATATTCTCTCTCAGGAGCTCCTGTAGGTCTGGGCTATTACGCAGAGTGCACAGCATGCTAAACCGCCATCTTAAGTTCACATTGTTGGTGACAGCAGAGCTTGACAAAAGGAATACTGCCAAAAAGTAATAAAATAATGCCCAAGAGAAAATATGCAGCCAAGAAAATATACTGCAATGCCACAAAGTTACAACCAACAACCATCAAATAATGCAAATCATATTTTTGTGGCTGCTTTGTAAATCTCAGGCAAGACTGGGCCCACCATCAGACACAGTGAGGAGCTAATTTGGGGTGTCGTGAAAGGCTAGCTATTTTTTATATTAAAAAACTCTATCTTTTATAGATATTATACAGAACAATAAGATTCAATAAACTCCTCTCTGCCCCACTTGGAAGAACAGATTCATACAAGAGATACAGAAAAGATATCATTTGAAAGTCATCCTACTAAGAGATGTTAAATAAAAGTATATGTCCATAATTTGCTGTGAGTTGCAGGTGGTTGACAGTCATGCTCTTTGTATAAGCATATGAATTTTTTTAAAAAATAAATAAAATAAAAATCAAATCATGTGTTCTGGAACGTGTCTCTTTTCTCTATTCTTTGTTCACCTAGTTTCCAGTCAATTTATCCATTAGTGCCATGTCCCCGATTTGATTCAGCCACATTTTATATAAGTCAACATTTAGAGTTCTTCAGTTCCTGGCAACGGCCAAGTGAGCAGCTATTGTGAATTGTAATATAAGCTTTTTAGATGAAAATTATTCAGCATCTCCTTCAAACATAAATAATAAAGGAATATTGGGACTGAGAGCTACCTGTTGTTTACTTATGGTACTTATTTCACAAAAAACTTTTTTTCCAAAATGAGAAGACAAATTCACCACATGTAGGCAAACAAAGCTACATTTTTAGAGTTTCTCCAGCAAGTTTTTGGGAGAGCGTCATTGATTTTATTGAGTAGTACAGGGTGCATAAACCATCTATGAGTGAGTTTTAGTGTGTTTTACCTCACTTTATCTGAAGAAGATCTAAGAGAAAACTTCTCCCAGATTCTATTCCAGGAAGCCTCATTTATAGTATCGTTCAAATGTCTCTCCCAGTGGAGTTTCAGAGCATTTAAAGGTTTGGAAGAAAAATTGGCCAATGAGCTGTGGTATATATTATATTTCCAGGGGAGTTAATGACTAGGTTGCCTGGGGTGTGATTTCCCCCCCCCCCACAAGCACATTTTAAATTTAAAGTCTTTAATAATAGGTTTAAACTTTTCAAGTAAAAGTAAGTTTCTTGGAATCAATGTACCCAGATATTTTGTATATGTTTTCTCAGTGCTAAGTCCAGTAATGTTGTGTAATTTAGCTCTTAATTCCTGTCAGGTGTGAATACCTAGCAGATCAGAGTTAGATACATTTATGATAAAGCCCAAAACAGAGCCATACAGTTTTAGTTCCTGCATCACTGCCAAAAGTGAGATTTCATATTTAGTAATAATCAATGCTACATCATTGGCAAACAGGTTGATGAGAAAGGCTAGCTAATTAGTTCTTTCATGTATTGTCTTGCAGGGAGAGGAATAAGCCCCTGTGTAACATTTTCTTCTCCTGCCTCAGCTGTCATAATATCTTGATTGGCTTGGGCGCTATATACCTTGACTTGGAAACAATGAATTCATTTGCTGCAGCAAATCTCTTCAGCAGCAATATGTCTTGAGCCAACCTTGCAGTCAGGACAAAAATACAAGAAATGTCCTTACTGCTACTGGCTGAGAGAAGCACATTCCTGTTAGTTGTATTGGTCCTAACTAAGGATGA